GGGGTGGATGTTGACTGATGTAATGGAGAGGAGCGCGTGGTGCCCAGGAGGAAGGGCGTGTGTACCACGAGGAGCAAGGGCTGTGGACACAGGCGTGCGGAGTGTAGGCGTACGAGGAGCTACAGGGGACGATTGTGGGAGTCGGGGAAATTGCGATACGCGGTGGTCTGTCTGGGGTAGCTACGGGTGGGCAGATGCTGGCTGGCGCTTGGGCGAGAGCGGATGCAAGTGAAGGCAGAGAATGTATGGAAGCAGTTGGAGAAGGGCAAACGTCGCTCGCTCCGTGGCCCGTGGCAAAGGCAAACGTATGATGGGCGGGCGGCTGCTTGGTGGCCGTGGTTGGTCTGGGCTGGCCGGGGACTTGCAGGACTCGGGGCCTGGGCGCGCGCTGGGCGATGGTCGTCGGCTGTCGCCAAGGTGGCTGCTGGGCTGGCTGGGCTCAAAAGGCAGCTGAGCAGAGGATCCAGGGAAGGACGGGGGACAAAAGAGACACCGGCAGGGCACATCCAAGCGAATCGGCCCATATCCAATCCACTCACCTCCACTCTTCGGCTCACCAAATCCAGCGCACAACACCCCGACACCTCGACAACCCGGCGCGGAACCATTTCTGTTTGCTTCCGTGTCTATCCCCCCAGGTTGAGACCTTGAGACCTGGAATGGCGTTTGCTGGCGCAGAAGCAGCATCGCAAGCAGCCACCGCATGCCGCATAGCACGATCATCACGTGACAGGGGCTCGGGGGTCCCAGGTGGTCTGCCGGTGCGGGAATAGAGGCATTAGAGATCCAGATTCATACGAAGGCGCTGGATTCCAAAGCTTTGCATGCAATGATGCTCCTGGGCGGACCCTGGCCCTGGCGATTTGCTGAATCAGCCAGCCGCGACCACCACCGTAGTACCACCCAGCCCCGTATCTACACTTGCCCGGACACTTTCCCCCTCCTCTGCTCCCATGCCTGGCCGGGACTCAAGCCGACTCGGTGACAGGCCGCCTATCATCCCCTCCTCCTCTGCCTCTCTGCTTGCACTGCAGCGCCTTGGATGACTGACCCATCTCGCGTCGCTCTGTTGCGTTCTTTCTGCCTTACACTTTCAACCCCTTCGTGAGCTTGACAGCAAACCCGGCATTCCTCGTCCTGCTCGACTCACCTTGACATCACCCTTCCCATTCCCTTCCACGTCTCGTTCGCCCGCAAGCTCGACTTGAATCGTGTACTCCCCGCTGCTGGGTCAGCTTTCAGTGTCCTTCCCCCCCACTGTTCCCCTCCACTTTCATTTTCGAGTCGCGCTCGTATCCCCTCGAGCAACAATTCTCTGTGCGCAACTTTGTCCACCCTCCGTGCGACTAGAACCGACCGGCCCGCCCCCGTCCATCCGTCAACGCCTGTCAAACGTTTCGCCCAGTGCTGCTTTCGGTCGGAAGCGATTCAGTTGCAATCGGAACTTGCTGTCGAGGCAACCTTCCTCCGTCTTCTGTCCCTCTGCCGCCACGCAGTGCACGGTATCTACGCCAATTCCTTGGATTCCAGCCTGCACCATTTCCACTCTTCATTCTTCACCATCAATCATTACAGCTTTACGCTCCCTCTCCTCCTGTTGATCATCTGTACCTGTTGCGCACCGAGACGATCCCCCCGAGCCTGGGCCATTGACTTGCCGCCAAGTACGTCACTTGAGCGACGCCCGTTTGCCACCTAGCCCTTCGGCCTCACCGCTGGCAACGACATCCGCAACGTGCAACCGCCTGTGTGGGTTGCCTGTCCGTTGAGCCTGTCTGGCCGCGTCTCCATCGCCATCCATCCGAGCGACTTCCAGCCGACACTCGACATACCCCAGTGCTAAAATCAGCCCCCCGTTTCCATCGCTCTGCTCTCACCTCCCCCACGCCCCCCATCTTTCACCATGCAGCAGCAACAGCCCCCCTACTTTGACCCGAACATGCTCTCCCCAAACACGACGGCGCTCCTAGATTCCATCGCAATGGGAGAGTACCCGCCGAAGCAGACAGTGACGCCCGCGACCTTTGCGCCGCAAGCGTTGTTTCCTGTTCCCGGGCGAGACACTCCAGAGGACTCGTCTCCGGATTCAGTCAAGATGAACAACGCCACTCTGAAAGATCATTCCCACGTTGCCTCCGACGATAGTGACGCGGAGCTGCAGGGATTGAATGAAGTCAATAACCACAAGCGAAAGGCGTCACGTACAACGATTGCGGACCACGACGCAGATGAGGAAGATGGTGGGTTGATCACATGCCAGATAGAGTTTAGGTTCTGACCTCAGACTCGTCGGACAACGCTCATGAGGACAAGCGGCAACAGGTTAATGACCCCAAGGCCACACGAGCTGCGCGCCGCAAGTCTGGCGACGGCAAGGCCAAACCCGCCGACAAGGCGGGTAAGGCTGAGCAGTCGAACAAGGCTCAGCGTCGTAAGGAACAGAACCGAGCAGCCCAGAAGGCTTTCCGAGAGCGACGAGAGGCCAAGGTCCGAGACGTGAGTATTTCTGCCTTAATCTCTGCAGTCCCTGACTCTTTCAGCTTGAGGCCAAGGTTGCCGAACTCGAGGCCAAGTCTTTCGGAACGTCGGTCGAGAACGAGAACCTGCGAAGTATCGTGAAGCGTCTTCAAGAGGAGAACATTGCCCTCAAGGAGGCGCAGTTCACTTTCACGATGCCAATGAACGGCAACGCTCATTCCATCAACGGACAGCAGACGCCTACGCCCTCTCTGAGCCAGCAGCAGGCCAGCGCTATCGACTGGTCTCAGTTCGCCTCCTTCAACAAGGCGTCTCAGATGGGCAAGCCGCCGTCTCCACCGCAAAGTGTCTCGAACGACTCTTTGCGAAGTGTTCACGACAACAACTCGCCGCCTTTGCAGCAGGTGCACCGCGCGTCGACTGGCTCTGCGTCTGAGAGCATGGAAGGACCGAGTCCTTCTGACCCCAACGCCGTTCCGACTCTCTTCGGCAACCGGAATAACGGCAGCTTTGACATGCTCAAGCGCCCCGTTGTCGGCAGCAGCCCGAACGACCAGCTCTCGACCCCGTCTTCGATTGGCACGAACAAGGACGACGTGGAGGCGCTGTTCCGCAGCCTGTACCCGAACGGCATTGCGAACGGCAGCAGCATCGACTCTGTTCTTGCTGGCACTGCCGGTGCTCCTCAGCAGAACCCCCAGATCGCCCAGCAGCAGGCTCAGTCGCCGTACACTTTCCTCAGCGCGCAGCCCGGCCTCACGTCGTTCGCGGACTCGTCTTCGAACATGATGGCCAAGCTGTTCGAGCCGACGTCCTACCGGGACTCATCTTCGGCTGAGCAGGACATGCTCGGCGGAGGATCTGGCCAGTCGACGATGAACACTGTTCCGAATAGCTCCACATCACAGACCTGGGCCGACCTGGTCTCGGGCAACCAGTCCGACTTCCTTTCGTCTCTGAGCAGCACGGCCAACGATGCTTCTGAGGCTGGACCGGAGGACGACGCCTTCATGAAACAGCTGGAGCAGCTGATCCAGTCTGGTAACGTGCCGTTTAACAACGCCAGCCAGGCATTCAGCCCGACAAACTATCTCAACATGTCTCCCTCGCCTCTGCAGAGTCTATCAAACTCGCAGACGCCGCGGTCCACTGCCGAGTCGTCAGACAACCTGCAGTCGCCGCATTCGGACAACATGCAGGGCGAGGCTGCGCCGTCGTGCGGTGCGTCGCGCATCGTGCACGTTGTCGGCGAGGACGGACGAGTCATGCGCCCGTCCGAGGTCTGGACCAAGATGGGCCTGAACACGGTGTCGGAGCCGCAGGATCTGCTGATCGACGACCTCTGCGACCAGTTCAAGGGTAAGGCGACCTGTAAGGACGGCAAGCGGTACATGACGTACAGCGACCTGGTGGACATGCAGTACGCTCGGGATCAGCACGGCGAGCCGCCGGTCATGTCCGGGCGCCCGGCCGAGCAGCCCAAGCTCCCGGCCAAGCCCAAGGTCGCCGAGCGCGACTGCGAGAAGCACGACCCGGCCGAGTGCCAGGCGAAGGCCAACGAGCTTTTCCTCCAGCAAAACGCCCAGCCCGGGTCCGCGGCATAGGATGTCCTTGATCCGGGCCTGCAGCCGCTTCCAGCGCATGCATAGTTGCGACAACGCCTGTCGTCCCAACAAGCACTACAAAACTGTACTTTCAATCCAAACTTCATCGCAACCAAAAGTCATATTTCTTCTTTGCCACGCTATATAAATCAGTTCAGCTTTCGGGCTCTCTCCACTCCAACCAACCAGGCCACGCTCTTCCCCGCGGACCCCGGTCTCCCGGTCTCGTCGATTAGTATGGGTGTATTCCATGTATAGTAGATCAAGAGTAACAAGAATATCCAGACTTCCGCTCCTGCTCGTAGACTGGTGCTTGCGCCCAGAGTGCGCGCACACGTTGCAACGCCACCAAATAAACTCGTCCTCTTCGTTATCTTCGAATCTTCTCTCCACATCTGCCAACTCTGTAAACAGATTTCCAATATGAATTGAAGCATTAGTCCAAGCTTCTGGGGTTGACTTGCACTGATGGAAAAGCAGCGTGGGGGAGGGGGCAGACCGAAAAGGAAAGGAGACATGCATTGTTGATTTACTAAGGAAAAAGAGGGCGGAAAAAAGATCTACGTGCCTGTCCTGACGAGCCAAGCACTCGGCCTTCGGCCTCGTGCCTAGGGCCTCTCAGCAAGGGTGAGGACGAAGCGCTCGGCGCGGTCCGCGTCGTCAATGTCCTTGGCCCTGACCTCGGTCTGGATGACCTTGCGGTCGGCAGGCATCTGGGCAATCTCGAGGGGCACGGCGTAGATGGTACCCAGCATGGGCGTCCTTGGAGCCCGCAATGGCGGGGGCGAGTGCGTCCTCCTCTCCCTCGTCGTAGGCGTAGAACACATCGACGCGGTCAGTGGGCACGAGCCCTGCGGCCTTGCGCAGCTTGTTGACGCGCGAGGTGAGGGCACGCACGAGCGCGACGTGCTCGAGCGCGTCGTGGCGGCGCACGTCGATGAGGATCGTCGCGTCCCCGTCCGTCGCCGTCTCGTACACCTCGGCACGCTCGCCCTCCAGCTCGACATAGCGCGTGACGACGAGGTCGCCCTCGACGAGCTCGACGCCGTTCACGCTCACCTTGCCCTGCGACAGGTAGCCCTTGCACTCCTCGCTCGTCATCTTGGGCAGATGGCTCTTGACCTTGCCCAGGTCCTTGCGCAGCTTGCGGCCCAGCACGGGCCAGTCCGCGTTCGCCTTGTACTTGATGCCGATCGCCGCCTCGTCGCGCGTGTACACGATCTCGTGCACGTTGAGCTCGCCCATGACGTAGCCCTCCAGCGACTTGACGTCGTCAAGGTACTCCTGGTCGTGGTGGAAGAGGACGAGCTCCTTGAGCGGCATCTTGACCTTGAGCGTGCGCTTGTCGCGGATCGCGCGCCCGAGCTCAATCACGCTCTTCAGGCGCTGTACCTGGCGCTCGATGACGGGGTCAAAGTACTCCTCGCGCGCAGAGGGGAAGAGCAGGAAGTGCACAGAGCGCACGTCGCTGCCGTCCTTGGGCGCGGGAGTGGTCGCCAGCAGGCTCTGGTACACCATCTCGGACGTGAAGGGCGTGAAGGACGACATGGTCAGGGACAGCGTGTACAGCGCCTCGTAGAGCGAGTTGAGCGCCGCCTTGGTGTCCTCGACGCCGTTCTCGCCCTTGAGACGGCGGCGGTTGAAGCGGATGTACCAGTTCGTCAGGTCCGAGATGAGCTCGAGCAGGCGCGGGATCACAGTGTACAGGCGGTAGTTGTCCATCTCGTGGTGCACCGTCTGGATCAGCGTCTGGCAGCGCGCAAGGATCCAGCGGTCAAACACGTTGGTCGACTTGGGCGCATCGTGGTCGTACATGAACTTGGTGCCCTGCGCCTGGTTGAACAGCTCGACCTGGTTCAGGTAGAAGTTGAGCGAGTTGATCCACTTGAGAATCACGTTGGAGAGGACGTCACGTACTCCCTCCTCGCGGAAACGGAGGTTGTCACCGCGCACGACGGGCGAGTTGATCAGGAACAGACGCACACTGTCCGCTCCGTACTTCTCCACAACCTCCATCGGGTCAGGGTAGTTCTTGAGCTTCTTCGACATCTTCTTGCCGTCCGAGGCGAGGACGAGACCAGTGACGATCAGGTTCTTCCAGGGAGCAGTGTTGAACAGGTGCGTGCCGAGAACAAGCAGGGTGTAGAACCATCCACGGGTCTGGTCGATACCCTCCGAAACAAAGTCGGCAGGGTAGCGAGCCTTGAAGTTGTCCTGGTTCTCGAAGGGGTAGTGCGACTGCGCGTACGGCATCGAGCCAGACTCGAACCAACAGTCAAACACCTCCTCGATACGCTTCAGCGTGCCCTTGCCCTGCTGCGACGGGATGGTGATGCCGTCGACAGACTCGCGGTGAAGGTCCTTGATGCCAGTGACACCAGAGAGCTTCTCGAGCTGCTCAATCGAGCTGATGCACACAATCTCCTGCATGTCGTCCGAAGCCCAAAGGGGGATGGGCGTACCCCAGTAACGGTTACGCGAAATGTTCCAGTCGCGCGCGTTCTTGAGCCAGCCACCGAAACGGCCATCACCGACGTGCTGAGGAACCCAGCGGGTCTTCTCGTTGTTGGCAACGAGGTCGTCGGACAGCTTGGCGACACGAACAAACCAGGCGGGGATGGCGCGGTAGATCAGGGGAGTGCCCGAACGCCAACAGAAGGGATACGAGTGCATGATGTCGCCGCGAGCGACGAGGCGGCCCTTGCTCTGCAGCGTCTTGATGATCGACGTGTCGGCGTCCTTGACGTAGACACCCTTCCAGTCGGGAACCTCGTCGGTGAAGCGACCAACCTCGTCAATGGGGCAAGGGGGGATCTCGTCCTCGCGGACGATACCGTTGGCGACGGCAATACGGTGGTCATCCTCACCCCACGCGGGCGCCTGGTGGACAATACCCGTACCAGACGAGTCAGTGACGTAGGTGTCGGAGACGACGCGGAACGCGCGGTCCTCGTACTGCTCGGTGAAGTAGTCGAACATCGGGGTGTAGCGCCAGCCGACCATGTCCTTTCCGAGGAACGAGCCAATCTTCTTGAACTTGGGCTCCTTCTTCGGGTCCGGCTTCTTGCCGTTGGCGTACTCCTTGTAGACAGTGCCGAGGAGCGACTCGAGGAGAATGTAGTTGTGGTTGCGCTCAATGTCGTGGATCTTGACGTAGGTGAAGTCGGGGTGGACACAGAGGGCAAGGTTGGAGGGAAGGGTGTAGGGGGTGGTCGTCCAGGCGAGGAGCGAGGTGTTGGGGTCGTCAACGAGGGGGAACATGACGGTGACCGTGGGGTCAGACTTCATGCGGTAGTCCTCACCAGCCTCAAAGTTGGAGAGAGGGGTGGTGCAGCCGGTCGAGTAGGGCATGACACGGAGGCCACGGTAGACCTGGCCCTTCTCCCAGAGCTGACCAAAGACCCACCAGACCGACTCCATGAAGGTGGTGTCGAGGGTCTTGTAGCCAGTGTCAAAGTCAATCCAGCGGCCCATGCGCTCGACGGTGCTCTTCCACTCGGACGAGTAGCGCATGACAATCTCGCGACAGGCGGCGTTGTACTTGTCGATGCCCATCGCCATCACATCGTCCTTGCCCTTGATGCCGAGCTTTTTGTCGATCTCGTGCTCGACGGGGAGACCGTGCGTGTCCCAACCGAACCTCCTCTCGACGTGGTGGCCAGTGGAGTGGGCATGACGGGTGACAATGTCCTGAAAGGGTGTGAGTCAGCAGGTTGCGATGGGGCTCTTACCTTGATGGTACCGGCGAGCAGATGTCCGTAGTGAGGCAGACCGGTAGCGAAGGGAGGTCCGTCGAAGAAAGAGTACTCGGGCCTTCCCTCAGAAAGTTTCTGGGACGTGTGGAAAGCATCGATCTCGTTCCAGAAGTTGAGCACGTTGTGCTCAGCGGTCGGAATGTGGATAGGCTTGGAGGCTGGGCTGTCAGTTTACGACACAGACGGGCCAACTCACGGTCGTGCTTCTGGAACGACATGGTTGCAGTTAAGCTTGACGCCGATTGGTAAAGCCAGTTGTTTTATCTAGAGGTGTTGGAGGGTGGCGAGTCCAGCTGCACTTGCTCGCAGGATCGAGGTTGACACGGAGATTGACTCGAGTCGAAACAACGATCGGGCGGGATAAGCAAAGTCAACGAGCTAGAGTCGGAGTTACACGCGACTTAGGTGTCGGTGTAGCCTTTTCTAAGTCTAGTCTATTCCTTGAGTCGTCTGCCGGGAGACGGAAGACGGTCGAGGAGGTTTAATTGACGACGACGAGAAAGTCGATGCTGTCGCTGCCTCGAGTTTTACTCGATTGGACGTTCGTGGCTCTCCCAATCTCCAGACCATCCACGGCCCGGCCGAGTCAAAATGTTCGGCTCAGCCGGGCTAATCAGTTATTAGCTTATGATTAAGCTTGTGTGCGGGGCACTGACGCACGAGATTAGAAAACTCGGGCCGCGATTGATTACAAGAAAATTGGGCGGGAACAAAGCCACGCGATGGGTATCGTATCTTGACGTTGCGTTTGGCCCCGCTTGTGTGGAGGTCAGTTGCCACTGGGTCAAGATTTCGAGACTGGAGACGTCGCGCGCTCCGAAAGCCAAAACAATCCAAGCCGCCGGCTCTTGTTCCTCGCACTCCCACACCACTTCCGACCACGACACTCATTATGGCTCGTGGGAAAGGCAAGAACAGGAAACGGTCGCTAGACCTCTCTTCCGTCGGCGAGAAGACGGCTTCAGCACCTTCATCCGGTGACGAGAAGAAGAGGCGCAACCGTCGCAAGGCCAAGATCACTCTCACGGAACCAGAGCCGACTCTCGACCCGGCGGCTGACTTCATCGATCTCAGCAAGAGCACACCGGACATCGATTACATCGACCTTAGCAAGAGCTCGCCGAGGAGTGAGGCCATGGACCTCTGCAATGAGTTGGAGAGCGATGCGAAGGCTGCGCCGGCCGAGTCCAGCAAGCAGGCGTTGGAGCGTACCCCGGACGCTAAGGGGAAGAGCCGCGAGCCTTCCTTTGAAATCGACACCAACCCTGCTCCTGTTCCCGAGTACCACCCATCCGCGTTCACGCCCATGAAGTCTCTTTTGTCTAGCTTTGTGCATAAGGATGACGATGACGAGGCGGAGGACGGCGAGGTCGTCGAGACCGGTGCAAAGGAACTTCAGATCGGAAAGGGAAGGAACAAGAAACCGATCCTGATAGACATCGACGTCGAGCCGCATCCCGAGACGGAAGCGAAGCTGGACGGAGAGCGCGCCGAGAAGGACGAAGCGGAGAAGGAAGAGGAGCATGCTGGCGATAAGAGTGGTCTCCTGCTTCCGGAGCACGTCCGTCTGATGGAGAGCGATGAGGAGGATGATCCAATCGAGGACTCCTTTGTTGGACCTCAGGACGGTGTGCACGTCGTCGACGACAGCAATGCCAAGGTAAGCTGAAGATCTGGTCTCGTAGCTGACGTGAGGCTGTGTCGCGCTACTTCAATGAGCTGGACGAGGACGAGGCTGCCTTCCTCGCGGCCGCAGACCAGCGTCAGGTGTGCCGTCGTTGCAAGAAGACGGGACACAAGGAGGCCCAGTGCCCGCACATCATTGTGAGATAGCACGGTTTGGTCGACATCTGACGCCCAGTGTACCACCTGTGGAGCCATGGATGAGCATGACCGGCGAGACTGTCCCTGGGGCATCGTGTGCTTCGGGTGCGGCAAGCGAGGACACCGAAAACAGGACTGCCCCGATCCAGTTTCGCGTGCTGCGCGGATACGAGGCTGCAACCGCTGTGGCTTGCGCGATCACATGGAGAACGTGAGCTGCACTGCGACGACTATTGAGCTGACATCAGACTTGCCCTCTTATCTGGCGCGTGTACGTGTACCGCACCCCCTCGGACCGAGACCACAGTTTGGAGGAGCGCGACGCGGCAGAGGGATGGACGAAGGAGGCTGTTGGCGGTAATCCGGAGACCAAGTGGTGCTACAACTGTGCCATGGTGAGTTTAGGAAGCAGACGCCATAACTGACGACCAGGACGGACACCTCGGCGACGACTGCGGAAAGCGCCGTGGCAGCTTAGCGCGACCAGTGCTGCAGAGCGCGTTCAGCGAAGTGATTGCGAACCGGGGTCCTTTCGCGTCCTTCCCGCGAAGACAGGGCAAGCACCATCGCTTCGACGACCTGCCCGAGGAGACATCTTACTCCAAGTTTGGCGGTGCCAACCCGGGCCGTCGGGGACGGGAGAAGCAGCAGCAGCGGCACCGCTATGCTGACCGGCGAAGTGGTACGGATAGCGACGACTGGTTCTCGCGCCGGCGAGACAGGTCACGCTCCCCGGACCGGAGGCCATGGGACCGTGACCGCGGTGGTCGCGGTCGTGATGACCGTCGTGATGACCGACGCGACAACCGCGGTGGCCCGATCAAGTTTGGCCGCATGAGCCTCCCCGGCTCAAGCGGAAGGGACGGAAAGGGCGGACTGCTCCAGCAGGCTCTGCATAACGGGCAGAAGCGGCGCCGGCAGCCGTCCCCGCGCCCGATGCGGGATTGGGACTCGGACTCGAACTCAAGCGGCGGATTACGTATCCGTGGCCGCGGTAATGATCGCGAGCGCGATATGGAGCGAGAGTGGCGCGCCTCGGGCGCTGGCGGCGGTAACGTCGCGGACTGGGGAGACGACTACGACCGCATGATGCGCGACCGCCGCGACGGGCGTGACTCGCGCGACGACCGGCCCCGCAACGGACCGTTTCCGCTCCGCTCTGGCGGAGGGCGCGGCGGACGTGGAGGAGGCGGTGGTGGCCGTGGCGGAGGGCAGCGCTACCGGGGCGGCTACTAAGCTCGTCCTGTATCACCTCTCCACTGCCCAGCCCTGCCACGACAGTCTCATGTCCACCCTCGAGCGATGAGGAGGAAGCGAGAGATAAGCGAGCGTCGACGCCCGCGTATCGCCTAGGAAACCCGTGAACCCGGCTTTCCGAGATCCGATCCCACACTCAGACGCAAACCAGGGCAATCTTTTGCGCCGTGATTCCGTCGCCATCAAGATTTTGGCGGCATTGTAACCCCAACCCGAACCTAGCTGTACGCATACTTCCATGCCATGCCCTAGCTCGCCATAGCCATGCATGTCGCAGCGCACGATGCTGCGATCTGGACCAAGTTTCCAAGACATATCAAGACACGCCTCTGGCCTGAGCGAGGCTGGAGGCTGGCGGCTGAGCGGGATCCACCCCGAGCCGAGAACGAGTAAGCGCTGACGAGCTTGAGAGCACGCGAGCCGGATCAGTCAGCAACAACCAGAGGTGCGAGTCCGCCCGATTTTCTGAGACCTGGAACACGGGCTTGACTCGCCATCATCTGAGGTCCGAGTCCTCAGGTGCTCGTGTGAGCCCTGTGGCAGGTGTCTGTGGCAGTGTCTGTGTGACGACAACGTCCGTGAGCGACGTCAACCCTGGGCAGGGCCTGCTCGAGCGACAAACGTGCGTGAACGTGCTCCGGACGTGCTCGTGAGAGGGCAGGTCTTGCAGCGCACTGACGACAGACTGATCATCGGCGAAGTGTCTCGAGGACTGACCGCTGACATGGATCGAGTGAGCAGGGCCGAGAACTCGGCTCGACAGGTGCCAAGTCCCGGCCGATCTTGCTCCGTTACTGTCGGCGGCGGTCATCTTACAGCGCGCTTTTGCTTTTTCCGGACCTCACGCTGTCGACTGAGATTGCTGATGCGGTCCGGTAAACAAAACACTACCCACTAATGAATGAAGGACAAAGCAATGTGACCCAGGTAGGAGACGAGGCAGTCATCGGGTACAGACAAACAAAACACATGAACAAAGAGATCTGGCAATCACACCAGGCTTCACGGCCTTCGGTCCACTCTGCTCTTGGTCTCAAACCGCCGGCGCGCCAGAGATCTGGCTCAAACCACTCCCAACCTCATATTCCTCATTGTGGATTTCCTCACCGCCCAACTTTCGCAGATACGTGTGCCCCTCTCCCGACTGTCGGACGGTTGGGCCACGGACATTCGGACAAAGAGCTCCCAGCCCAGGGCAAGGGGGAGGAGTATCACACAGAGTCGCCGTGGCTTTGTGGCTGTGGCGTCTGTCTGCGCGGTGAGGCTGGTACGACAGTTGGATGGGGGCTGAGAGGCGTGTGTGCGTGTGACGACGCCTTGAGGAGGCGAAGAGGTGTGGATGAGGGCCCGCGGGGCGCCTTAGTCTGGAGTAGAGGTGCCCCTATCCGGCTCCGGCGCCGTAATTGCGTTAATTAAGTGCCTAACAGTTCCATGTCGTGGGCTGTCCTGTTGTTCTCGTACCGCCGGCTATGCCAGATGGACTGGGAGGTGACGCACGCGGGTGCCGGTGACATTGTCTTTCTCTGTCGCTGGAGAGGGGGAATCCCTTCACGTCTGCCTGCTGGACCACGGAACGGGCAATGGATACTCTCGGGGAAGACCATTACACAAGAGATCAGAGAGCTCATGAGCACGAATGACGGGGGACCCCGAAAGCAAGCGCACAGACAGACCTGGTCCCTCGACGCACAGTGCGTCGGCGCCGGCTTCAGTGGCGGCGCACGGCATGGCGTGCAGCGCGTGCTGGTGCGGGGCCGAGACTCATCTACAGTGTCCTGTTCACGACTAGGCGAGTCAAACGAGACGACGAACGTGTGTTGCAGCCACACAGCCCCTTGTCTGTGTCCGAGTCCGTGATGACGTCTGTGATGCTTTGCTTCGTCTTCGTCCTTCGATCCGACGACACTCCGGTGCGACCGCCCTCCCTCAGAACTCCGCGTTCGCCGGGCGTCGCGTTCCATCGGGAGAATTCAGATGACGTGCACCGCTCTCCGTGCCCCAGCAGCTAGAGATGCATGAGAAGACATTGAGAAGCTGAACAAGCACGTCAGAAGAATGAAAAAGGGCTGACAAAGACGAAGCAGTCGACGAAGCATAGTGGAGTCCAGACATGATTCTGGGAAGCAGATCCATTCGGGCAATGGAAATGCAACAATGCAACAACGACATGACGAGGTGGCGACATACCGATCCACTCTACATGCCGCGATGCCCATTGACCGAACGACATGCCGCGTCCCGATACAGCGGATCGCAATAGCCCGATGCAGTCGGCTCTGTGTCGGGCGACCGCCTGGTCGGTATGTATCTCGGAATGAGACCGATGAGCTCAAGCTCCGCGGAGCAGCGCCGCATACCCCAACGACGTACCCATGATATACCGAGTCATCGGCGACCCCAAGCATCGGGCATCGGCCCATTCCTCGTCGCTCCATGCTCCATGTATCTCCCCATTCTCCCTGTTCCAGAAGATCAGTCACGGTCTCTGAGTGCTCTGAAGACATGTATCGGTCTTGTCGTCGGCTGGTCGGCTTGACGCTGTCGGTCACCTCTCGGCGGCCTTGCGTCAGCGGACGTCAGCACCTCCTCCTAAGCATCTAAGCAGTCGGATAATGTCCATTCCCCAGATTCCAAACTGGACCCATGGGATTGTTGTGTCGGGCAACACGCCAGTCGGCAGACGCCGCAACTAGCATTTGTCCCTTAGTCACACCTCTTACCGGCGGCATGGTACCCGACCCTTTGCATGCTGGTGGTAGTCTTTGACGGCCGGTACTTTTCACAGGCCAGCGTGCATAACGTGGCTACAACTGAGGGCACGCTCTAGGCGCAATTACAACTGGGATACAACAGAATTGTCCGAAAGGAGAGCGATTCGGGATGGTGTCGGGGAAGTATACAACTCTTGGATAATTATAAGGGCGTTAAATGTATTGTAATGGATGGGATGATGGGATGAATGCGTGTATGCTGTGAAGCGCCTTCCTTCGTGTCTTCGTTGTTCTCGACCAGTAATGAACAGGGCAGGGCGCTAGATCACGCACTGCGGCCGCCCTCCATTCGCATCGGCATTCCGGTCGTGCGCGATGCGTCAGTGGGGCGGAAGTGGATGGGTGAAAGAGACCACGGCCCCTTCCACTCCCCCTGCCAGTAGCGGTCCTGGCCGGTGGAATACGGACCCCAGGCGAGGTCGAGGCGCGAGTGGTGTTGCGATATCGGCGTAGACACTGGAGGGCAGACAGGATCCGGACCGTCGCCTCGGAAGTCGACGACCTTGCCAAACTTCTTGTCGAACCAGGCCAGGGCAGACTCAATCTCGGCATTGCGCTGGGCAGTGCGGTCGACAGTGCGCTCCTGGCCTTTGATGACAGCCTCATAGAGCGGGTCGGTGCGTCCGGTCTCGTGGTGGTCTATTGTTGTCAGCTTTGGCTCAGACACCCAAAAGTCCCTCGCGGGCTGTGCGCGTGCAACAGCGATCAAACTCACAGCCCAGGGCGCAATAGCGGCTCATCCGCGGGTGGTACACCGGGTTCGTGCATCCGGTCTTGTCTTCGTTGACGCCAGTGCAGGTGTGCTGCGCAAGTCAGCAAACATGCACTGCATGATAGTACCTCGTGGTGTGAACTCACCTCAGCGCAGAAGCTAGAGCCCGGAGCTTGTTCGCCCATGCAGGCACCCAACGGTTCGATGCAGCACTGCTCTTGTTAGGACTCACGTTCGCCACTATGTGCACGTTGAAACTCACGATGGACTCCTGCCAGGTCTTACCGTTACGTCCGGGCATGGCATAGGCCAATGTCGGAAGCCGGGGAGCAACCACACGGCGTGCCTTCGCGATCTTGCCCGTAACCTTCTTGGTGCGCACCTCGACAACCTCCGCGTCACTGACGGGTGCCTCGGGCATGTCAGACGTCTTGAGCTTCGGCGTGTGGGGTGGCGTCACCGTGACGGCGACCGCCGTGGGAGGTGGAGGCGGTGGAGGCGGAAGGGACCTCTGACGCTGGTGGTTCAGGCTGAGGCGTCTGTGGGTTGCGCGGTTCAGCCTGCGGCGGGGCTTGATCAGCGGGGGGAGGGCGGCAACAGCCGGGCGGCCTTGCTTATCGGTCTCAGAGTCGGGCGGAGAAGGAGGGCCGGTCATGCTGGGCGGGCGATGGATCTTGGGGATACTCTCGCTAGGAGTCATGGGCGACTGGCAGCGAGAAGGACCGGCCAATTTCGCATCCTGGGCCGAGACGGGGTGGTTGTTAATGCTGGAGGAAGCGAGTGCCGACACCAAGTCATTGACAGTGATGACACCCGGAGATGAGACAACCGCTTGGATCGGGGTCGTCGAAGTCGAAGGTCGAGCCGAAGTGGCAAACAGCTGAGGCGTAGGGCAGCATGTACGTGCTTGTTGTCTTGGGGAGGTGATCGACCGAGGCGAGGAAGAGGACACCACGGTCGAGGTGGGGGACAGGATCGGTGTGCTCATTTCTTTGGGGAAGACGAGTAAGAAAGGAGCACAGAGATGGGTGTCGCCTTGAGGGTGATGCGCTGGCGAGCCGTATAAGGAGGCGGCGTGCTCGCTGCTTAGATGCGAGAGGGCGAGAGTGATGGGCTTGGCGAAGGGAAAGGTGGCCCAGTAGAGGAGTGCGTGATCGTGTGCGCGATAGTGTATGCGGCTAGGGCGAGGAGATCTCAAGCGAAGGTCACGGGGGAGATGGCGAGGCAGACGCCGTTATTTATGGACCAGTTGGGACGTCTCTTGCCTATAGTCTTATCGCGAAGGGGGTGACAGAGTTGTTGTTGTTGTTGTCGCGGGGTGTGTTGTTGACTGCAAGCTGATGGGGGAGCAGCGGTAGTGGCGACGCGTTGATATTGTTGGCCAGGGACAATGAGATATGCGAGGGATGATATACTTTTGCAGTGGACCGGCATATCCTGGGCCGAGGGTGTGGTATGGGCCGCCCGGTCGTGGCCGCTGCCGCTAGCGGGCAGCATCGCGGTGTACGCGGGCTGACAGGCGTCAGACGCCAGGACCACGGGTGTCCACGCCGTGTGGTGGACTGACGCGCGTTGGGAGACCAAGACGCGCGCGGAGGGTCGGAGGATGAGAATGCCCGGTCTGATGCGTCTCTGGGTGCTGATGCTTCTCGGCTTGGGCAGCTTGGAGGGGCTCTGCGGCACCAGCAATGGGGGGCGCTCGGGCGTGGAGCGTGGACTCTTGCATGGCCTGGCCGCGATGGTCTGGGCCGCGCCGAGTCGAACGCCCTCTGCGCCCTGCGCCCTGGGCGCGGACGGTGTGGCCCGTCTGGCGTGCCAGATGTGCGCGGGCGTGCGCATCGCCAGCGCTCACACGGACACGCTCCCACCGATCCCACCGATCCTCCCAATGCTCTGTCATGCTGTCTCACCGCTATCACTCTCTGTTGCAGGCCCGCAGCACTGGCGTACAGGCCCCACACCCACAGCCACCCACTCACCCCCGCCGCCAGCCTCGCCAACGCCAACTGCGCCAGCCGGACGCCGGACTGAACCATCCGCTTCTGCATGGACCCTCGTTCCTGTCAGTCTCCAGCCTCAGCGCCTCAGCCTTGACTGCATCGACGCGTTTCACAGCAGTCTGGGCCATGGCCGCCTGTGAAGCCCCGCCGCAGCCCCGCAGGGATCCGATCTCAGCACTGCCAACAACTGCATCTAGAAACGGGAGTACCGTCTTGCCGTCTGTTTTCAGCATGTGCACACCCTCGGTTTACTAATCTAAGGCTACGGCTCACTCGGGGGTGCTCACAATGAGCGTTACATCATCGCGTAGATTGTTAGAACCAGTTCGGCCTATTGTTTGACTAGCTCTTTCATGAGATCGGTCCATGCAATGCACCCGTCCGCCGACTGCAACAAAAAATCGCGGTGGGGAATAGTCGGCCTAATCTTGTAACGCGGGTCAAGGCGACCACCGCACGACACTGGCGACCTGGGCTCTTGTTGTTTCGCGTTTCGAAGCCGTGTGACGCATGACGCAGGCACGTAGCTGGGCCGTGGGCCGCCTAACTGCCGGCTTTCTAGCGCTTCGAACCATTCGGTGGGTGGCGACTCTACCGACAGCCTTGACAGTCTTGGCTGGACCCAGGAGTAAGTGTCTGTGCACATCGAGACGACACTTCATCGGAGCCAGTCTATTCGCTTATTATCGGCTATGAGGACGAATGTCCGACTTCTGCCGATTATTATCAGCCTTAACTCGAGGAAGAAGATGACACCAGCATGCAAGGCCTTCTTCATCGGAGCATTGCTCGGAGCTTGGTGAGATGAGTCGTTTCCGGCGGTCCACATCGGTCGGTGGGCTGAAGCGCTGCCAACCTAATTTGTGTGATCTGTGGTGGCCACGGCGCAGAAGGTGTCAACAAACATGCGAGGTGCATCGACGTCACTCCACAAGCTTACATGACACCCTCACTCATCTCAACTCACACGGTTCACTCTGCTTCAAACTATAAGTGCCGGCGCAGCGTGGCTAAATCAGTCTCAATCGCATGCATGCGTCCCCGTGTCTGCGCATCCATGGGTAGGACGCATTCGATCATCGTGCTCGATGCATTGAGACGGGGCGCCCTCGGCGCATTTGCGCAATGAATGATGCATGCACTGTGTGCGTGTGGTTGTGTGCAGGCGTTGTGTGTTTGTCGCCATCGCAGTCACGTTAGTCACTGGCGGGGCTCTGGACCCGAGCAGCTGGTCTAGGGCTACACACATGCGGAAACGCCACAATCCGTATTGGGCGCACCTGGCCAGCCGCACGCCACTGCATGCTGCACTATTGTCACCCCGCCGCACCTCACATGACGGGCCGCCTTAGAGCGGAGTCACCTCCGCTCCAAAGGATGTCTGAGGACGGAAAGTGAGGTCCGGTGTGCACTCGAGATGAGTTGAAACGATCGCGCGCGCATCACACGCACTGCGCAGAGCAGTCTCAGATCACCAAACGCGCTGCACATCGATCCTGTTTGCTCCAGCTCCACAACGACAACAGCTACCGAGCAGACGATCAAGCAAGCTCCGTTCCGGTCGATGTGAGAGAGCCGTTGCTGCCTATCGGCCACGATCTCACTCGTACTAACTGCCAGCAGCACGAAGTTGCATGCATGTCAATTGCACTTCGACCCGAAACGTCGATAGTGCCACCGTGCCTCTGCTGACTGAGGAGGGCCATGCGAGGGGCACATGGCCTGACGTAGCCGCAAGATCACGTGATAGGCTCGGTGCGGACACCGGACATGACAGCTCTCTGGAGCTCTGGAGAATTCCAGAAATCATCATCGCAAGCCCTGCGCACTCGTTATCTCGGCATTGCTTGCTTCCCAACGTCTTACACCACCGTCGAGCACGTCGAGCAACATGAGCAACCCCAAGCCTCTTACCGAGTTCCAGCAGTCCTACCACTGGCGCGTGAGTATCCATTGATCGAGGCGTGCTCTCCTGAGCCGCGGAGAGTCACCGATTCGAATATTTCGAACATGGCCTTCTCCGAGGAAGACCGGCGGAGGCGCCGCGATTCTGACATGTCAACACCCGGCTCATTAGTTTCGAGACAAGCTCGCCGGTGGGTTTTGCACGAGCTGACATTGGCAGAACAAGAACTGCGGTCCTTGGGCGAACGAATGGGTCAAGGAGAAGCTCCCCGGCCTCAAGGTCTCGGACGGCAAGCAGAGCGCGGAGATCACCGAGGTCACCAATGTCTCGGGCGACTGTGACCTGGGCCAGCGTAAGGGCAAGTGAGTCACCTTCAACGGCTTCTGACTACCGACTGGTCGTGGTGCAGCCGTCGGTTCCTATTTGTTTAGCTGACCAACAGGCTCCTGACGATCTACGACCTGCAGTTCGACGCCAAGTGGAAGGGCACGACGTCATCGGGCGAGGAGGTGACGGGCAAGGTCTCGTGCCCGGAGTTCAGCCACGAGCAGGTCGACGGTCTGGAGGACTACCAGTTCCAGTTCAGCGCGGACAGCTCTGACGGTGAGACGCTCCTGCCGTACTTGAGGAAGGCGTTCCCACCCGTCCTGGAGGAGAAGCTCAACACGTTCCGGCCCGAGCTGCTCCAGTCGCACGGCATGTTTGTCGACTCGCTGACGGGTTCCGCTCCCCCCTCTGGCGCCGCGACGCCGGCAGCCCGCAGCATGCAGAGCTACTCCCCCGCCCCGCCGGGAGAGGTTCGCGAGAAGGCGCCGGCGGCCAAGAAGTCGGAGAAGGTCACGTCCACCGCCACGATTGAGGCTAGCGTCGACCTCCGCGCCTCCGCCGACGACGTCTGGTCTCTCCTCACCGACCCCTCGCGCATCCCCATGTGGTCCAGGAGCCAGGCTAAGATGGCCCCAACCCCTGGTGCCGACTTCGAGCTCTTCGGCGGCGCCGTCAGCGGCAAGGTCAAGGAGGTCGACCCCCCTACCAAGCTTGTTGAGAGCTGGAACACCAAGTCGCCCGGATGGCCTGCCGACCACTACGGCACCATGACGATCACGCTGAAGCAGGGCTCGGACTCGACCAACGGTAAGCTGAATGGCTCTCCGAAGTTAGCTAACTCGCAGTTACGTTCAAGCTCGACGGTGTCCCGGCCGGCAAGGAGGACGACATTGAGCGTGCCATTGACCAGTTCTACATCCAGGGGTGAGTAAACTGAGCTGCCGAGATGTGTTCTTGAAGCTGACAGACCAGCCTCAAGTCGACAGGGTTAGTACTGAGTGCGAGCAGTAAGAGCTGGCTGGTGAAGAAGGCGGAGACGCCGTCTGGCAAGGCGACCAAGGCGGCAACGGGCACTCGCCGACGGAAGCGGAGCGGTAAGCAGTCCGAGCCGACGGGCATGTGGGGCCTGGAGACCCCCCAGCTCGTCGGCATCGGTGCGGCCGCGACGCTCGCGGCCGTGTTCGTCGGTCTCGTTGCGTCCACTTTCAAGTGATCCACCCGTTCCCCTCTCCTCATCCCATCCCGCAACCACATCACATTCACTGCCTTCGTCATGACCAACCCACTTCATCACAGCCAACAACTGCACTGCTCCGCAATCAAACCCCCAAAAACGTTGTGTCCTCCTTTACTGATGCACAAATACACAAACAGGCTTGGAGTTCTTCTGTAATACCACTGCAATACTACCCCCGTATGAAAACGCGCGACCGCACGCGTCGCTGCGCCGCAAACGCAAACGCAAATTCACAAGCTTTTGTACGTCAGCGCGGCCAGTGCCGCCGTCAGCGCGAAGGAAGATGGAAGAAGACGTTGGGGATCTGTCGACTTCTGAAAAGAAGGGACAGGCCGCTTAGAACCCGCCGGCTCGCTGGCTTTGTAGGGATGCTAGACATGTACAAGAACTCTTGATGCGGTATTTCCATATTTTCTGATGACTGACTTCTCTCAGACTCGCCCATTGCCGCAATTACGGTCCTGGGGGGGGGGTCTCTAAATCTAGCTATTTTGCATCCGGTCTCAGTCTACAGCTGTCGAGGCAGGATAAGGTGGGTTTTATGAGTGAGAGAGAGACGGCTTACTTGCCGCCGGTCTGGATGCGCTGCGCGCGCGATTGGCGCATGGCGACGGCGCAGACGTAGGCCGTGATGCCGGAGAGGATAAGGAACGGCGGGAGGAACTGGTACAGCTTCCAGCTGACCCAGTAGCCGATGATGAGCGCCTCGAGGCCGACGAGACACGCGAGGAAGACGTACACGCTCGGGGGCGGCGTGCGCTTGCTGAGCGATGAGGAGAGGTTGCCGATCTGTTAGTCAGCTTTAGCTCCCAAGGAATGGAAGCTTGAACAGTGAACAGCTTGTCTATTCAGGTAGCCGTTCAGTCGAGCTACTCACCAGACCGAGGAGCAGCGCCCACGGCGCAAGCACGGCGGCGACACCTGCGATGGCGAACGGGAACATGACGATCTTCGCCTCGCGCTGGAACGTGTGCGCAATCTCGGGCAGCGGTTCGAAGGAGAGGAGGGAGTTGATCTCCTTCTTGGACGCGGAGGCGAGGATGATCTTGCCAACCTTCCAGCTGATGGGCTTCTCCTCGACGCCGTTCGAGAGCAGGATCGTGAGCTCGTTCTCCCCGTGGACGGGCGGCTCGGAGCCACGGATGGTCAGAGTTGCCTTCTTGCCCTCGCTCTTCACGCTGAGGGACTGCACGACCGGGACCTGCTCAGAGCCGGTGTACCAGGCAGAAGCCTGCAGTGCCGGGCCGCCCGTGACGCCGAACGTGAGCTTGAACGTGTCCGCGGGACCGATCTCGAGCGTGTCAAACAGAGGCTTCGAGGCGTCCTTTGCTCTGAGGGTTAGCTCGGTAAGCGAACCACAGCTGCTTCGCCAGCAAGCCGGCGCTCGACCAGACTTACGAGAACTGCTCGTCCTTTCCGCCCTGGACGAGCACCTTCGGGCCCTTGATCCCGAGCGCCGAAGCGAGAGGGAGACATGCGGCGGCAAGCACCAGAGCACGCCCGAGTCGAACCATTTTGTGTCTGGAGTGGATAATGTTGATGCTCGGCCGCTCGACGTTGTCACCGGCCGTCATGGAACACTCGACCGCGACTGACACGCAGCGTGGGGTGGAGGCCGGCCACGTGGACGCGCATCACGTGCCCACCTGTGGCACCTATTACCAGAATTGGGGAAGGCGGAGTATGTCGTATATCAGAGTGCGAAACGTCGTCGTTGCATGCATGGCCAGTGGCTCTCGTTCAGACATGCCTAAAGATGATTCCTTGCTGCGACTCTATGCCAACAGCAATCTTCGAAGCGTGCACTGGAAATAACTGAGGGGCGCAGGAACACCGAGAGACCATGCGCCCCTCGGTATTTGGTTCCATCGATACAGTCACCTGCAGATCATGGACAGCAAGGTAAACACTTGTTCTTTCGAACTTCTTAACGTCTTTGCATTCCAACTGCTGTCTTACTAGAATGGTTAGCTTCCCGGTATGGACCAGCAGCTGAAAACAGACACCCAGGCTTCCGCTCGAGATCATCACGAAGGTGCTTGAGGATGTGCCGCAAGAGACACTCTTCTCCACCCTGACCGTCAACCGCGACTTCAGCAAGGCTGCCCTTCCTCTTCTCTATCGACACCTGTACTTCCAGCCTAAGCGCACCAGCAAGCGAGGCAAGATCAGCCCTGAGCACCTGCGCCACGTCAAGATGCTTGACATTTTCGACCACGACCTCAAGCACTGCGAGAAGCTTGAATTTTCCCACTCACCCGACGTCGTCCGCTTCCATTGGAACGATTCCATTGAGAAACTGCACAAGTGGCATGGCGATGATAAGCCCTGCCCTTTGCTGAGCTTGAAGCCGAAGAGCGTCGTCTTCGTCGACTTCGATGCCACGAAGGCGCCGCCTGACGCGAAAGCGTTCAAGAACGTCATTTATCCCCACACCGAAAACCGCGTCGTCATGTGGGACATCAGCGAGGAGCTGGACAACAAGGGCTGGAACGCCGCGGTGAAGAACGTCATCTTCCCTCCCGAGAAGGATGATACCGGCTTCGAGTCCCGCATCAAGGCGATCAAGAAGGGTAAGGGCGGCGAGCCACGCCCCGACGACCTGACGCGCCGCGAGATCGTCGTCTTCGCCAACAATACAACCAATCGCCATGCTGGGTTCGGCTTCCTGTGGTGGTTCAAGTCTTTCGCCAAGGAGCACTGCCGCCGCAAGCACATTGTCGTCAACATGGGGGCTTACCGTCCCAGGGACGCCCACTACATCGACAGCCTCGAGGAGGAACTCTGGAAGTACTGCGCCAACAAGAGCGAGGAGTCCGACCTCCCCGATGACGACGAGGATCCTGACAAGTACGACAATCTTCACCTCCTGAGCATCAACACCTGGGAGAGGATTGAGGACTGCCGTCCCATGCTTCTGGAGTATCTGACGGAGAGCGAGATCCACAACCTGCTTCCCCCTCCCAAGGAGCCCAAAGCCTCCACTAAGAAGGGCAAGAGCAAGAAGTGAGCTCAAGTAGCTCCTGCAGCCGCCGCTGGCCCCCATCCATGCCATCACGTATCACATGCAATCCTGTTGTACATACTCACGACCAGACTCACTGCCCGCATTGACCATCGGCTACACTAACCTCCCATAGGCTGCCTTTGGCCCCGCTACCTGCTCCCTCGCAACTTCTGCACACAGCAGGGCCTCACAGCAGCCCCTCTCGTCGAAAAAGAAGCCTCGTATGGGGCTCGAACCCATGACTGTGTGATCAATCGGCTCTGAGCGTAAGAGTCACACTATCTACCGACTGATATAACGAGGCCACGTGATTGAATGGCCACGCAGGGAGCAGCGGTGCTCGGGCTACGCGTAGCACTGAAAATCTTCCAAAATTTCCCAATAATCATCGAGATATGGCGATTGGAAGATCTGCCCCTCTTCACACTCGCACCTTTCCTTGTCCCCTTGATTGCGTTACGCTCAATGGTGGTTGGAGGGGTAGCAGTGTTCGAATCCCGGCGGGGGGCCGCAAAAAGAGCCTCGTATGGGGCTCGAACCCATGACTGTGTGATCAATCGGCTGCTGCTTGCGCGTTGCTGCGTAAGAGTCACACTATCTACCGACTGATATAACGAGGCGTTTGAAAGGGTCTGGACGACGGTGCGAGCGCAGGGCTACCCGGAGAGCGAAGAAAATTTCGGAAACTCTCAGTATTGGACGAGATATGGACGGCGGAACTCCGGTGTCTCACTCGGCCTTCGCACCCACTGCTGCGAGGCGTTGCGTGGAAGGGTTCGAATCTCGCTCCGAGCCCCACTTGAGGCAGACTTTGCAGCTGACGGACGAGGCTTCAACGTCTCAGAGCTCTGCGTCAGCTTCCGTTCGACGTGATTATTCACGTGGTCAGTCCCACGAACGGCTGGCTGAAAGCCTTTACTCTCAGGCTTCGACAGCGCCTTTAGGAGCCGTGAGAAGGTTCTTAGTGCATTGCATTACCTGCACGAGTTTGCCTTGAGCCCAGGCGTACCCAGTCTTAAGACATGCATGTAGCTACGGCAGCAGCGGCCTTCTGTGCAGAACAGTGCGACCCAGATGGCGGTCGCCCGACGCGCTCAGGGCTGATTCCGCGAAATTAGGGTTTGACGCGTCAGTCTGCAATGAGAAATCCGTCGCGTCGCCAGGCCAATGTTGACTTTGTCTTTCGCATCCCTTCCACCACCAGGAGCTCCGTAACGAGAGCACAACGTCGGCGTTCGATACCAGCATCATGCCCAGAGTCAAGCACGAATCCAATCTCATCGCAGTTCCGGCTGTGCTTCGTCTGCACCCGTTCTGGCTCGCCTCCCCACTGCTGAACAGCACCTGCAAGGGGTACGGCAACTGCATCCCATTCCACATGTTCAAGCAAGTCTTCGAAAAGGTGGACGAGATCGCAACGCGCTTAGGAGATCTTGAGGGACCCACGAGCCCCTCTGCGATCGCTGCCAGCACGCTCTGCAACAACATTCACACTGCATACCTTCGAGACGCGGGCATCTATCTCCAACGGACGTCCTCTCGCAAAGGCGCCTTCGGCGCTGCATCGACGAGTGAGTCGGGTACCCTTCACATCTGAATGCCAGCACTAATACCCCAGCCACAAGCGGTTCAGGATACACAAACTCAAACGAGTCGACCATGGCTGCTGAGCTGCGCAACGAGCTCAGCCGCGTACAGCGCGTTCTCGTCCAGCACCTCACCGGGATTCAGGACAGCGCGGTGAACATCCAGAGCACGCAGACGAGTCTGAAGCGGCGCATCGACGCGATCGAGAAGAACGACGGCAGCAACAACGTCATGGAAGCCATGGTGCGCAAAGCCGAGAGCCGCGTGGGGATTCTCGAGCAGCGGGGGCAGATCGTGAGCGCTGGCATGTCCGACGCCCTCAAGCGTGTCGGCGAACTTGAGAATCGACTGGACTTTCAGGACTCGCTCCTCATGAGCTGCAAGGACGCGGTCACCAAGGTGAACGACCTGCAAGCCCGCCAGGCTCAGCAGGAGGAGAACATCAACAAGTGCCTCCTCGACATCAAGAACGTCGGCAGTAGGCTCGATGGCCTCGAGGCTATGATGAGGGACATCAAAGATATGCTGGAAAGTGGTAGCCCTATGGGGACACCGGGACCAGAAGCTTCGGGCAACAAGCCGGGGCAGCTCCCGACTCCGCCGAAGGAGAACTCGCCAGGAGAGGTCGCGGGCCAGTCCGCCGCCGACGCCGAGGTAGACGCCGCAGGAACGGAGACGCCGCCGGCCAAGCGTCAGCGAACAGAGCCCGTCGCGGAGTGAGCACCGCCATGTCCCACGAGGCTCGGCCGCTGACCATCAGGTCGATCGCCACCGGCACAGAAGCATGAGGACGAATGCCGCGCGTGTCTCGGTCCGGCACTGGCAACGAGTCCCCCTTAGCTCCTCATTTTATCCACTCTCGTCACCCACTTAATCGCTCATCCCACCAGTCCACTTTATGGGCTAATGCGGTAGCCGTCACGGTAGACCTCCCATCGGCTCCTAGCTTGTTGATCACTCAAGCCAGCGTGACCAACATATAAGAGCTCCACTATCCTTCGCTTGCTTCTCGCTTTCGCAAATATCCTAGTTCTCGCAACCCCTCGGCAGTATGGTTCGCATTCCGTCAGCCGTATCCGAGCACCACCTGATCAAGGGTTTCCCGCACTTAGAGGGGTGTGTTCTGTACAACAACTCTCGCATTCCGCTACCCGTCGCACCTCCGATCGCGGCAGAGGTGCACGCCTTCTGCGCAGCAGCGCTCCTCCTCAGCCCCTCGCCTGAGGCCCAGAGAGATGTCAAGACATTCAAATCCACTGTCGAGCTCATGATCGAGTGTAAGTGGCGCCTGCAATGGATCGGGGCTAATGGAAGGCTTCTCTGTGTCACATACGAGCGCACTTGCAGCTGTCGAGTTGCTCAGCGCATTCGATGACCTCCGTGGGGAGGTGGACGCGTGCCTAAAGAAGGTCGAGGCGAGTAGCGACATTGAAGCCCGCCTCAACCGTCTTGAGCGCATCGCCGAGGAAACGCTGGCCCTTGTCCGTGAGACATCCGTCTTGACCACCGGTGGCAAAATCCCCAAAGGTGTGCCGCTCAACGAGGCACAATGCTACTCTTACCTCTGTACGGCGGGAGAGACTTGCTACGCACCGTGTTGCCCTCGCGGCCGCGGCCAGCCGGACGAGGCCGGCTCGATGTGAACCCTCCAGAAGTCAATCTGTACCAAACATCAGTTGTACGAAATGCATTAGTCCCAGTCAACTCGTCAGCCCGCCCAGACAGATGTGAACGCAGTTACATGGTTGAGAATCTATTCGCCTAGCTGTCTACTCGCCCCTCGCCTTCCACACGCCAACCTCTCCGTCCTCGCCACCGGCGGCCAGGACCTCGCCGTCCCAAGCAACAGCGAGGAGACGCTCGCCGAGGACCTTGCCGTTCTTCGTCTCGGTGCGGTTGAGCTCGCCCTGTCTCCTGACGCTGAAGAGCGCGTGCTTGGGCGATCGGACGTCCCAGATCTGGACGTTGCCGGCATAGGTGGCCGTGGCGAGGGTGAAGGAGCTGCGGGGGTGGCACTGGAGCGAGGGCACGGGGGAGCCGACGTTGAGGCTCTGGGCAATGACGGAGGCGGCCTGGCGCGTGTCCCAGAGCGAGACGGTGCGGTCCATGGATCCGGTGGCGAGCTGGCCGCTGCCCTGGAACTGGTCGAGACAGAGGAGCGCCTTGTCCGCCGGTCCCTGGCGGGTGAGGACGTTGGCGCCCGTCTCGGCGTCCCACTGTCGCACGCTGCCGTCCCATCCCGCAGACCAGACACGCAGGTCCTCGTTCACGTCCCACACGACAGCACCGACACGCCCCCGGTGTCCCCGGAACTGGAGGTCGGGAAGACGGCGCCATCCCTCGCCCGCGGCTCCGGCGTCGCCATCAGTCAGACCCTCGATGTTTCGCGGCGCGTCGCCGTGCAGCTTGCGCCGCTTCTTCTGTCCCGGAAGGTACGACGTCGGCTCGGCGTCGACCTGGTGCGAGTCTGGCTCAGACTCCGGGACGACGTAGAGGTTGACAGTCGAGTCCCACGACGCCGAGACGATGTCCTTGCCTGTTCGCGAGGTGATGACGGACGAGATAGGACCGGTGTGGCCCATCAGGGTGTAGATCTCACGAGCGGTCGCACCCTCGCTTGCGGCGATGTCGGGCTCGAGAGACGGAAGCTGGTAAACGTGCGTCGCGCGGTCGACACCACCAGCAGCCACAAGGATGTCGCTCGTAACGTCAGAGGGAGAGACCCACGTGCAGCTCGTCGCACCAAGGGATGTCGGGAGGGGAAGGGTGTAGAGCGGCGTCGGGTCCGCAGCGCCGAGGGGCATCACCTGCACGTTCGAGAGGTACGAGGACACGAGCATGTGTCTGTTGTCAGCTCACCAACCTCACGTAGTAGCTTACCCTTTCCTCTGGAGGCTGATGCCAGAGACCCAGTCCTCCTGCTCCCATCGTCCCGCCTCGGTAGGAGGCATGACGCTCTGCATGTACTCGATGGAGATAGCCGTCTCCTCGTCGTCGCCGCGGTGGCGCTTGACCCAGTTCTCGAGCGAGCCGCGGAGCACCTCACCCTCGACAACGAAGTCGAACGGGACCGGCGCGACGCCGCTGTCGCCGCCATGGCCGAGCACCTTGTTGATGAGCTCGGAGAGCTGGAAACGCCGCCAGTCCGCCGGGATGAAGTACGTCGACTGCGGGATGGCATAGCTGTCACTCCGCGTGAAGAGGTTGACGGGCAGCTGGCGCGGGCCAGAGCCTGAGCTCGAGGGGTCCGCCATGTTGATTTTGTGGTGTTAGGTGTTGTTGACGCAGTAACCTGTCGTGGGCCGGTCACTTGGTGACGAACCGAATTCTGAAATTTCAAGATCACACACACCACGTATTACGTAACCTCCACTTCCTCCACCCTCCTCGATCCTCGATAGTGCGAGCGTTGATGTTGTGACAGTCGCTCTTTGTCCTTCCCCCAAACAGCTGCGACATCATGCAGCAGCTCCCGACCATCCTCCCTCCTCCGCCGTTACTGGACGGAACAGTTCCGACGCGGTCGCCGGAGAAGCACGCCAACCTTGTTCGCTTCCAATCCGAGCTGGAGGTGAGCTTTGGGGCGAGATTGACCACAGCTGACATCAGTTCGTGCAGTGTCTCGCGAACCCCCTCTACTTGCATGAGCTGCATCTTCAGAAGTATCTTGAGGACCCGGCATTTTTGGAGTATCTGAAGTACATGGAGTACTGGCGCAAGCCGGAATACGTTCGCTTCATTGTGTAGGTACTGCGAGCATATCTACGCTGACCTGCCAGTTATCCGACATGCCTGTACTACCTTGGTCTGCTGCAGCAGCCATCGTTCCGCGTGATGCTCGGTGACATGGGCTTTATCGGTGAGCTGATTCGCCTCGGCACACGGCATCACGAGACATGGTAAGCTGCAAGGTCGCGACAACCAAGCTGACATCAGGCGCGCTGAGAAGGAGGAAGTCAAGGACGAACCGAAGGAGGAAGGCGCGGAGAAAGATGCGAAGACCACGAACGCTGAAGCGGCTCCGGCCACAGCATAGACTGCTAGAACACTGTTGTACTGATGTCATAATGTATAAATCTACAGATAATCGTCGCCGTCTAGTTCTTCTTAATGACCGCCTCGTCCATGCCCCAGCGCGCGACCGAGGCCGCACCGCCCATGCTGTCTAACACGAGGAGGTTGGTGATCGGATTGTCCTTGCGGGATAGCGCACGGAGAACGTCCTGCGCGAGCAGACCTCCGAGGATCGCCAATGTCGGCGGGAAGAAGTGAGTTGCATGCTCGGCCAGGTGCCTGATGTCAGCTATCAGTATTCGAGGCCAGCACTTACGTGATGATCACCTCGTCAACGCTCCTCATCGTGCGCTTGTTCACGCCGAGGTCCTTCAGCATCTGCTCCGCCGTGGCCTGGATCTCCACCGCCGCCGCAGAGCTCGAAGGCAGCCCGTGCTTCGCCTCGTAGTCCCACAGTGACTGGAGCGCGATGTGCAGATCCGGCCGGGCCTGGCGCGTGTTCGCCTTGGAGAGGCCGCGGAAGGGACTTCCGCCCTTGCCGGCTGGCGTCTCAACGTCCTGCCACTTGCTCCGGTCCAGCGCCTGCGAAAGCGGCACGTAGTTAGTCTGGAGCTTGATGAGGGCGCTATTCGGGTCACCTCGGTTCTCACTGAGGGTTAGATAAGCATCTGCAGGTAACCCACCTAGCAACGTTCTCGTACTTGGCACCGAGATCGGCGAAGATGTACCCGTAGAATCCGTAAGATCCAGCCGCGAAGAACATGGAGTCGGCATCGCGCACGGCAGCGTTGATGGCCTCGAGCTGCGGGCGCGCAAAGTCGCACGCGACGACGACATCCACGCCCTCCCGCTTCAGATACTCTGCCATCTGGGCACGATCTCCGGGCGCACCATCAGAACCGACGAAGGGCGCAAGCGTCGGCTCAGCCGTAAGCGAAACGAGGGGGTTCAGAGACTGGATCTGGGCCAGAGCTGCCTCCGTTCGCTGATCTGTCAGCTGGTAGTCGCCATTTGAAGAGCTCACGTTCTTGCCGACAGCGCCATCCTCCTCGCGGAACAAGAATCCGCTGCCGAGATCTTCCTCCGTGACCGCGCCGTCGTCCATGACAATGAGGCGGCCGATGCCGGCCAGCACGAGGTTCTTGATTGTCTCGTGCGCAACGGAGCGAAGCGAGAGAATCAGCACTGTCGAAGAGCGCATCCTGTCATCAGCTTCCACACGACTCATAGCTAACCTGTTCTGCGCCTCAACACCCCACAGACGGATCTGACGGTCGTACAGCGAGGCCTCGGCTGCACGTCAGCTCATGTAGCTAGATGTGAGGCTCACCCTCGGTGATCTGGCCATTCGTGGCTGGCGCAGCATTGTTGACCTCGTCAGACATGGCGGCGAGCTGTTGAGTGATGTGGTGATGGCAACAATGAGAAGTGGAGGGCACAACAAATGTCGGTGTCTTCCTCGCGTGCCAGGTGAGTCATGTCGCGTTGCATTAGAATCCGCAATACTATTCTCCTAATCGACCGATGACGCCAGCTGTAATCGCCGTTTGTTACCGTTTGGTTCCGCACGCCGCACGACCGCCGGCTAGTGCCAGCGCTAGCGCCCACCGGCCACTGGCACGAGATGAGGTGGATGAGCTGATCCACTCCTTCTCATCGCATACACCATGGTCGTCGCCGCCCCCGTCTACGACAAGTCCGATCCCAAGAGCGACAAGTGAGCTGAAAGGCGCGAGGCTAGCTGACGACAGGCTCTTCGCGTACCACCTCCCGGCGTCGGACGACTGGGAGGAGCAGCGCGACCTCTTCGGCAGCGCGCTCATGATGATGGCCGGTGGAGGCATGTTCATGAAGAGCCCTCTGTGAGTCTACTGGAGCACGGAGCGCGAAAGTGACTGTGCTACCGTGCGGTCTCTTGGTTGCTTCGATCTGCACCGGTGTCGCAGCACCTGGTCCAACGCGACTTGTCCCACGAGCGGCTGTCAAAACCAGAGCACTCCATACGAGCAGCGCACTTGCTGTCTGGACCCCAGTTCTTAGCTAACAAGCAGCATCATCTGGACCGCGATGGTTCTCGCCGTCTCCTCTTTCGTGACCACCGAGTCGATGCGCCGCAAGCCGGACGCCTCGTCGCCCCTGGCTACTCTTGGGTAGGCTACTAGTATGGAGGCGAGCTGACATCAGTATGGCCGTTTCCGGAGTCATCGCGACGAGCATGCCCAAGGTTCTGCTCGCGCCTGAGGTCGACGCGGCCGCTGCTGCTGCTGCCGCCGCCGCTGCGACCGCCAGCACCTCGTCCTAGGTTGTATACATTGTTGATGGTATTGGGATATCGGTATCTTGAAGGATCGGCCGAGCACTGACGCACGGGACCGCTGCGACTCACAAGTTCAAGAGGGCAATCGGCCGGACATGCCAGCCACGCGGACAGAAGGGGCCGACCGACTCATGCTTGATGAGCAGGGGAAGGATAATGGGGTTACCAGGAAACGAGACGAAGGCATTCGACGGCGCACATCAAACGCATGCTCTTTGTGTGTGGTGGCTGGGAAAGGCTTGATGCGCTGCGCACACACATGCCATCAGCGACCCAGCCGACCCGGTCTGAGCACCCCGCCTGCCTCGAGGCAAGGCTTTGCACAACAGGGAAGATCATGTCCCGCCTCGTGTCTTCTAGCCCCGTGCACCGATCGTCGAATCTCATCCTCGCCCCGCTCGCAACGCCGCACTGTCGCACTGTCGCCTCCTTTGGACGAAGCTGCGGAGTAACGTGCGTCGCGCGCGTCGTGCCCATCAAGCGCATCAAGCGACCATGGCCTGGATCCGCGAGAAGGCTGGGTGCGAGTCAGCACCGGGTGTGCGCAGGCGGATGGCCGTCCTGTCTGTGTTCTTCTCTTCTTCTCTCTTCTTCTTCTGACATTATCCTGACGACTATTGCACCGGTTCTGGCTACTCACCCAGTCTCAGTATCAGTCTGTCGCGAGTCTTGTTCACCTAGCTCAACTCGGTTCCTCGGCTCGTCACTCGTCCACTCGTCCACTCGCCGCTCAGCCTTCAATGACGAATCCCAAGATGGCCGAAGGCAGCAGCAGCAACATCCAAGCCGCCCTCAACCTAGGCGACGCGGTGCCGCAAAACGCCAAGATCACCATCAGCCAGGACGCGCCGCGCCACGACGACGCGCTGGGCATCCAGCTGCCGACAATCTACATCAACCCCGTCGTCGTGCCGAAGGAGGAGCCTGTGCCGGCGCCCCTTCCAAAGAAGCCCAAGGAGCCCAAGGAGAACGGCACGAAGAAGGAGCCAAAGGCCGAGCCCAAGGTTGAGCCCAAGGTGCAGGTCGTGGAGCGGGTGCAGCAAGTGTGGGAACGCCGCCCCCACCCCCTCCTCTGGGTCACGCTTGGGCTCAGCATCGTCGCGCTAGTTCTGGGTGTGCCGAAGGGCAGCCTGCCGACCGTGACGGGTCGTCACAAGGCTTTGCGCGTGAGTCCGTTATCTCCCTCCTTCCCTTCTTCCGTCTTCATTCCTCTCGCTGTGCAATGCGGAATCGTCCAGCTAACGTCCAGAGCCAAGAGTTGCTAGTCGCAGAGCGCCTCGCCCTCCTCTCCCAGCTGTCCCTCTTCCTGCCCCCACCCCTCTCGGGCCTCCTGACCTCTGACCAACTCTCGCTCGCGCAGTTCCACGCCCTAACCTCTGCTTCCAACTTGCACGCGGCGCAGCAGCGCACCTGGTGGAACATCCAGGACTTTGGATCCGGCGCGAGCCTCCTGACCGCCCAGCGGGACGGGAGTGAGCGCGAGGTGTGGGTCCTCCAGGTCCCCTCTACCTCTTCCAACTCTCTCTTCTCGACCTCCGAAGGCAGCGAGAATGGGGACAGAGTGCTCCTGGCCGCTCTGACGGGCAGTTTGGCTGCGAGGGAGAAACTGATCCAGGAATTGCAGGTCTGTCGCTCCCCGACGACTCGGGCTTTACCTACGGTCACCGTGGGTGCTGGCAGCGGTGGTGGGGCTGGAGGAGCATGGAGGGAGAAGGAGCGGGAGGATGAGTGGAAGCTGGACAGGATGAGGGAGCGCGAGGCCGAACTCGAGGAGCGCGAACGACAGGTTCTCAAGCGCGAGAAGTGGGTTGTCGACGAGATGCGCAAGATGAGCGAGCGCAGCCGGTAGGTCATCTTGAATGCTAGAGTAGCTGGATCCGTTAGCTGACAGTTCAGTGCCCAGGCGGCCGAGATTCAGATGGAGGAGAGGATCGCAGACCGCCTCAAGTATGCCTCACGTCACTGATCCTCTTTTCCCCTCACCTCGCATCCTCGATTTCTCCCTTACTCCCTCGTCCCAATTAGAAGAACGTTGCCTACCATTCTGTGGCTTCCTCGTACACCTCCATAGCCAAACCCAGTTCCCTCGCCGCCTCGCTGCCTGCGACAGCTCGAACCCTGTGATTATGACAAAAGTACATCTCGTGCCATACCGTATGCGCTTGCCTATGGGGTTTTACAATTGTGCGTTGCTCGTTGCTGGAGAGTGCGGATGTCTTCCGAGCGTGCGTGTGCGTGAATGAAATGCGAGGAATGCCGGAGGTGCGGAGGGTGCGGAGAGGTAAGGGGTGGGGAAACAAGTGAACAGTGGTATTTTGGTATTACGATGCCCTCGGCGGAGGGAAGTCGGGTCGTGGTTGTATTGCGTAAGGAGTTGAGTGAGCCTGAGTAAAGCGACGAGCGTGTGAAGAATCTCAACTCCACACACGCCTCGCTCCAGCTGACGCTGGAGCTCGGCTTAGCTCGAGTTCGAGTTGATGCTGACCTCATACTCGTTGCTCGACATCGAGGAAGTGCGCGAGGCGCTGACGAATGCGCGCTGCTCGCCGTGCTCGTGCCGCTTCGAGCTGCCCGCCTTGACAGTCGCGTCCGACTTGGCGCTGTCGTTCCGGCGCAACGTCGAGGGTCCGGGTCCGTCGGCGTATGCGTCGTGCACCGGCTCCATGGCGTTCGGGAAGCCCTCGCTCGCGCCCGCATCGGGGACCTTGTCGATCGGCGCCTCGAAGCGGTCGTCGTACCCGCTCTTGACGCGGCAGTTGGACGTCGCCTCGCGGATCTCGGCGCGCAGGTCCTCCAGACTCCACCAGTTCATGTATGAGAAGACAATGTTGCGCCGCCACAGCGTCGAGCCGGGTAACGTCTTGTCGAACGGGCCGAGGAACGCCTGCGCATGCAGGTGCGGGTGCGGCGATCGTGGATCCGCTGGAAAGGGTTAGCACTTTGGAACCATGTACAGGGGCGAGACTCTTCCAGCCATCGGGTCGACGGGGCGCTTCGATATATTTATAGCAATGCTGCGAAGGGGCGCCAAGAATTTCGATTACTCACCAGGCATGCCGTTCACAAACCCGACACGGACGTCCTTCTCTCCTAGTCCTCGCTCTGCGATCGATGCATTCGGAGCAGCGACAGATCGTAGCAGAAGCCGCTTCGCCGTGTTGATCATGTGAGAGAGCACCGGGATATCCGAAGGGCCCTGTGCTCAGTCAGTAATTGCGGCCGAAACAACCCCCCAGACTTCATCTTCCTCGTACTCACCAGGTCATAGACGTTCGTCAGGTGCTGGTTCAGGATGATGATGAGGTGTCTTCCCTCAGGACACAGCGACTCCTTGCCCTCGGCCGGGTAGACAGTGATAAAGTCATCCCGGTAGATGACCTGGTGTGGTCCCACGTTTATGACGCGGTTGGACTGCCCCGGCGGCACAGGCGGCGCATACGGCTCGATCGGAGGGCCATTCGGTCGCTGGCCGCGCTGCAGGTCGGGGGTCGCGGCGCGGACTGGCGTCGAGAGCGAGATGGACGGTGAGATCGGAGACTGAGGGGCACTGCTCATGCTGGAAGAATGCGATGCGGCGCTGGCGACGATACCGCACAGCACGCAACCGGGGTGGACCGCAGTCATGACGGGCGGGCCGTAGTTGTCGCTGCGGGCCTGCGCACGAGTGGACAGTAAGGGCGAGCTCGAGGACGTGGCCTGTCGTGTCGTGGCGTACTGAACGGGTGCGTGGTGGTAAGAAGTGGAGACAGCAAGACGGCCATCGACTACTCGCGAGCCCGAGGAAGACCTGGCCGTCTGCGGGCCCATCGTACCCTGCATGATGTGCGTCGAGACAAGCTTGGCAGGTTCGATTTAGAAAGCTGCGGTTCGCGCGGGTCCGAGAGAGGGGTGGGAGAGTCTGGGCGATCGGGCACGCGGCGGCGATGCAAGGGGTCGGTCGACGAGGTAAGTTTGAGGGGGATTGAGGGGGGTGACGATCGTGAAAAGCGAAAGCGAGATGCGACACGCAGAAGGAAGACTAGGACGTGATGTTTGCTGCCGATGAGACAAAGAGGTATGAGCGATGCGCGTTGTGCAGAGTGGGAGTGTTGGCGTGTGCGGAGAGAGAGAAGTAGGTGTGTGTTGATGCGTTGGTAGGCGGTCGTGCAGAGAATCAAGTCGAGACTGCGAGGAGCTGCAGGCGGCTCAAGACCTAGATCCTATGCGCGCGGTGGCCGATGGAGATCGAGGACGGGGGAAGGCACGCAGTACGGCAAGGGATCGGGGTTGAAAGGTCCAGACACGCAAGAGGCCAGAGGAGACTTCAGGAAGAGTTGAACAAGGGCCAGAGGGACGAGGGACCTGCGAGGGACGGGCGAGGGTTGATGACTGCAGGCGAGGGACCTGCGGCTGCGCAGCACGGGGCAGCCGGCGGTGAGGGTGAGGCGCAAGTGGGTTTGCTTTGGGCTGCCCGAGCTTTGCGTATTGCGTCTTCCTCTCAGCCGATGGCAGACGGCTTCCACGGAATGCAGTCTGTCGGTAAGAGTAATGCGTGGGCAGGCGGGCGGTGTCGATCTGCATGCACTGACCACAGTGGCGCGCCCCTGTGTCAAGTGAGAGTGATGCGAGGAACTGAAGTGGAGATTGTACAGGCAGGTGAATATTATATTTGGCTAGAATCGGCGACAATGGAGCGAGCCAGGAAGGTTTTGGTGCTGTCGCTTGGCTGTGGTGGGTTGGTGGCTATGGGCCATAGACTGGATATGTGCAGGAGGTGCAAACGGCCGGGTGGGTGGTGTCGCATAGTGGTCGACGTCAATTGCAGCTGTGAGCAAGAACGGCGAGGCTCGCCGGGACCGTGAAGGAGCGTGAGGGAGCGTGAGGGTTGCGTCCAGGGCGAACGGTGGGCCTTGAGGGTCAGGCCGAGGGCAACGTGAGGGTTGAGAGGGCCGCAGCGGTGGTCGACCAGTCAGAGGCGGCAATGGCGAGGATAAAGTTGAGGATTCCTGGCCATGCCTGAGACGAAACGATCACGAGTGGAGTCAGGTCCCTGACCCGTATCGTCGATCCTATGCCCTCGCTGTCTCTCCCTACCTTGGCCCAGGTAATAATAATCATCTTCAGGACACAGCCAAAGTCTCCTATTTGCTCACTCGCTGGCCGCCCCTTGGCGCGATTACAAACCCAACATGTCGCGCGCGTCGTCGCGCTCGTCTGTTGCTGGCATGCTGACATCAACACACACTAGCGGGACGCGTTGCGTGTATCGCTGGCCGAGGACCGGCGGCTGCGGGCACTAAACGGCCCGAGCGTCATGTTAAGTGACGATGCCAAGCCCTTGGTAGCTTGGTATCTCGGAGAGTCCAACACGCCTGGCCAGGAAAACAGGCATGCCGCGAGACAAAGACAACGGATCACCGACCTGTTGTGCTTACGCTTGGACACCGCGGGCGCCGAGAGGCTGCTGATGCCATCGTCACCGCACTGATGTAAGGACTGGCTGCCGAAACACAATCAGACAACTGGATACCAGTGCAGCGTTGCACTGGCTCATCTGGGTACCAGCGGTGAAGACGTGTGCAGTGTCTTGGTACGTCTAAATCTGGATCGAGATCGTGCAGATCCTGTGTGTGACCTGGATTGCCTGCAGGCCTGACGTGATCCTTGAATGGACGCCGAAGCCATATTGCTCCAGTGTCATTGCCGTGCATGCCGTGACGTTCTTGTCCTCGTGGGATGTGCACCAGAAGGGGATCACGCTCAATGGATGCGACAGTTCGGCGTGTCGTGACTTGAGCCGTCCGTGGCCCCGAGTTCCAGCAGAGGAGTATCAATCTTGTTGACATGGACGCGACGGAAGCAGTTGCTGGATGGGAATAATGAGACGGAGAATTGCAGGAAACAAATATCCTTTCACGTGACTTGTGAATGCCGCGGACAGCGAGTGGTGTCCACGTGTGTCAAGGTGCGGGGACCCAATGTGGAGGAGCAGGTGTGTCCCTGCGGGATTAGAGGTGGGATTGGGGGCTTGGGGGGGCGGCGCGGTATTTGCGGCGCTGGGCTGGGCGGGACCTGGGATTAGGCTGGCCTGGCTAGCATGGCTAGGGCTGATGCGTTTGGCTCGCTGAGTGGTGGTGGGTATGGTCCGGGTCGAAGTCGCCGGGGTTTCAAGGTCGGCAACCGGACCCAGCTCGAGCCGAGCTCCTTCCTTGCTCTCCCTTCCCTCCGCCGCCAGGCACTGACATCTGGGCATCTGGCAAGCAATGCTTGGGGGAGCACGTCTAGTATTCCACATGCAATCGGCCGTATGCGCGTCTAAACCCCCAGTAGCCTTTAGCCTTACCCCGTTACCCCTCGCTTTAGGTCCCTACCCTCTCACCTGACAAGTCTTAGGGCCACCCCAGCCAGCACATACTCTCTGCACCCAAGAACAATATAAGTTCACCGCTACCACTTCCTCTTCACCATCTCTTCCTTCTCCACTCCCCACTCTACCGTCCACAATGGTCGCCGCCGCTGCTCGTGCCAACGCTGTCCGTCTCATGTCCCTTACCGCCTCCCAGGGCTGTAGGGGATGCGGCCGCTCTCACGCTGCCGCCCACTCTTGCACCCCCGGCTCTCACGACCACGGCCACTCGCACTCCCGTGGTCTTGCTACCCCCGTCGACGTCCCCGGTCCCGGAAACTCCAAGGGCGACTACGCCTTCGAGGTGAGTACATGCAATACAGGCTGGCAGTCTTTGTCGACAGCGGCGAGGACGACATTCATCGCGAGCGCATGTCCAAGGGCGGCGCCCCGCGTATAATGTCTGAAACCACCTCGCCTAAAGTCGGACCTTGCCGAGATTGTTATCAAGTGTCACAGACCACTGACATTTTCGTTAGATGGCCGCGTCCACCCTCCGTTTCGGTACAGGTGCCACCCGCGAGGTCGGCATGGACCTTGTCAACATGATCAAGCGTCTCCCCGCTGCTGAGCAGAAGAACGCCAAGATTGCCGTCTTCACTGACCGCAACATTGCCAAGCTTCCCGTTATGGAGACCGTTGCCCGCTCGCTCCAGGACAACAACCTCAACTACGAGGTCTTTGACCGCGTTTCCGTTGAGCCTACTGACAAGTCGTGGACTGAGGCCATCGACTGGGCCCGTAACGCCGGCGTCACCCACTTCCTTGCCGTCGGTGGTGGTTCCACCATGGACACTGCCAAGGCTGCCAACCTTCTCTCGTGCTACCCCGAGGCCGACATGATGGACTTCATCAACGCCCCCGTCGGCAAGGGTACCCCCATCAACAAGCAGCTCAAGCCCCTCATTGCCATCCCCACCACCGCTGGTACCGGCTCTGAGACCACCGGAACTGCCATTCTTGACATCCCCTCGATGCGCTTCAAGACCGGTATCGCTTCGCGTGCCCTCAAGCCCACTCTCGGCATTGTCGACACCCTCAACACCGCCACCTGCCCCCGTGAGGTCGCCATTGCTGCCGGTCTCGATGTGCTCTTCCACTCGCTTGAGAGTAAGTTTTCACCCAGTGCCTCGCGGATCAACTTCAGCTCCGGCCGGCTCTTGAAGAAGAAGCACACAGTCGCTGACGTGTTCCAGGCTACACCGCTGTTCCTTACTACGAGCGTACCCCCCGCCCCACCAACCCCATCAACCGTCCCGCTTACCAGGGTTCCAACCCCGTCTCGGACATCTTCTCCAAGTGGGCCCTTGAGCAGACCGTCAAGTACCTTCCCCGTATCTTCAAGGACCCCACTGGTGACGAGGAGGCGCGCACCCAGATGCTCCTCGCGTCTTCGACCGCCGGTATCGGTTTCGGTAACGCCGGTGTCCACCTGTGCCACGCCGGTTCTTACCCGATCTCGTCGCTGAACAAGGCTCGTGCCCCCGAGAAGCAGTACTTCCACCCCTCTTACAACAAGGACGTTCCCCTCATCCCCCACGGTATCGCCGTCTCGCTCACGTCGCCCTCGGTCTTCGACTTCACCGCCCCCTCGGACCCCGAGCGCCACCGCACCGCCGCCGCCATCTTCATGGGCGACCGCGCCGAGGAGCTCCGCAACGTCTCTGACGCCGACATCGGCAAGGTCCTCCGTGAGGAGATCCAGAAGTTCCTTGACTCGATCGCCGTTCCCCGTGGTCTCTCGCAGGTCGGCTACACCTCGTCTGACATCGAGACCCTCGCCAAGGGCATGCTTCCCCAGCGTCGTGTCCTCGACCTCGCCCCCGTCCTCGTTAAGGACAACCAGAACGAGGAGCTCGACCAGCTCCAGGGCATCCTCGAGGGTGCCATGCGCTGGTAAATGTAGGGCATCAAGTCTAGTCAGTAGTAGTAGCAGCGTGTGTAATCTCCCTTTGTGATCCCAAAAGAAAATTAGCATAGCAAGGCGTGTAGTCCATGCAACGAGCATATCCATTCTCCTTTTTTCCTTTCGTTTGCAGCTGCAAGTTTCTCGCCACCGACAAAGTTGTGGAGCACATCGTTCCTACGTTCCTCGGTGCCTTCGGCGGCGCCGAGCGGCGGAGGATCGAGCGGCGTCAGGCGGCGATTGACCCCCCACATACCAGCAGAGCAACCCCCAGTTAACACTAAACGGGCAGTCCGCATATCGCATATCGCATCTCAATCCAGATTTCGGCGCGCCGATCCCGCTCGATCGCCACGCTCGCCACGGGGGCATGCATGGGTGGCGTGGCTGACGTTGCAGGATGCATGACGCTGATGCAAGTGCTCAGTGGTGGCGGAGAAATGCGACTCGGCTATCACGTCTGTTTATCTTCACCCGAGCCCGCACAGCTGTGCGTGGTTGTTGCCTGCAAGGAAAGTGAAGGTAAGGGAAGCGGTGACTGCGCGGTGACCTGTCCACGGGCGGCTTGCATTCGTGAATCGCACACTGGAGATTCGCGCACTCGCGCATCGACCCATCCCCTCGCAGAGCTTTCACCAGCCTGCACGCAATGAAGTCTGCTATTGGACACCAAGTTCATACGATGCATTGAATGGCAAGCGTGAACGTACCTCCTCATAACGCATAGGATGCAAAGCGAGCTCCTTTGTGCCCATCGCTAGCTGAAGCCTGGGGTCGAGGAACAAGGAAGGGCGGAGGTGGAGGCCCAAAATGTCAGATATCCGGGCCACACAGCCCAGGCACATCGGCAAAAGCACGAGGCGACTTGCCGGTATGCCTAAAGGATTTGTCATTTGCTTTGATTCTCTGATATTACCCAGGCCATTCTCTGATATTAACCTGCGATAATATCAGAGAGTCCCAGGAACCGTTGATATTGCGGCTCGGAGCTCGGCACACGCTCTCCCCTCCATGCCTCCGCATCGCCGCGCCCATGTGATACTCGATGCATGACGGCCTCGACTGCGCCATCGTGATCGTCATCACATTGCTTGTCCGCGACAGAGGACGGAGGAGGAATACGCCCCCTCTTCACTTCCCCGCTTGTAGTGCGTTTGGGGTGCACGGTGGCCCAAAAACAATCCATGCCCGCTTCCACGCGCCCACAAACCCAGAGATAGCCGAGCTCGCTCGGGTATTGATAACTTGGCATTTTACCCCGTTCGCACCCGGGTATCCATCCTCGTCTGCGCGTCTTCGAGCTCTACCGTCGCGCGAATCCGACACGGTAGACTGTGAACGTCATTGGGCAGAATCAGGGGGCGTAGAACGAGCCTGGCCACGGGGCCCGAGCAGCCCGAGCAGCCCGAGCATCGGAATGTCACTCTGGCAGTCGCGTGTTTCTCGTTTCGACCTGTGAATGACCATCAACGTCACTGCTGAAGTGGAGGCTCACGTTTGTCAGTGTGTCAGAGACTGTGCAAGCTGCAGCTTGTGGTCTGGCGGTTATACATTTCATCAAGATCTTCTAGGGCTTCTATATCGTCAAGTTCGTTGAGCTATACAACGGAAATGTTTTGGAGGTGTTTCGATACAACTGCTAACTTGCTTTTACAACTGGTAATTAGATACAACCGAATGGGCACTGGAGAGCAGGAAGGAAGGAGACCAGCTCCCCCCTGTTAACTGGCTCGTTCTGGGTATCTTTTTGAGCGGAGTCGCTCACTCGTCCTCGCCCCAGACCTCGATGTCGACGATGTCGTACTCGGGCTCCTCGTCCTCAGAGTACTCGCCATCGACGTCGGGCGTCTCACCCTCGCCCCCCTCGCAAAGCACAGCGAGCCTGGCCGCCTGGCGCTCAGCCTTCTCCTTCTTCAGCTTCTCCAGCATGGTCTTAAACTTGCGGTCGATGCGCTTGCGCTGCTCCCTCTCCCCCGCCTTCCGCTTATGCTCGCTCTTGGCCATGGGGACGTACTCCTTGTCACCGTCGGCGTACACGTGCCCGGTGATGCCCCACATGCCAAAGGCGCGGCGCTGGACCTTGTCGCGCTGGTAGATTCCGCACGCGTTGCAGTGCAGCATCACCGTCGTGCCGGGCATGACGCCGAGGCGCACCGTCTCATTGGGCTCGTCGTCCTTCACCTTCTTTACGGGATAAGGCAGGAGCTTGTTGCACTCGCCACAGACGCGGCGCACGCCGATCTCCCGCCCGTGCGGAGCCCGGTGGTCGTCCGTGTACAGCACCTCGATCTTGCCGTCCTTGACGGAAGGGAGGGAGTTGGCGAGGTGCCGCGCCATGAGCTCAGTCCACGGCGTCAGCTTCCGAGGGGGGTAGTACACCGCCCGCTGGTTCTGGTTGCGCCGCGGCTTGATCGGGTCCATCTTGATGTCGCTGATGGAGAGGGCGACAGAGGTCGAGGAGGCAGAGGAGCGGGTACGCTTGTGCGTCTTCGCGGCCGCCTTGGCGGACTTGCGCCGGCCTCCGTGGCCTCCGCGGCCACCGCGGCCACCGGTGGTCTTGACCGGAGCCGGAGCTGGAGCGGGAGGAGCAGAGACGGCAGGGTCGACGGAAGAGTCAGACACGTCCACGTCCTCAGCCGCTGCGGTGATGGCAGCGGCGGCCTTCTTAGCCGCCACGCGACGGACGCGCTTCTTCGGCTCGGGAGCCACAGCGGCCTTCTCAGCGACGGGAGCGCGGGTAGCGGCCTTGCCCTTGCCCTTGCCCTTCGGCTGGGTCTTCTTGGGCGCCGGGCCGGAAGGAGGAGCAGAAGCGACGGGCTCGATAGGCGCACCGAGAGCGGCGAGAACGTCGTGCACCGTCATCTGGGCGTTGGAAAGCCTGTCCATGGCCGCGGCGAGCGTCGGCGGGGCGTTGGAGGCGGCTGGCTGATTCCACTCCTGCATGGAGCAGGCGGGAGCGGAGTTGGCGTTGGGGGCGGCGGGCTGGTTCCACTCCTGCATGGAGCAGGCAGGAGTGAAATTGGCGTTGCAGGCGGCAGGCTGGTCGCACTCCTGAACGGAGTAGGCGGGAGCAGGGTTAGCGTTCTCCGTGCCGGGGAGAGGAGGGAGCAGGGGCGCCTGCTGGTTCTGCCAGTCCTGCACAGGCTGGGCGAACAGGGGGGGCTGGGGCAACTGGGGGGGCTGTGCGAACTGGGGGCTCCAGTACTGCTGTGGGGCGGGCTGGAAGGGCAGAACGTTCTGCTGAGCTGGGCTCGAGCTGAGGCTTCACAGGAGCGTCACGGTTGAGGTTGATACCCAGGGCCTCGAAAGCGTTGCCGGGGACCAGCTGCCTGGCCTCAGCGGGAAGCTCGGGGATGGGCGCGTTCATGTTGGCAGGAGCGGTGTCCGCCTCAGCCTGGCACTCCTGCAGGAACTGGTTGAAGTCCGGGCGCGGAGTGTTGGGGAGAGCACTGCAGTTACCCCAGCCTGTCTGGTAGAACGCAGCTGCAGTGGACTGGGGGAGCCCCCAGTGCTGGGCGTAGGGAGAGTCTGCGGTCAGTGCGCGCCCATTACCCATCGGCCGCTGGTGTGACTCACTGTTGTCTCCCATCGGTGAGGAGGAGTTGAGGAGTGGTGCTGGTTTCTTGGTGCTGATCTTCGAAGATCGTGCGCATCCCAGTTTGTTAAGTATGCTTTCGTGCATCTCCTCGCCGCCGCTCATGATGTACTTCGATGCATTGTGACCAGCTCGTGTGTGTGTGCCAACGTCGTCGAGGACGAAGTGATCGGCGAGCGACAGCAACTCGAAACCTCGTTGATTGCCCGGCGACGTCAAAATCAGGCACGGGTTGTGTGCAGGGGGGCGAAGTGATCGACGCGCTACGTGAACTGTGTGCATGGCAGGCCTTAGTTTGCATAGTGCTGGCCAGTGATGGTAGAAGAATAATAGGAATTTCGCGAATATTTCGAACACGAGGGGTTCGCGCTCGCGTCAGCGCCACAGTGCCACAATGGGGCGAGGCGGTGCCCGCGAAGATCAATGCTGCTTGCCTCTGGTTGACGTCACATGTGGTGCACACAAGTGCACCGGTTGGCCTAAGTGTATGTGACTATGGACGAGGAGTACTCGTGAACTTGTGCAGAGCGAAGGACCGCCACAGAACTCTCGCGTGGTCGTTGTAGGGCCTGAGATGGACGTTTCAGCGGACAGCGCCTCCGCCAAAACGGAAAGAGTACACTTTAGTTCGTAGCAAACGCAAACCTTTACCGAGAGTCTAAGGAGATGACTTCTCCATACGAAGCGACAGAGAAGGCTGCTGTGGATACAAGATGCTAATTGCTCGCAGGACACGCCCAATTCCAGACCGAACTGACCGCGCTATCCCTGGCCGAGCGCCAGCTCTATCCCTGCGCCTCACTCTTACGCCTCCACCAAACCGATTTTCGCTCACAATTTTCGACGCCTCCACCACCCCCTGGACGCTCACACCTCCCGGGACCAATCGTCGACCACCGCCGCCGTCATCTTCCATATCTCCCTCAAATCTGCACGTATCACAGCGCCGAGACGCTCGCTGGGAAGCTGGGGCGCAGGTGTACGCTGACGTAAGCATTGCAGCTCGCCTCGTTATATCAGTCGGTAGATAGTGTGACTCTTACGCCAAGCGCAAGCAGTAGCCGATTGATCACACAGTCATGGGTTCGAGCCCCATACGAGGCTCTCTTTTGGCTCCCCTGGGCTCCCAGAGGAGCCACAAGTATCCCTTCTTTGACCCTCTGTCGCGTGCAAAGTCTATGGGGTCAGAGGGCCAGAGGGGTAGGGGTGCGAAGGCCGAAGCGGACTTTGGAACAGTTCTGCGCTCCTCATTTTGACATGTTTGAGGCGATTCTCAGAGCACTGCATAGCCCTGCTCGAAGTGCAAGCAGTAGCCGATTGATTACTCGAGCTTCGTACGAGGCTCTTTTCAGCGCTTCCCCGGCGCGAATCGAACCCTTGTAACCCCGTTCTCTCGGTGCGAGAGGTAGGGTCTAGGCGGGGGCGAGTGTAAGGGTCGGAGTTCCGAAGCCGCATCTCCCTCAGTTTTGCAGCTTTCGGAGAGATTCTCGGCGCTACGGATAGCCCTGTTCGCGCCGCGTCTACACATGGCTAACCACGTGCTTGGCCTCGTTATATCAGTCGGTAGATAGTGTGACTCTTACGCAGCACCGCCGAGTGATCACACAGTCATGGGTTCGAGCCCCATACGAGGCTGCTTTTTGGCTTCAGAGAGGCGCTGGGAATGAGGAGAGTGCTTTAAAAACATCCTCGCTGGGTGAAGATGGTGGGAAAGTGGTTGGACCAGTAGTAGGGGTAGTATCACGGTGATACGGCGTGAAAGAAGTCCGCCCGCCTCGGAGTCAGAACAGGGCGGCACCTGTGCTCGGGGTCCCCCATAACCTCTTCAATCAACTAGAAGAGCTAATAGGAGGAAGGGTTGTTTCGTTCAGAAACTCTGGTCTATAGTCCCAATCTTGTCCGGAACGCTCGCGAGCACCGCCCAACAAAGGACGTTCTCCACCACGTGAGGACGCTCCGTGACAACCTTCACCCACTCATCTTTGAGGTCATATGCATTGCAGCGTCCAACGTGCATGCCCCATGTCGTCTATGCGTACGGGAAGATTGCGGAAGGCAACTGCTGTCTGAGCGGTGAAGCACGGAGGTGAAGCCCGGAGCCAAATGACGAGATCTGCCACGCGCCACCCGCCCAGAGCCGAGCCGAGTCGCCACCGTAATCGCGACGTTCCGGTCGGAGGCCGCTCCGACGTCATAAACCACCTTCTTTTTACACCCTTGGTAACCGACTTCAACTTTGACCACTCCCTTCATCACACGCAATGTCGACGAACGCGCTGTTCGCCGTTCGGCGCGTACTCCAGCATCCATCCTACCTCACCCCGCTCCGGCCGCCATTGTATCCGCGAACGACAAGGGCGCTGCACGGATCCGCCCTCCGTTGGGCTGTCGAGGCGAAGAAGACGCCGAGCGCTTACGCAACTGCCAGCCGGCACCCGTTCGCTGAGGGTCATGGGGGAGGAGGCAGTCAGCCGAAAAAGGACGAGGAGGGCAAGGACGACGCAGCGAAAGAGAAGGGGGAACTCGCTGGCGACCCGAGCGATCCCGGAAGCCGACCCAAGATCGGACCATTCTCGAAACCTGTTGTCGACGATGCGGCGTTGGAAGCGCCAGCAACCGAAACGAAGAGTGCCGAGCGGCGCGACGGCCCGGAAGAGGTAAAGGAAGCAGAGGACCACCACGAGCATCCGGAGCTACGAACACGAACCGGACCGCACTCCGCACCTGTCGAGGAGAAAGACGCCCCTGCTCCGGTACAGAAGGTCGAACCTCCTCCGCCGGCACCGCAGCCACCAGCACCTCCGAAGCCAGTCGTCAAGGGACCGGCCACGGGACCAAGCTCTTCTCCACCAGTCCCGCTCGAGGTGCCGCAGGAGCTCGCAATTCCGCCCCTTCCTCCACCCTCCTACTTCGGCCCTGCGCATCAGTTCGACACATATCGTTTTGTACAGAAGCTAGAAGGGGCGCAGGTGCGCAATGCGCCCGCGCGGGTGCTCATGGAGGGCGTGAGGGGCATGCTTGTCGGAAGGTCAAGGAAGGCGCAAGAGAGCATGCTGTCGCAGCAGGAGTTGGACAATGTGAGTGTCGGAGAGTCCATCCCAAGTGGAACGAAAATGAAGGCGGTGCGGAAGCTACGAAGATGTTGCATGATCTAGCTGACACCGCAGCAAGCGTACCGTTTTAAGGCAGCGCTGTCTGCCCTCCGCACCGAGATCAGCATCAAGGCGCGAAACGACGGCCTCAGCATGCGCGCAGCGAGTACTGCGATGCAGCGTGAGGTCGAGGGCCTGGACAGGAAGATGACCGAGGACCTGCAGGGTTTGCGACACGAGTAAGTGTGAGCGAGTGAGGCGAGTGGTCAAGAGAAGTCTCATTGAGCTAGCCACTGCTCGATAAACGCGAGCTGACAGCAGTATCGAGATGGAGCTGAACACGCGGAAGGACGACACGCGCGCCCTCATGAAGCGGTTCGACATTGCGACCGAGGAGATCAACAACAAGTTCACCATTTCGCTCGGCGAGCTGCGCACCGAGATCGAGAGCGCCAAGTGGGAAGCAACCCGGCGCGCCATTGCCATCATCATCACGCTCGTCATTTGCGGCGTTGCGATAAGCACATTCACATCGACGCTGGCGCCGGCACAGGGACCCCCGCCGCTGCCCCAGGTCGGCACACCGAACACGTCTCTTCCCTCCGGCCCCTCCGGCTCTTCTTCCACTAGCACCTCCACCTCTACTCCCACTTCCACCACAAGCGGGACGGGCACGAGCACGGGAACTGGAAGTAAGGGCAGCGCCGCAGTGAAGAAGGTGGTGTACAGGGATGTCGCCGTGGGCCCCGACGTCACGGCCGAGGGGGAGCATTTTGACGCCGACGACGAGGACAATCTCGACCTGCTCCACGACGACATTGACGCGCTCCTCCAGCAGCAGACGACGACGACGCGGCGGCCGAGGGCCGAGAAGGCAGCACGGGTCGCGGAGGAGAAGAAGCGGGTCGAGTTTCCTGAACGCATCTGAGCGAGCGGGCCAGATGACGAGTTCGCGATCTAGATAGTCGTAGTGGGCGTCTCTGGTCGAGAGGCGATCTGATAGAGTTTTAGAGCGAATCATCCTTTGTTGTGCATGATAATGTATACTCGGCCATTCATCTGCAATCTGCTCCGATGTTGCAATGTACTCATCTCGGGCCATTCATACTGCTACTGATGGGCTGATGGGGTATGTCCGTGGAGAGGAGCCGCGCTGGCAGCGCAGCGACAATGTTGTGTGATGGGATGGGGTTTGGGGATGATAGTCTGAAAGAACATGGCTACTGCACAAAGACACATATGTACAGTCTAAGTCTGGGGTGAAAGATGAATGAACGTCTGGGGTGGTGGAGGGTTTCATCGCCAAAGCTGGACGTCTCGCAGGCTCGCTACCGCTCGCTCGCTCGCCGTCTACGGGGTCTCCTTGGTCGGGCTTCCCGCGTCGGACGGGACGCTGCCAACACTAACGGCGCTGGAAGTCGCAGCGCTAGCGCCGCCATTAGGCAGCTGCCAGGCGGGGATGGAGGCCTTGCCGCGGGGCTGGAGGAGGGCGTTGGCGGCGGTCTGCGTCGCAGAGGGTGTGGGGGAGGCGGCGCCCGACGCCGCAGCCTCCGAGACCGTGTTCCCTCCCTGGCGCGCGACGAGGAGGGTCTTGAGCGACCTGAGCTCGGACTGCAGTTCCGTGAGCGCGGCAGACTGGCTCGCGGCGTGCTTCTCAATCATGCGCGGCACGAGCTCGCGCACGCTCTCGACCTCGCCGCGCACCTCGCGCATGTCGTCGCGCCACCGCGCCTCTGCGTCCTTCACTGCGCGCGCTGCTGATTCCACGTCCTCCAGCGCCGCGGCCACGCGCTCACGCTCGCTCTGCGCTGCTGTCGCCAGCGCCGCGGTTTCGGCACGCAACTCGTCCAGAGCGGCAGCCGCCGCGTCGTACTGCTCGGACAACTCTGCTGAGGTGCTCTGGAACGCAGTCGAGGAGGGCGGCTTCAGGTGCGGCACGAGGTATTTCCGCGCAAGCGCCGTGACGCCGTACATGACGCCGCCGGAGACGACGGCCATGATCTGGGTGTCAGCTAGAAGCTAAGCTGGGCAGCTGTTCTCCGCCACTGGACTGAGTCGGCGGATCGATAGCTCGCTCGCGCTGCGGGCGGGCTGCTGACGCAGCCCTCGCTCGCTCTTACTTACGAAGATATCCCTCCAGTCACGCTTCGGCGGCTCCGGGGCGACAACGGCGGCCTGGAAGCCATAGTGCGGCTGCTGCTGGTAGCTGGGCTGGGGGCGGGCGTATGCCGGCGGCGCGGCAGGTGCGGGCGACTGGATCGCCGCGCTCGGGTTCGAGGTGCCGTTGGCAGCCTCCGAGAGCGCCTGCTGGATCTCCGTGTCCGTCAGTCCCTTGCCTTGAAGGAACTCGACCTTCTGCGCCATCGGCGAGGTCGCGACCTGCGGTTAGCTATGACTCCGAGAAGGGGATCTGAAGCTGGTGTGTGGATCACACTGGACCATCACAGCGGATTCGAGCATGTCGTCGAGATGCGGACCGTCTGCCGATAGTCTAGACAAGCTGTGCCCCGGACTACCACCCATCAAGGCGAGGATGAGAACTGGACAACGCCGCGTACGCCTTGCTCAATGCCGCAGAATTCTCCGGACTGTCCAAGAATCCACCCCCTTCACGCCGCCCACCATCTCCTCCAGAGCTCCGCACGCACCTTCGGGTCGTTGAGGAACAGGACCGCGTTCCGGATGAGCTCGCCTCGCGATGAGTCGGCCATTGTTGCGGATGAAGGGGAAAGATGGGTGTTGATACAAAAGTGTGCAGGTGGAAGTTGTGGAGAAGATGAGAACACGGATGCGGCCAGAGGAGCCAGAGGAAGATCAGCTGGGCACATCCCCGGTGATGGGCTCGTGGCTCGGCGTTAGAGTTGCCGGCCCATGCTCACGCAGGCTCGCTGAGCCAGCGACAGCTCGCTGTATGGTGGAGCGGGAGCAAATTGGTCCAAGGAGGGCACGGTTCGGCAACCGCCGCCTGGTGTATTTTGGCGGCCGCCATGATGGCCGAACATGTGCGGTATACGGCCAGCTCCGTCTGCAGTGCGTGCTTCTGACGGCCGAAGGTATGCGGGCTCGCTCTGCTCCGTTGCACACCCACTTCGCACTCCCAGTGGCAGCTGAATCAATGCATAACTCAGCATATGTCTATGAGTCCCAAGGTTCGAAAGAAGAGCTTTCTATTAATGCCTGTCTGTCGCTTTTGAGTATGTAGTATGTCTATAAAAGCCATTTAGAGCTCGCCCTTGACGGCCTTGCTCATCGACTCGGCAAAGTACTCGACGTTCGAGTCGTTGAGGCCGGCCATCGAAATACGGCCGTCACGGGTGAGGTAGATGTGGGCCTTCTGGGCGAGGGCGTCGACCTGCTCGGGCGTCAGGCCGGTGAAGGAGAACATGCCGATCTGCGACTTGATGTGGCCCCACTCGCCGGGGGTGTTGAGCTCGACGAGCTTGTTGTAGAGCTTCTCACGCATGTCGATGATGCGGTCGGCCATGCCCTTGACCTCACCGAGCCACTCGGCCTTGAGCTCGGGGTTGGAGAGGATGGTGCTGACGAGGCGGGCACCGCTGTCTGTTAGCTCGTCCCAGCACGATGTAACTCACTGAACAGGGGGGTTCGAGTACATGGGGCGGATGAGAATCTTGAGCTGCGAGTCGACGCGAGCCTTCTCCTCAGGCGAGGCAGTGACGACCGAGACGGTACCGACACGCTCGCCGTAGAGGCCGAGGTTCTTGGCGAACGACTGGCAGAGGAGGATCTGGTGGCCCTGCTCGACAAAGTAGCGGGGAGCAAAGGCGTCGCGCTCGACGTCACCAGAGGCGAAGCCCTGGTAGGCCATGTCGAAGAAGGGGAAGTGCTTCTTCTCCTTGACGAGGTCGGAGAGCTCCTTCCACTGCTCCTGGGTAGGGTCAACACCGGTGGGGTTGTGGGCACAGGCGTGGAGGAGGATGATCGAGCCCTCGGGAGCGTTCTTCAGGTCCTCCTTGACGGCCTCAAAGTTGAGGCCGACAGTCTTGGGGTCGAAGTAGCGGTACTTCTCGAGCTTGAGGCCGGCGCGCTTGGCGATGGCACCGTGGTTGCCCCAGGTGGGGGTGGGGACGTAAATGGTCTTGTTGGGCCAGAACTCGTTCAGGAACTCCATACCAATGCGGAGGGCACCGGTGCCGGAGAGCGACTGGGAGACGGCGAGCTGGAAGACATCAGCGATATGAAACAGCTAACAAGCACGGGCCCCAAGCTTCAGAATTCTGCAGTGCAACTCGCGCGGCAGCCGCCGGAAGCTGCGGGCAATTCTAAACACTCACGCGGTTCTCCTTGATGGGAGCAGAGTTCTCGCCGTAGGCAAGCTCGGTAGCGAGCTTGTCGAACGAGGCGAGACCGGTGATGGGGAGGTACTCCTTGTCGGCCTTCTCCTTGAAGAGGATCTCCTCAGCCTTCTGGACCGAGGGGAGGACGTAGGGCTTGCCGTTGTTGTCACGCTGGGGTCAGCTACACGCTCTTGGACGGCTCGAGATTCGGCCTCAAGCTTCGAAGGCGTCCTTCGCCTCGCGCACGAGACCGCCGATATCACGGATACATACGTAAGCACCGACGCCGAGGTTGATCTTCTTGGGCGAGGTGTCGGCCTTGAAGTTCTCGGTGATGCCGAGAATGGCGTCGGGGGGTCTGAGTCGTCAGCTACTGCATGAGTGTGGTGGGCCGGCTGGGGGTCGAGCTGTCGGCTGGTTTGTTGTTACCGGACAGAACCGGAGGGTCTGAATTTTGCTCCGAGGTCTCGGTGACTGGTACTCACCCGGCGGGGACGTTGGCCCAGGCGCTGACGGCGCGGGAGAGGCGGGGGACGGCCTTGAGGCGGAGGGCGGAGCGGACGGAAAGCATGGCGAGCGTGCTGGGTGGGAGAAGGGGGAGTGGGGAGAAGAGGAAGAAGGCGGCGGTCGATAATTGATGATGACAGTTTTGTGGGCTCTGCCGACTTGAGTAGATGCTGGTCAGGGCCACCACGTCCGAAATTCGGGACTGTAGCAGCAGTGCAGCGTCGAGGTGTCAGTGCAGTGTCATGCGTCAGGGCAAACGCCTATGCAGCCTCGCAGCCTCTGTGCTCGGGCGGCGGCGGGGGGGGCTGCGAAGGTCCCTCATCGGTCTGGCATTCTGAATTTCTCTCTAGATTCCGAGTCGAGATTAGAGGAGCTAGGAGAATAAACTTTTTCATTAGAAAAACGCGCGCGCGGTGACCCTAGCCCGCAAAGTGTGCCGTCGTAGCCGCCGGCAAATAACGTCCCGACTCACCCAGGGCGATCACCCCCCCTCGGGCCATGGGCATCAGATGGGCAGGCTATCAAAGGCACTTGCCGCCATAAACGTCACGGGCAGTCACTCTGACTCGACCCGACATTCCTGCATCATCCGACACCTTGACTCCAGCACGACTAGATGGATAACACCTCGAGTTGTGTAGGGTCCCTCATTAGACTTGGGCATGGATGTGGTGTGTGCGGCAGCTTCTGATCTTCGCGGCAGTGGGCGCTCGACACTCGACGCCTGACGCGTCTGTGCTTGTGTGTTTCTGAAATTTGACCTTTTGAACCCCTCTTCCCTGGTATCGGCGCCCTCGGCTCAGCGCTTGGGCTCTAGCCGTAAGGTGCGTCCCCTGCCGGGCGTTGCCGCTATAGTGCTGCCGCGATGCCGCATGCCTGCATACCGTGCTGCGTATGGAGTGTGTGTGCTCGTGCTACCGACCCCACCCTGCACGTCCAACCTCGGCGCGTCACCCCCACTCTGCCAGCTTGACCTCTGTCACAAGCCTTAGTCTGATCAGATGTGTCCCGAATCGTTCCGATCCCCTGTCCTCGCTTGAGGTGGAGGTCACCTCGTTTGGCTCGTTTGGTGGAACACACGCCGCAACCGTGCACGAACACCGTGTTGGCCTGAGATAGCGAGCCGTGGCGTCATTCGCCATCTCCATAGCGGACATGTCGTCCATCCTTCAGGCACCCTCAAGCGAGATGCAGCTGCTAGCAAGTGCACAGAGAAAGACAATATTCGAGCCTGGAGGAATGGCCCTGCCGCTGAAATTTTAGATGGAGAGGAGCAACTGCCGCCGGCCTGGCCTCAGCTGCACTCGCTTGGGCGGCCGCACAAGCGCCCCGATTCGCCGCGGTCTGTGTCCAGATCTCCGCAGAGCTTCTCCTCCTGTCGTGGTTCCCATGCGATTCTCGCGTGCTTCTTCTGGAAGTGACCGTGGGAGACGGCGAGAGGGTCATCAACCGTGGGAGCCTTAACCCAAGCTACCGTGGGAAATCTTCCATCCCGGATCACGTGACGGTCAACAAAAAGTTGAGATGACGATGATCGAGACGGGTAGGTCGAGCTCTGGCAACGAAACGAAACGATAACAAACAAGCCACGATGAGCACGACACCGACACAAGACGAGCTGGCCGACTTTCTCCTGTCGTGCCGCTTCGACGAGGGCGAGGAGGTGCGCGCGTTCCTGAAGACGTACGGCGCCGAGGGGCTCAAGGCCGCCAAGGACGAGCGCGGAAACACGGCGCTGCACATGGCCTGTGGAAATGGACACCTGGGTAAGTCTTGATTTAGGCGCTTAACTCATCTGGCTCATCTCGTACTGATGTTACTCTCTGATCACGTGTATTTCAGGCGAGGTAGAGAGAGAGAGAGCTGTGGAGAGCCGTAGCGATGACAAGGTGGCAGAAGTTGACATCACAGACGTCCTCAACGCTCTCCTCGAGGTCGCCCCCGCCGAGCTCCTGCAGCAGACGAACGAGGCCGGCTCCCCGCCCGTGCACTGGGCCGTTATGAACAACCACGTCGCGTGCGTCCAGGCGCTGGTCGATGTGCCGGAGGAGCGTGGTGGAGGTCTGCCGCTGCTCAAGGTGAGTCCTGCCCCTGCCAAGCTCATGCCGGTAGGCTGAGCCCCGTCTTTCCTTCGCAAGGGGGTGGGAGTCAATGGAGACCGAAGCACCCAACTATGCATCATAGCTCGGTTAGCTGACATATTCCACAGCAGAAGAACGCGGCCGGGCGCGACGCATTCGACGAGGCCGTCTTCGCCGGCGAGGGCAAGGAGGAGGTCGCGGGCTGGATTGAGGGATACGTATGGAAGGCCGAGGGTGGCAAGGACGACGGCAAGGAGAGCACGGAGCAGACCGAGGAGGTCACACTCAAGATGGGCGACACCTCTGGCGAGGGAGCCGTCACGGAGGAGGTCGACCTGAGCGCGCACACCGAGGCGCTCAAGGTTGAGGACAAGTAGACTCTCCGACGTCATTGCGCCGGTCCTGCTTTCGCCTGTTCTCGCCGTTCGTGGTGCTCACGCGATGTCGCGGTAGCTTGACCGGCCAGCTCCGTCCCAGCGGCCCGAGCAACCAGAGTGGACGGCTGTGCGAGGACGCCGTAAATAGAAGAAAGCGACGACGTCGCATTCCCTACCACACACCCACACCCACCAAATATACACTCATAGAATCTCGTATTTATCTTCCCTTTACTTCCCGGCCTGTCATAGGGGGACTTGTATGCATAGAAAGGATTGCTTGGCGTAAACACAGGCAAAACACTGCCAAACACTGCTGGCACTGCATGACGCTGAGCTTAATGGTGTCGTACGCAAGGGCGGCAAGGGGCGAGCGGTGGCCAAGCTCATCCAAGGGATACCCAAGACTCACGCCTTCTAGCGCCAAGCACGGGCGTCTTGGGCGTCTTGGGTGCTTTGGAAGTTTAGACCGAGTTGTAATGAAAACGTGGGTGCTTAGATAGCGGAATCAATTGTAGGCTAATGGAAGGACTATGAGAAGAGCAAAGTGGTCTTGGTGGCTGTGCGGTGGGACGGTTAAGGGACCGAGGGACCAGGGGATCGGGCGAAGGGGCTCTAAGAGGCGTCCGGCCGGTGGAGAGAGCTGGGAGGGGAGCTGCAGAATTGCCTGAGAGACTGGGCTCTGTGAACGGCTCACCAGGCACCGCAGCAGCCCATCCCTCAGGCCTCGTGCCCGCGCTCCCCTTCTCCCTCCAGGGCTCACACCTCCTTTCGTGCTCTCTCCCACAGCAGAGTCAGACAGCGTGGTGCAGCGCACTCTTGCAACAAACTCAACATCACACCTCCCTCCTCCTCCTTCTGCCTGTGCGCTTTCTTACTTCAAACAACATCATATCATCTCTGCTATCTGGCCACCACCACTCTCTTTGATTTCTTTTTGCACCACCCCGATCCCCCGCCCCATCCTCGGACTACTCCTAGTTCGCTTTTTCCGCCGCCCCGTCCGCGCCGCCAGTGCCGCCAAGCGACTGCGACTGCGATCACACCACGTCCCTCGACCACTCTCCAACCTTAACACCTTTCCTCTTCCCTCGTCATCAAAACACACACCATGCGCGCCGCTCTCGTCGCTGCCGCCGTGCTCGCTGCCTCGGCCCACGCCCAGCGTCAGCACACCACTCAGGATGAGGTGAGTGGAGACTTTCTGGGCACATGTTGCCCGCTGCGCGGTCATTGCGCATCTGCCCGCCGATCGAGACTTCAAAACTGACAACACCAGCTTGGCAACTCGGTCGTCATTGCGACTACTACCGATGCCGACGGCGACCCCGCCACGACCACTCTGTGAGTTACACGCCTGTGGCTTCAGCTAACGATCAGCCGTACCGTCTACACCTACCCCGGCGCTGCCGGCGCGGACGAGGAGCTGACGACCGTCCCGACCGGGCGCCACACGACGACGCTATGGGACTTCAACGGCGACCCGGTCGTCACGACGTGGACGGGCACCCGTATCCCGACTCTGTCGACGCCAGCCGAGGAGGAGGCCCCGACGACAACGTCGACGAAGGAGGCCGTGGACGACGCCGGAGCCGGAGCGGGCGGCGCCCAGGGCGGCAACAAGGGCATCCAGGGCCCGCCGACGACGACCTACCCGCCCATGACGGCGACGACGTACGGATACAAGAACCAGGCCGGCGACTGGGTCACGACCGAGTGGACGCAGAGCTGGACCGCGCCCGCCGAGGCCACCGCCGAAGTGTCCCAGGGTACCATCCAGGGCATGCAGGAGTACAAGGACGCGCAGAAGAGCTTCACCGACAAGGCCGTCCAGCCCGGGTCGGCGAAGCAGGGCTCGTCCTCTGGCGCGGAGCGTGTTGCCCCCGGCGCCGCCGCCCTCCTCGCGGCCGTTGCGTTCTACGCCTTCTAAGCAACCCTCTACAGACGTCTAGACGTCGCGAGTCGACGTTCCGAACGTCGGTCCAGACTGCGCTTTCTCAGAAGGCGCAGTTCTGACCAGCGTAGTCGAGATCTTCGCCCCGCGTGCAGATCGGAACTGCGCCCTCTCCCTCCTCCCTCGCACCATCAATCCAGCCTTCTCGGCGTAATCACACATACCCCTTCCCCCATCCCCAATCCCCTCGGCAGTGCCGGATTAGACTAGACGGCACGTATACGGACTCTTGTCACGATCTTTGTAGTCGGTGCGTGTCGCATGACATGATGCACGATGTTTGTTAGTAAAGTCAGCCTGGGCGCGGAGTGAGAGGCGGGCGTTTGGGTGACGAGCGTCTTGGTGAGGGTACATGTGATGAGGCAATGTTAGTCCGGTTCCGATGAGACTCATCGAGTCAAGTTGAGTATGTGCCGCGACTGCGAGTGCGCGATCGCAGCGGACCGCGTCTCCTAGATGAATGCAGTTGCATGTGTACAAAAATGATATGATTACCTCTCTACGGGTTCTGCAGCAGCCTAGAACGGCAGCTCGCGGGGGAGGTCGGAGTGGTCATAGCTGCCTCCATTCTTCTCATGGTCTGCAATAGTGCTGCCATCACTCTTCTTCGACTTGAGGATGTACTTGTAGATAACGAGTCCGTCGAGACCGACGGGCCCGCGCGCGTGCGTCTTGCCCGTGCTGATGCCGACCTCGGTACCGAGGCCGTACCGGGTGCCGTCGGCGAAGCGCGTCGAGGCGTTCACGAAGCAGTTGGCGGAATCCAGCCCCTTGACCCACGCATTCATCGCCGCCTCGTCCTCGGTCACGATGCTGTCGGTGTGGTGGGAGGAGTGCTGGTTGATGTGCTGGATCGCCTCCTCGACGCTGCCGACCGTCTTGACGGCGAGGATCGGGCCGAGGAACTCGGTCCGGAAGTCCTCCTCCCTTGCCGGGGTCGCCTTGGCGGCCGCCTCGGTGTGCTGCAACGCCGCAAGCGTCTTGGCGTCGCAGCGCAGCTCGACGCCCGCCTCCACCAGCGCTGAGGCAACGGCAGGCCACACCGTGTCGACAACGGCAGAGTGCACCAGCATCGTCTCGGCGCTGTTGCACGCAGCCTGGTAGTCCGTCTTGGACTCCACAGACACCCTAACGGCCTTCTTCTCATCAGCCGAAGCGTCCAGGTACACGGCACAGATGCCGTCCGCGTGGCCCATGACGGCGATGCGGGTGTTGTTCTGGATACTCGTGACGAGGGCGTTACCGCCGCGCGGCATCACGAGGTCAATGTATCGGTCCTGGGCGAGGAGGGCGCTGATCTCCTCGCGCGAAGTGACGGTCTGGACAAACGTCTCGGGCAGCTTGGTCTTGGCGAGCGCCTCGGCGATCAAGCGGCTGAGCACGGCCGTCGTGTTCGCACTCTCCTTGCCGCCCTTCAGGATCGCGGCGTTGCCCGACTTGATGGCGAGCGCGGCAATGTTGACAACAACCTCGGGACGCGCCTCGAAGATAACGAGGAGCACGCCCACGGGGCAAGTGACGCGGTACAGGTCCAGGTCGGGGCCGAGGCGCTTCGCAAACGTGCAGATCCCCGTCGGCGCAGGAAGAGCCTGCACGTCCGTGATGCCCGCCAGCATCGCGTCGTACTTCCCCGGCCGGCTCAGGTCGAGGCGAGACAGAAGCGAGGAGGACAGCTTGCCCTGCTCGACCAGGGGCTGCGCGGCCTCCATGTCCTTCTTGTTCGCGGCGAGGACCTCCTCGCGGGCCGAGGCGAGCGAGGAACGGATAGAGTCCAGGGCGACGTTACGCTCCGACGGGTCGATGAGCTGCGACGCCTCGAAGGCGCGCCGGGCGGCGATGGCGACTTGCTCTGCTGAGGCCATCTTTGGTGCTTTTGGTGTGTGTTGAGTTTCAGAGGAGGAAGAGGAAGGCAAGACCGTGCTGAGCGATCAGAGACCGGCGGATGCGGAGGAGGGAGATTCCGACTCGAGGGAAGGTGGAGGTAGCATCCGTGGGAGACTTACCCCGGCCGCCTTTGTGTCCCTCCAGGAACGATGATGAAGGGTGACCGACGCTAGCATGTTTGAGTGAAGCGATAGGGCGCATGCACCAAGTGGGACCAGGAGAAACGGCTTCTACGAACATCGACTCTTTGGAAACGCACACTGCGCAACACTGCACGCACCTCTCTCACACTCCTCTGAACTGGCAACTGCGTGTCATGCCCGTCTGAGCTAACATGAGCATCGACACCTCGGGGAGCGCCGCATCCTATGTCGGCGTCGCCATCGCATGTGCCGGCAATATCCTCATTTCGCTGGCCTTGTGAGTTATTCTTGTATTGTTAAACTGACAACCAGGACACTGCAGAAACTCGCACATCAACGGCAAGATTCCTCCCGCCCCTCCACTCCAGGCAGGAAGAGCAGCACTCCTAGCCCCGCCCCGCTTGCCCCCGTCACACCTCTCGCGTCTCCACTAGCCCATCGCGGCCGGTCGGACTCACAGCCGTTCGAGACATACGAGGTTGAGCTGGCTGAGCCAACCACCGACGACGATGAGCCACACAGCCCCCGCGGCGTCGATGGTGAAGGAGACTATCTCCGGAGCAAGCTGTGGTGGGCCGGGCTTGGGCTCATGGGACTCGGCGAGACGGGCAACTTCCTCTCCTATGGGTTTGCGCCAGCTAGTGTCGTCGCGCCCCTCGGGACTGTAGCGCTTATTGCGAATTGCTTCTTTGCCCCGCTCATTCTGAGAGAAAGCTTCACGAGGCGCAATGTGCTCGGCATGACGCTCGCTATCGTGGGTGCTGTCACTGTTGTTTGGTCCGCCACCGACTCAAAGCCGAGGGTGAGTCTGCCGCGGGTTTCTCACACTACGCACGCGGGCCTGTGTCCGTGGGACCAGGTCATGCGGACGTGTGCTGTATGCTTCGGAGTGCAGCAGCTGTTTTTCCCAGCACATGATAGCTAACAGCAGATGTCGCCCGACGAGCTGCTCGCGGCCGTGCTTGCGCCCGCCTTCCTGATCTACACAGGGCTGAACATTCTTCTCCTCGTGCCCCTCACTATCCTCAGTGGGACGCAGTATGGCGCACGCTGGATCGGGATCGACGTCGGTACTTGCGCCCTCTACGGCGGGTACACCGTCATGGCCACGAAGGCGTTAAGCTCATTGCTTTCTGCCGTCTTCCTCAAGGCATTCGCGTACCCGATCGCTTGGGTTGCCGTCGTCGTGCTTGTCGTCACGAGCGTGCTGCAGATCAAGTACCTGAATCGTGCGCTCATGCGCTTCGAGTCAAAGGTGACTAAGAAGAACGCGAATTGTGAGCTGACAGACAGGAAGTCATTCCCACGCAGTTCGTGTTCTTCTCCATGTCCGCCATTATCGGCAGCGCGGTGCTGTACCAGGAGTTTCGGGGGCTGAGCTTCTCTCAGTTTGTCAACTTTGCCTTTGGCGTGAGTCTGCAGCTAAGCTAGTGGGGCACTTTAGCTAACGACCAGATCGCTACAACCTTTCTTGGCGTGTACTTCCTCACGAACCCGGTCGACCCCGTCTCGGCATCGAGTACGCCCTGCCATACGCCAGGCCTGCAGAGTGTGGACGAGGAGACGCCCTTGTTGTTCGATGGAGCGTCGAGTATCGCGCGCCGCTCATCGCTGCGGCCACCAATACCAGTTGCCGCGCCACCACGTGCGCTAGCGCACAAGCCGAGCGCTGGCAGCCTGACCCGCCTCCCCACCAGCCAGGGCGGGCTTCTCCTCATCTCCTCAGCGCCAAGTACGCCAGTCATGCTCCCGCGCAATGGACGAGGGCGGAGCGACTCGGTCGTGGGCGGCGAATCTCCTCTGTTGTCCCCTGTATCATCTAGACGCATTTAATGACTCACCACATCATGCATACATTAGCGACTTGCGGGATGTTGCAGAACAGAATGAATGGAAACTTCGTGCATCGGTACGCGTCCGAAATGTTACAAAGATGAAGCCGTGCGGCTTTGTCTACTCAGGAACCCTCTTCTGCCCACCAAACTTCAGAGCCACGCTGGCCCTCAAAACATCACAGCCTCTCTGGCCACCAAACTCTCCGTCTGCTTCTCTCACACCGGAAACACCTCGCACCCTCCTCGCACTCCCCATTCACACCACCTACACCAGGTTGAGCTTCTCGTTCTTCTCCATGTCCGAGGAGTCCTCGTAGTTCATGGGGATAGCGGGCGTGTCCTCCAGCACGTCATGAACAGGGTGGTCGATGAGCGTCTGGCGGGCGGGGAAGAGCTTGTTGAGGATGTAGTACACGTTGAGGGCGATGAAGTGCGCCACAATGTTGCTGACCATGTAGACATACTTGATGTTGCCAATCTTGATGTTGGGGTTGATGGCATTGACCATGCCGGGCATGTTGGGCGCGACGGCGCAAATGACAGCGACGTAGGCGCGCCAGTTCCAGCCCTTGGTGTAGTAGTAGATGCCGTGAGGCACATAGAGCTCGTAGACGTTGTAGCGCCCGTGCTTGATGACGAAAAAGTCAAAGAACATGAGACTGGCAATGGGTGCAAGAATGACCGAGTACGAGCTCATGAAAGTGAGGAAGTTGGCGGCAGACTGGAGGACCTTCCAGGGCGCAAAGCCCCAGACGCCGACAATGGCGACGAAGAGCTGTCCGCGGCGAATGTTCATCCAACGGGGGAACAGGGCCGCGAGGTCGTTCGCGGCACTGATACTGTTTGCGCTCACGTTTGTCGTGACGTTTGCGAGCGCCCAGGCCAGCGAGGCAAGGAACATGGCCGCCCTGCCGCCCGGAGACGTGCCCCACTTGCTCACGATCAGGTAGGGCTGGTACAGCACGTCGCCGTACACGGGCAGAAGGCAGGCGGCGGTGATGGCGGCCACGATGGACACGAGCGTGTTGATGACGGGGAACGCGAAGAGCTGCAGCCACGAGCTCTTCGGGTTGCGGCAGTATCGGCTGAAGTCGGCGACGTTGACGCCCATCGTCGCCCAGGTGCCTTGCACACTGGTGACAGAGTACATGAACGCGATGAAGCGCGGCACGCCGGCGGAGACACGGTTCTGGGGCGTGCTCAGCGCATACGCAATGCCCGGGCCGTCACGGCACTTGACGAGGGCCCAGATCATGGTTCCGAGCGCAACGACGGGGACGAGGCATGCCTTGGTGTAGAACACGGGCTGCAGCTTGGAGGGGTGCACGAGCAGGAAGGGGAACTGGATGACCCAGATCAGGAAGAAGGACAGGAAGTCCTTCGTCGTCGCGCCCTGTGAGGCGGGGATCTGGTTCGGCAGGCGCGCGTACGAAGGCCAAATCGCCTCAATTGCGTAGCTCACGTACTGGCCCGCAGCGAAGGTGTTGATCGACAGCCAGAAGCAGCCCATGATGCAGCGTGACTGGAGGGGTCAGCTTATCGTACCCACAAAGGTGGCGTTTTCCCACGCCACGGTCTACTCACGATAACAACGAAGCGGCTTCCGTAGTATCCGTACACCGCGCGGGAGGAGACCGCAAATGGAACGTGCAGAGTGCCTCCGACAACACCGTTGCACGCAATTACGATGGCGGACAGGAAGGAGCCGGCAAGAACAGCGAGACACGACTCCCACCACGTCAGACCCATGCCGACGAAGGCGGCCGTCGTCGCCCATCCACCGGGCTGGAAAAGGTCGCACACCCAGTACGAGAAAAAGGTCCATCCAGTCCAGGTCCTGTACTCGATCGGCGTCGGGTCCATGTCCTTATTGCTCCAGACGCCCTCGGGGGCGATACAAGAGTCCTCCTTTGGCAGGAGCCAGTAGGACTTCGACAGGTACTGCTTCATGTTGGTCTTGCGCATGGTGGCTGCTGAGCTGTGAGCTCTGTCGGGGCGCTGGCGCTGCTCGGTAAAAGAGCCGTGATGGCGAGCGTTAAGGTGTGCAATGAGCCAGGGCAACTGCCAATGTCGAGCGGGGTTGGGTAGAGCTCTCAGAGGGGCCGAAAGTCGAGTCTGAGACGCTTGAAGTGACTGCGAAGCAGTGTTGCCCCGCCAAAGTCAGTGAGGTGAGAGATTCTCTCAGATGAGTGAGAGAAAGAGAGGGGGGCACGACGATCAACATTATCAGCCCAAACTTTAGCCTAGCTCGCATCAGCGCGCGATCACTGCCCAATCGCTCCATGCCCAAAGGGAGCCAGGAGACGCAGAGGCCGGGGCCTGCCCAGAGTCCCCGCCAGCTGTTGCTGCCCGGGGACCCATGCCTCGGTGAGTGTGTGTCGCACGACACCCCCGTCAGCTCTGCAGGTGGTCTGCGGCGTACAGCAGACCTGCAGCAGCGACGCGGGGAAATTTCTCAGTCCCACTCAAGCTTAGCGCGCCGCTGCTTCCTGAAGAGGAGCATGAACAAGGTTGAGATCCTGCCAGAGCCCGTGTACCATGCGGTACCCCGAGTGGGGCAACATTTTGATCGCCGGAGCCACACCACTGTACGCACCCGTACGGTGACAGGTGTTCGTGGTGCTCCAGACTTTAAGACGCCGAGTTCACCGGTGCCTTGAAGTTTTCCTGGATCTCACCTGACACTGTGCCATTTCCGCTCACCAACACGGGGCGGGACACGCGCAGACCCGGCGTATGACGGGCACCGAGGCTGTCGGTTGAGAGTTTTGCGCAAATTAGAGAGCACAGAGAGACAGGAGAGGAAGACTTTGTGAGGGATAATCTTCGGAGTTTGAAGGGAGAATGGGCAACTGACGATGATCCGTCCTTGCGCGAAGCCATGTCTCGGAAGGGCTTGGACATGAGCGCTGACGAGGGCGTGGTTGGTACATTGCACGCGAGCGATGGAATAATCCGTCTTTAATCAGACGAGGTGGAGGGAGACGTGAAGTGCGAGTTTACGCGGCATTGAAATTTGTTCAGACGGCTATCGTACGGCGTGTCGATCACCAGGCTGCCAATGTTCCCGCAAGCATCGTGCGACTTCCTGGTACCGCATACCTCAGCACCTCCACATGCCGGAATCATGAATACATGTCTTGCTTTTCGCTACAAAGATATCTCGTTAGAGCCGGTAGTTGTGGAGTGGTCACGTGAACCCATCGGGCTCGAAAGCCCGAAACTCCTCTCAGAATAACACTATGCATCAGTCACAAATAGCGTAGCTCGGTCGGTCGGGTCGATGGCCCCACGACAGCGCGTGGGAGGACTTGGGCGGGTCTGTTAGTGGCTCTCCGCATCCACTTTACGCCGGGAAGTCCTTGTCGCGGCCCCAGTGACCGGTCTTCTCAACACGGGCGACAGCAGCCTTGAGATCCTCCATGTACATGTTGTGCCTGCGCTGGCGAATGCTGTCGGGGAAGTAGGGGTAGATGAAGGAGAGGCTATTGATGGCGGCCTGGTATTGGATCCAGTCGAGGGTGGACGGGTGCAGGTCGTACTCCCGCTGGAGACGGGGAGGCAGGAGCTGCTTGGTCACGATGCGGGAGAGAGGGATGATGGCCTGCATGTTCCAAGGCAGATTCTTGGGCCAGAGGAGATCGCGCGACAGGCGCTTCGCCTCGGGCGTGACCTCGAGCGTTGCGATCATGTGGTCCCAGTAGACCCAGAAGTCGTCGAGCGTCTTGGGCCACATCTCGGGTGGCATCCGCAGCGAGGTGCCGAACACGGCGCTCTGGCGGTACATAGCCTCCATGCGCTCCTGGGAAATCTTGCCGAAGAGGCGCTCGTGCACGAGCACGAGGGACACGAAGAGTGTGGCTGCGGTCCAAAGGTGTAGTTCGGGGTCGTTGGCGTCGTAGCGCTCTCCGTTCACCTCGCCGTTCACCTGAGCATGGTACTTGTGGATCACGCTGAAGATGGCCTTCTTCTCCCGCTCGGTGCCGAACACGGACGCGTTCAGGAACCGCGCAGTGTTCCGGAGTCGCTCCGGAATACGGGACGCGAACGTGCTGTGTCCCGCAGTGCCGCGCGCAATGCCGGGGTGCGCGAACTGGCACAGGATAGCAAACTGTCCTCCGAGGAGGTAGATGTCCTCAACGATCATCTCGCGGAGGATAGCCGGGTCCTCGATCGTGTCGTGGATGTGGACGTCGAGGCGGCGGCGGAGGCCAGCACCGTCCGTGGTGGGAACTTCCGTCGCGGTCGTGGTAGCAACAGCAGCCATTGTGGTTGTGGTCGGAATGTCTCTGGGGCTCGGAAGCTCGGGAGTAGACTGTCTGGTTATATGCGTGCCAAATTCCTGTGGGCCCCGGGAAAGGAAGCGTGGGCCCCCCCAGGTCACAAGGACGTGCGGTGTTGCAATCGGTCGAGGAACGCTGAGGCAGTAGCCGCGGAACGCTCCTAACGGTGGCTTCAGCAGGCTAGTTTCGCTAGCGTCTTCCTAGTCCGTGGTCATCGCACGACGACGCGGTGATCGTTGACCTCGTTAGCGGTCGTAACTAAGTCGTCCGGGCGCCGAGAGGTATCAACGGATCGACGCGTGAAGGCCCCGTGACCAGCGCGGCGCGACTGTCGTGAGTGCTTCTGTCGTTAGGTGCTTGGCAGATGGTGAGGATCGAACCATCTTTGCGACATCAACCGACTCATCTCGGCGTTGGGTGGCGAACGATTACGTAAATACCGGCTGTTAGGCACTGGAACACGGCGTGATAGCGAGCATGAGTCTTGCGCCCGGCCAAAGGGCATGTTGGATCTGCTGACCACGGTGATCGCTAGTGAAGCCGTCTGGTGCCCGCCTAGCTCGGAGTAGTGTCGTTCCGCGAGGGTTGGGTTGCAGAGGCGCGGTGCGCGTGCGGAATCGGCAGTGCGGGATGCGTAGCCTACCTCTCACTTAGTGACTGCCCTCTGATCAAGGCGCTATGACAGCTTCTGCCCGCATAGGAGAGGGGGACTTTCGGGAAACTCCTGAACCTCCAGAAGCTACCTGTTCGCTTCGGAAGCTAGTGACCGCACACATGGCGAGACGGGGGCCGAACGGGCCGGACGAGGATCCTGTCTCGGATTGATTCTCGCTGCGGCCATATCCATGAGAATCACGAGGGCGTGGCATGTGGCATGCGAGGTGCTCCATGACGAGTTAAGTTCGTGGAGAAGAGATGCAGAGAACAAAGAGACGTCATGTTGGACAATGATGACGGCGATGGTTTTGTTGTCCGAGAGCGTTGGGGCTGCGAGGGAATCTACCTTCTCTCATGCGCTTCGGCGTGCCACACACGGAATTCCAACCTGGGTGCTCAGCATGACGAAAGGTAGTGTTTGCAGAAACTCTGAGAAGGTCTCCCTCATAAAGACTCCTCGAATACGAACCAGTCGCTTCGACGATGAGCGACCAGCACAGATTTACGGATGATAGGACAGCAGTCGCGGACACACTCGCACCACCCTCCGCCGTGGCCGATGGCCGTCGAACCCCAGCGGATCAGCTCACCCCAGTTCATCAGCTCACCTCAGCTCCCCAAATGCCCGGACAATGGCGTTCACGCACTCTCGCACCGCGAAAGTAGCTGACATCCCCACCTCCCAGCCTCACAGCGAGGCATGGCGGGGCAACTGATGGACAAGCCTGTGTGTGTGCGTTCCCACCATCGGCACACTCGAGGGAGGTACAAAACGACGTCGCAGCGTCGTCATGTCGATTCCCAATCAATCTTCACACTCCCAACTTATCTTCATCAGCAGCAAGTACGATGACTGTCGCCTGGAAGTTGGCGATGGGCAAGTCTGACAAGGACAAGCCGAAGGAGGTGCCGGCCAAGCCCATCAAGAAGAGCAAGACCATCAACAAGGTGGCCCGTAACGGCACCGCGACCGCCAAGGAGGTGGCCAATGACAACGGCAACTCGACAGCTAACAATTCCACGAACGGTAAGGAGCAACCTACCTCCAAGGTCAAGACCACCGACGGCAACGCCGCCCCCGGGCCCACGCCTATCAATGCGAATTCCCCCAAGGTCGAGCCGCCCAAGATTGCTCCGCTCCAGAAGGTCTGTATGGTCGACGCGCCCGGCGAGGCGGTCGCGGTCATCACCACCAAGCAGGAGCCTACCACTGAGGCGTCAAAGGACGACACTGCCAGCTATAACGCCAGTACCGTCAACGACGGTCCTTCTCTCCCCAATGCCAATCAGGCTCTAAAGAATGTCGCATCAAAAGGCTCGACTTCATTCTCCAAGCGCGGTCACTTCATGAGGCGCCTCTCCCGCAGTGTCGGCAGGAACGTCTCGGTGAACAAGGGCAACACAAACAATGGGAACATCTCTGGTGCCCACCTCATCGAGCCCCTTACTGAAGACCGGGCCAACAACGAGCACGTCAAGACGATCTCGGACACTACGGCGGACCCTGGCACCGATGGCGCTAAGAATACTGCTCCCACGAGTGAGCCTCAGCCTGAGACCGTCGCCAAGGCTGTCCTCCTGCTCGGGGCGCCTTCTTCTAACGGTGACGCCGAGCCCGCGACCAAGCCCACCAACGCGGAGGTCGGCTCCTCCAGGGACATCATGCGGGGGAGTGCGGAGGCTTGTCCCTCCAACACCACGACCACGCCGACCCAGCCCATCCGTTCTCTCGCAACGACCCGCGACATCCTTCTTGCCGCCTCTCTCAGCAGGCAGGGCAGCATCCTGCCCATTACCAACTATCCCAAGCTGTCGATGTCCATCCCGCTGACCGAGGAGAAGCTCAAGCTCGATGAGCGCTCCCATGTGAAGCGTCTGTTCCGTGCAGTCGGAAACGAGGACGTCACCACCATCGTCTCGCTGCTCGCTTCGGGGCTTGTGTCGCCTGACGTCGTGTCGACTGGAGGTATCACTCCTCTCGTCTACGCGGCGGCGCGCGGTCTGTTCGACTCGACCGAGGCGCTTATCATGCACAGCGCCGACCTCAATCGCATGAGCGAAGCTTCCTTCGCGGCCTTCAAGCCCACCCAAGTTGCCTCCGCTAGCAAGCTGGAGGACGGCATGCAGCACTCTGAGCCCAGGACTGCGCTCATGGCAGCCGCCGAGCATGGTCGCCTCCGGGTCGCCGAGCTGCTCCTCCTGGCGGGTGCCGACGATGGCATCATCGCCCCGGACGGACAGATCGCTCTGCGCCTCGCCGTTCTCAACGGACACCACGAGATTGCTGAGATGTTGCCGGAGCGGAACGACGGTGCCGCCGAGCGCATCGCGTACAAGCTCGCCCCCGCGCGCTCGCATATGCGCAACGCTGTGCTGTGCATCCAGATTGTCTGGTTCATTACGGTCTTCATCAGTGCCTGGGTCTGGGGTCTGATGCTCAAGGCGTGTAAGCTCGAGGAGAGCTGGGCCCGCTTCTGCGCCAGTGTCAAGGCGGATCTGATCCTCATCCAGGACGGCTGGAAGTGGACCAAGGACAAGTTCATGGCCGGTATGGAGTGGTTCCTCGCGTACTGGCCCCTCCTCATTGCGTATGGCGAGGACGTCGTCTAGTATGCGACGTCTGAGCCCGTTTATGCCGTCTTCTACCTTGTCTACTATGTGCTCGAGCACATTGTTGATGGTGCGCCTGTCGCCGCCAACTGGATCTGGCACCAGGCCAAGGACATGCCCGGCAAGATGAAGCTGTTCTGTCACAGCGTTCCAGGCGTCTCTCGTCGCTGCCTCCACGCCGCCGAGGAGATTGCGTCCGAGGCGATCGAGTGGTTCTCCGCCGGTCTCGACTCGCTCGGTCCTCGCTACGACCACGCCAAGACTGTCGTCTCTGCCCAGTCCCAGAAGGTCCTGTACAACCTGCAGCTTGTGGGGCGCCAGCTCAAGCCCGTCATCGACGACACGGTTGTCCGGTTCAAGGCTCTCCCCTCCGCCATCCAGCTGTACGCGGTTTGGACCTTCTACACCCTGTGTCACGGCAGTATCGCCCTCGTCGGAGCTCTGCTTCAGTCCATCTCCCTCGCTCACTCGACCTCCCTCGCCATCATTACCTGGTTCAAGGATGTCACGGCCGAGGACCTGCGCAACGGCCTGGTCCAGCTTGGGAACGCGCTCGTCGACCTCTTCATCATCCTCCACGTCCAGCTGATCAGGCTCGTGCACACTTGCAGCATCGTTGTCTTCCGTACCATGAACTGGACGGGAGCGGCGGTCTACTGGGCCGGGTACGCTGTTCTGGAGCTCGTTGGGTTCATTCCTATGTGCATCCTGAAGGCGTTGTGGGCCGTCCTGCGTGCGGTGCTCTTCGCGGTCCACGAGGGCAGAGTCTGGTTCAACCCTCGTGCTGCTTAATCTCGCTCTTCTCCCCACTGTACTGCAACGACACACCACTGTGACATTGCTCTCCTTTCCCGCCATGTACATTGTAGCTGTCAGAACGAATGTATGAACAGTCTCTCCTCGTGTCCAAGACCCCTCGGTCCCGCGCGCTGCGCTCAACTCGCTGCCCTCGCTTGTGGGAATCAACTAATCCATAAAACTGCTGAAACTACCGAAACTCCTATAATTTTGTGTCTGTTTACAGACGGGCACCAGCCTTGTTGGCAAAGTTGGCGACAATCGGGCCCTTGCTGTCAGCGGACGAGGTGGGGTGGGTCGCGCGCTTGTCGAAGGTGGTGACCTCCTGCCAGCGGGCGGCGAGCTGGTCGGGGGTGGCCGGGCGGTCGTTGGGGAAGACGATACCGGCGGAGCGCTCGTAGCGGTAAGCAGCCGCAAGACCGCCGTAGGCCTTGATGATCTGGGCCGTGTCCTTGCACTCGCGGGAGGTGAGGTAGCACGCGATGGGCGCGACGTAGTCGGCCTTGAAGGTGTTGAGGAGCTCCTCGGTCCACACCGTCGCGGTCATCTGGGTGCCGGCCGAGGGCGCGAGGGCGTTGACGTAGATGTTGTTCTTGCGGCCCTCGATCGCGAGCGCCTTCGTGAAGCCGATGATGGCCGCCTTGGCGGTTCCATAGTTGGACTGGCCGTGCGCGCCCGCGACTCCGTTCGGCGACGACGTGTTCAGGATACGGCCGTAGTTCTGCTTGTGCATGTAGGGCCAGACAGCCTTGCACATCTTCCAGGTGCCGCGGACGTGGATGTCGAGGACCGAGTTGAAGAGCTCGGGCGTCATGTTGACGAACGCCTTGTCGCGCAGAATACCGGCGTTGTTGACGAGGGCGTGGACAGTGCCGAACTTCTCGACGGCGATCTTGACAATCTTCTCGGCGTCGTCCTCGATCGAGCCGATGGCAGCGACACCCTTGCCGCCGAGCTTGTTGACCTCCTCGACGACCCTGTTGGCCGCGTCGGCGCTGATGTCGTTGACGACAACGTTGCCGCCATACTTGGCGTAGTAGCGAGCGTAAGAGGCACCGAGACCGTTGCCGCCGCCGGTGATGATGACGGTGTAGTCCTTGAAGGTGATAGGGGGAGGGGGGCCCTGAGGGTTGGGAGGGAGCGAGGGCTGCAGCTTCATGACCTCCATCATGCGAGCGGCGTCAGACTGCGAGGGGTAGGTAGCCTTCGAGTAGTCGAAGACCTTGGGCCACTGCAGGTCAATGGCGGAGGGAGTGAACGAGTCGTCAGCCTTCCAGACGTAGCCCTCAGACTGCTGCCACTTGGTCTCGGCAAAGTAGCCACCGCCGACCTCGAAGAGGCGACCACCGACGTCGGGACCGTTGCGAGCCGTAAGAACACCGATGAGGGGAGCGACGTGGTCCGGGTCGAGGTGGGAGAGGACCTCGGGGGTCATGACAGTCTGGGTCATGGCCGAGGCGGCGAGGGGAGCGATCGTGTTGGCCTTGATGTTGTACTTGACACCCTCCTTGTCGAGTACCTGGGCGAACGTGACGAGGGCCATCTTGGCACCGCTAGATTGTCAGCTGAAGCTCTCCTTGCGCCGTGCCGCCGAAAAAACGCTAATCCACAAAACACCTCCACTCCGCCACATCCACCACCCCACCACCCATCCACCCTCCCGACGACTTCTGCAACTCATTCTCGACGCAAAATCGTCGTTTCTTCTTCGTTTTTTCGTCAGAGACGCTCTCCGGGGACGTACGCGTAATTGGTTTGGCCGCCATTCCCGTAAACTCCGGCGGGAGAAGCAGTGTTGACGATGCGACCGAACTTCTGGGCGCGGAAGAGGGGCCAGACGGCCTTGGTGATGGCGTAGGCGCCCTTGACGTGGATGTCGTAGACGTCGTTGAACTCCTTCTCGGTCATCTTGCGGAAGGAGCGGTCGCGGAGGACGCCGGCGTTGTTGATGAGGACGTGGACGGTGCCGTAGGCCTTGACGGCCTGGTCGACAATCTTCTGGCCGTCCATGACAGAGCCGACCGCGGCGATGGCGTCTCCGCCAACTGAAGCGTTAGCGCGATCCACAAGATACCGCCGGGCGGCAAGCAAGGGGGAGTAGGTCTGCGCGAGTGCGGGGAGACCCCGCAGTAGTACACCGCCAGAAGAGAGTTACTTACGCTTCTTGACCTCGGCAACGACCTTGTCGGCGTTGGCCTGCGAGACATCGTTGATGACGACCTTGGCCTTGCCCTTGGCGTACATGTGCGCGTAGGCGCGGCCGAGGCCGCCGCCTCCGCCGGTGATGATGACGACGAGGTCCTTGAAGTCGAGGGGCATGGTGCTTGTGTTGCGAGGGGAGGTATGGGGAGAGAGCAAAGGTCACGAGCTGGGAGTTATAAGAGTCCGGGGGGTGTCGGGAGGGCTTAACCGGAGTGCGGGGTGTGGAGGGCACGAAGCTAGTGGAGTTTCCCGAGATATCTCGTTTCCGTGTGGTGCTAGTGGGCTGGGCACTGGACGACCTGGCGGCCGAAGTGCTTGGCTTAATCCAGTACGTGTGCATTAGTAAACGCGCCTTACGCACGAGCGAGCATTAGGCTCGGCCTCGCGGTATTGCAGAAGCACTGGTGGGCAGCATGGGCTGGCGGCCGGCGCCATCATTGGGGGAGCAGGCTCCAGTCGGTCGGCCATGTCCGACCACCCAACGCTCGGCATCCGGCATACCCCACAGCCGAAGCTCCCGCGGCCGCCGGCCCTCGCCGCCGATACTCGCTCCTCCACCTGCATACCGCAACCTGGATTCCTCATGAGGTCCGGACCTGGCGGGGTGTATCTGCGGTGACCACCAGCTCTTAAAGTTGTGTCCGCTTGGTAGGATGCAAGAAAACTTCCCACTTCTAAGACTAAGCATAACTGACAACATCCTTCACATCGCAAAACTTCGCCCGGCTCGGCCGGTCAGCTGACGCCAGAAGCTAGCGGGTTAGTGATGAAGGATGCGGGGTTTAGCGCAGGGTGCACTGACTTAGTAGCCGAGCATCATGGGTTGCAGGGTGCGGGATGCAGTTGAAGAGGTCGCGCTCATGAGTCCGGGGGGGCGGAGCAAAGCTAACCACGCACTGCGACAACTTTCTGCCACATAAGGATCAGCACATCTGCAGATGATCCATCTCATGTCGCAGCCCTGGCATGTCTTACGACTGATCATCCCGATCATCATGAAGGGGTGATCAGCATCACAGAGCCTCGACCCCTGCCAATCGCGTCCGTCATGTGCGCTCGCCTGCTTCGCTCGGAAGTCGGAAGTGCCAGATCAGTCACGCATCCCAAGAGGTGTGCAATGTGCACTTCGGTGCGCTGTGGGCTGTGGGCAATATGCGTGCTATGTGCGATCTGCTGTCTGCAACGGGTCGTGCGGACCAACAGTCTTTTAGTACCTCAAGGTCCAGCCTAGGTCTGATCCCTGTCTTTGCACGTCTGCACTCATGTCTCGAACGCACGCCATGGGGGGACACTGACTCATCTTGAGCAAACCTCCGAGCACAGTCCGGGCAGTGCGTCTTCATCACGTCTCACCACTGTCCCACCTCCGCTTTTAGGTATGGAACGAGACACTCCCGACCTGGCTACCATGCCATGAACATCCTCAGAGCCGAGAGGTCTCCCCTCGGTCCCACGAAGCTCCGTCCCTGCTGTCTCACCCATCACCGCTTGCCAGTCTCTTACGCTGCGCTTGTGCAAACAATCGTCGTCAAGTAACAGTTGGTGTTACCAGAACACGTCCGGGTGCATCTTATACAACAGGTCTACATGTAATGCGTTTGGTTTTGCTGTTTTCGCTTCTGCTTCTCGCTCTGGGCGTTAGACGTTAGGCGTCTGGGCGTATGGGGTGTCTCCTCAAGATCGTGGCGGGGCATGAAGGGATTACTCTAAGGAGCGATTGGGATAGGTTACTGGATTGATTGAGGGACATAGTTTTCGGTTGAGGGTCGTGCTACATGGTCTTGAGATGCTCTTGGCGTGGCTCATGACAGAATGAACGTTATTGTTTCGTGATTACCGCAAGCGGTGGGTCTGTTGTGCGTGTGGTGTGTCGGAGGTCGACTGATGGCAAGATGGCCGGCAGCGTGTCCGCCCCGCTCAGAAGGGCACTCCATAGCTGCCGACCGACCGCGGCGAGCTCTCGGTCACAACGATCTTGGCGGCAGCTGTATCGAAGGGGTTCTTCTCGAGCTCGAGATCGGGCGTGAGCGGCGTGTCGCTCGAGAACGTGCTCGAAACGTTGCGTTTCGGCGACTCAGTCATCGCCGCGTCCCAGTCTGCCGCAAGCTCGGCCAGACTCTTAGTCGGAGACGAGACCGAGGCCGACGAGATCGACAACGAGCGCTCAAGTGCCGGTACCATCGGCGGGCGGAGCGCCGCGATCGCCTCGTCGTGCACTGCCTTGCGCCATGCCTGGGCTTGCTGCTTTGCAAGCGAGCCTGGTGATGTCGGCTCGGAGGCGTCGACCTTCAGCGGGTTCTTCAGGATGGAGATGCGCCGCTTCACCGGCACCGGCTTCACTGTCGGCGGAGTCAAGATCACGGGTAGCGTTATGCTCCGCGGTAAGGGTGAGACTGGCGAGACGGCCGCGACTGGCGACGCTGGAACATCAGGCAGAGGCGGGAGCGGGCGCTGGCTCGAGAACACCGCGGACAGATCCGGGGGCGGCGGGGCGGGTCGATGAGAGCCTATCGGTCGCCGGACCGGTTGCTGGGGCGGAGAGGGCGCGGACCTGGTCGGGTACGGGGTGTTGTAGGACGAAGGCATCAGCTTGTCAGGTAAGACAGGAGCAGGGCCGCTGATGCTCTCTTTGAGTGACTGGCGTGACGACGATCGGCTGGGGAGCGTAAAGTCTGGAATCAACTTTGAGTCCCTGATGGAGTGCTGGACAGAGTGCGCACGACGATGAGGCTGACGCGGCGAGGCGTACAGTTTGTTCGTCGTGTGCAGCCGCGGTGGCGTGTCAACGCTTCGGCTCAGGTTGCCATGGTATGAGGTGAACAACGGCATGGGCTGGGGTCCTGAGCGTGTGCGTCTCCTAACCGCCATGGCTGCCGCTTCGTTAATGCTGACCAGCTCTGCCGACGAACTCTTCGGAAGGTCGGGTGTCTTGGGAGGCAGTGGCGGAGGCGAGACGGCACAGTCATCTGTCGGCAGTGCTGGGAGTGCGGCGTTCAAGCCTGTGGTCAGCTCCGCATCGAAAATCTGTTAGCTCACCTTTGTCAGGATTCGTGACCGGGTACGGTCCCCTCATCATGAGAGCTGGAACAATGGGTGATCGCTGAGTGGTGATGGTGGGAGAGTGAATGGGAAGAGGAGGAACAGGAGGGGGTGCTTCGTCCGACTGGAACATGGACGCAAAGTTGGACGCGGATCTGCTTCGGCGTATGTGGGAGGGCCGGCGCGATGAGGTGCGTTCAGGATATGCGCCGCCGCTCGACGACTTGGTGTGCTTGGATTGTTTCCGTAAGCTGGGGTGGATGTAGGTACTAAATCCGTCCACATAGGGATGCTCAGGCAGGGAGTCTTCGTCGAGCGAGGCTCGTGAGCTGTAGGATTCATGAGTGTCGAACGAGGAAGGTACAGGGGACGGAGCCTGCGCTGGCGGTTCGGTCGCCTTGAGAGGAGGATACCGCTGCGGAAGAGTCAGCACGAGCACACGCGATGTGGTTAGGCAGCAGCCAGGGAAGAAGGGTCAACGACGTCTGAGCAGAGTGTGTGCGCTTGCGTGGGTTGTGTGTTCCCGAGTGTGCCCGCACGCACACACTCGCATCATCACTCACCTGCCAATCACCGCCGCAGAGCTCCCGGATGTCAAAGTCGCTCATGTCCATGGCGTCCGAGTCGTCGGTGGCGAACGACGAGAACGAAGAGCACCGCGTCAAGTCAACGGGAGGACAGAGGAGCAGGCCAGGCGTCAGGTGGGCCGAGGAAGGTGGTGGAGTCGAGGGCCAACTATTAGTAGCGGACGCCGGCGGTGTTGGAAGCGACGGCTCTGAGCGCGAGGTGGTGGGCTGTGATGGACAGGGGCGTGAGGCTGCAGCAAGGGGTGCCGAGACGGCGGAGGGGGCTGAGCCGGAGGGGAAGGGGGTCGAGGGAGAGGCCAAGGAAGACGGGGTTGGGAGTGGTGATGAGAGCGATGGCAAAGGAACGTGCGGTGCCGAGGGAAGGGCAGGGAGAAGATGAGCTTGGACACTCGCGTCGGCGGTCCTAGACCTGCTGCTCGACGCGCCCGTGCTCAGTGGCTGTGGCGTCAGGTCCAGCGCAAGAGCCATCTTGTCTCAAGTCCCAGAAGTCCGTGTCGTCCACACCACTGTGTCCACCGTCTACGGCCCACGCCCAGGTCGATTGCCTCTTGTTGATCTTTGCCCTCTCGCTCTTAGTCTGGCAGAGCCGGATGCCCAAGTGTTTTCCGGCGGAACAACAAGTTTGGGAGGTCACCAAGGTATTCAACAGCGGTAGCGCAACTGCTAGCGCCCTAGCAAAAGGAGACACCGGTTAACGACGATCACTCCTCAAGCCTGGCTGTGTGACTAGCTGCCGGGCTTGAATGGTCGCCAGCTCGGCACTGTCGTATGTTGTCTATTCCTGGGTCCCTTGGTACGATATCACTCGAGTCTCCAGCTTTCGTCCAACTTTTGCGCAGCAGAGATGAGGAAATGAACCTACAACGCCAAGAGAGTCGACATGAGACTTCAACAAGCCCGGGCAGTGTTCTGTCCAGGGGTCTTAGTCTCCGCGTATCGATCGGCGACTGCGCTTGCGATGCGATGCAGGCGTCCTCAGTCGGAAGGCAGGAATGCCTCGTCGTATTCCTCGCAGGGATCAAGCGGCCCCAGAAATGTGGGAGGGGGGCTTTCCAACTTCCGACGCTTCAGAACCGGACCGCCTCAAGTGCCACGGTTCCCTAACCGTTAACCGCTTTGGCGTTTTCGAGGGCCGGCTGACGCCGAGGAATATTCACAGCAGGAGAGCACAGCTTGCGGCGTCCGGCGCAGAGGGTGCTCAGGTTGTTCGGGTCTCTCAGCTCTGCCGACTTGGCTGCTGGGAAGGGTGTTTAGAGAGGGGCCTGTGCTGGGGACCTCGATTCGTCGTAATAATCGCGCGCTCGAGGGGATCGCTGTTGGCGAGCTGAGCGGGGGCGGTATGACCGGCCGGGCCTTCGTTTCTTCGTATCCGTTCGTGAAGTCTGTGCGTCGAGGGTCGAGGTCGACAATGGCGTACCAGCGTGGGCTGGGGTGGGCGTGGGCGGTGCCGAGGGGACGGTGGGGAGGAGGCAGGGGCGTTCGCCTCGCTTTTGGAGTGGTGGAGAAGATCGAAAGAGGGTTAGTCAAGAAGAGGAGAGAGATGAGAACGCAACAGAGGTTCACGAGGAATGTTTTCGTGGACTCCTGGTGCATGTCACTCGGAGTTGCAAAGTCCAGCTGAGCTCGGCGCTCAGCGTCGTCGTCGCGAGGCTTGCAAGGCGGGCTTGTGAGGCTTGCGCTTGCAAGGCTAGAGGCTATGGTTAGCAATGGAGTTGTACCTCACGTTCCTCTCGTTCCTGGAGATGGGTGAGGAGAATTAGAGGGTGCTCCTGATGCACCCAGCCGGGGCTTGATAGACATATGTCGTAATTGCTCGCCAGGCAGGTAACGTCGCTCGCTGTCCCTGGGTGCTTCAGGATGCATCATGTCAAGAGTCACACCCCATTCACCTGCACTCCCTGCGGCTCATGTACAACGACGACAACTCCTGAAGCTTACCAGGGCTCACCTGACCCAATGCACCCGAAGCTCAGCACATCTCCCTTCGTTTCGGCGCCTGATGTCGCTGGGAGGGACAGGATTGACCAAACTGGCAATTGCTGGGTACGTTTGACGGTGTCGTTGTGAAGCTCGTGCACAGTCAGATACCATTAGAGCCTGCAGCGACTAGTCTTGTCAGGCCGAAACGTGACGACAGTGCCGAGAGTGCTCCCACAAACCTCATTGTCTGCCGGAGGTGCCGTACATGTCGGGTGTGTCATGACTGTCGGAGCATGAGACAATGGTCCATGAAGGTGACATACTGCAGCACCTCTTTTTCCGGCGGTGACGGGATATTGCAGGGGTCTGTGAATGCTAGGCGCTCTGCAGCCCACCAGAACGGGAGACACCAAGGCTGCAAGGATCAAGGACGGCACTCGATGCAAAACGTTTTAGGGGCTGGGCATTCGTCAATGCTTGTGGTGGCTGAGAGGCGCATTTCATCGGTGATGGCCAGGTCTGCCTCAAGAGCGAGCGGTACTCCGAGCGATAGGAGAGGACGGCACCGCGTTCCTCGTCGAAAGTCCCCCGCTGGCGACGGGCCGACTGCAACAGTCACGTTCCATTCTTTCATTGTCTCTGATCCCTGCCGACCCTCCACTAGCCCTACCGGATGCTCCTCGGGAGCTGGGGATCACCGAGCCATGCATGTTCCTGTTGACGAGCAGCTGGGCATGCTACCCCTCGGAGCATTGCTCTCCTCCGAGGAGAGACGATGGCTACCGACGCTCCGTTTCAAGTTGTTACATCGGACGAACGCAGCAGCTGGTTGGTAGCGCAGCTGGCGTCGCTGTCTCCACCTCCCAACAGCGACCGCCAGACCCAGCAGACGTACGCCTGTCCACTGACGTCTGGGAACCAGCGACGCAGATGTCACCCCAGTGTTGGCGCCAAAGGGTGGCCCAAGGGAAGGGTAAGACAGGAATTCTGGTTGCATCCTCGAGACCTGTCACGCATGTACGTACTCCTCTGTTCCTGCTCTGTCTGCTGTAACAGCCACATATTTGTGCTTCGGCCCTGATCTTCCCTTCCCCCCCCTGCACAGAGGGATTACATACTCCCTTCCGCCGGATCATTCTTGTCACCTGCATGCCCAGGACTGACCAGGACTGATCAAGACTGGACGGACATGTCGAAATAGAAATGAGGGCACTTCGAACTCTATCGCTGAATTAGGGTGAGCCCCGTCGAGCTACTGTGAATTAGACAATTCCAAGCTTGTCCGTCTTTGAGCTTGTGATACGATCAACAAGCTCGCCGTTGAATATCGTGGCGCCGACACGGGGTGAGCTCGTGTCGGTGAGCGGCGAGCAGGTGCCCGCGGACACGCCCGCCTTCTGTTTGTCTTGCGCATCTGGTTGGCTCGGCTGGCATCGGCGCTGTTTACGCTCAAGTGAATGCCACAACAGGCTCAGACTCGAGAGTGCTTTTTGAGGGTGTAGGACGCTCTCCGTGATCCAGCAATCAATTTGCAGCACCTGCAACGACGTCACTACTCACTCCCCAATGCAGAGCGGCTAGTACGCTGATTGGGGGTGGTTGTCTTGGACAGGCGAGCGTCGCAAGACCAAGTGCTGCGCAGGTTGTACGCCACTAGTACATCCAGAAACTGGAATGAAATGAATTGCTGCTTGAGTATCATCTTGGGCACAGCTGACGACGTCTCTTGACCCAGAACCAGGATGATCTACGTACATCATCACTGTGCGCCGCGATTGGCGCGCTTGCTTGTCTCGTCGCCGCAGGCCTCCTGGACGGTGACCATAGCGCGTGCCTCTGCCTGCACCTCGTGGCTGTAATTAAGTGCCCGTGCCCGACAGACCTGATGCGATCGCAAACGTCGATTGCAAGCCAAAGTGCGATGGGCTTGCACTTGGACCTTCGACGCCAATCTTCGAAACAGATAGCGGCGTGATCTGAGCGGCCAGGGAGGTCTAGCATTGTACCTGCACAGGCGGCTGTGGACTTGGACGCACAAGGACCAGGACGCAGTGATGTCTCCGCTCCTCACCATCGAGTGTGCAGGCTGGAGAGAAGGGTCTGCCTCTCACTTTGTCGTTGACACATCGCAGTAGAAAGTCAGAACTCGCATTCTGGAAGCCTGATGCGTACTTTCGGCAGACTGTCCGAGCAGCCTTTGCGCTCCGACAAGCCGTCACCGGCACTCCCGCCAGCCACAATCTATGTCCATCTTCCGCCAGGCCGTGGTGCCGTTATCTCGACAGCCGCGGATCTAAGTTTTCACAGGGTGTCGCAGCCGCTCCACTGCCTCGACGACGAGCTCCAAGACATTCGAGGGATCGCTCCGGCTCCGTCGCGTAACGCTTCATGCATAAGTGCGTCCTTTTCTCAGGCTGTCTCACCTCCTCATTCCGCTACTTCGGCTGCCTGCCGTCAGACCGAGCCGGCATGGTCTAGCTAGTGATGGAGCAGTGGGCCTACCTTTGCAGTGGGACTCGTCGCTGGTTGGGAAACGTGACAATTCTTCGCACTTCACTGCTTTCGATCCGGACATTCAAATCCGAGTCATAATGGATCCAGCTGGGTCATCTGGACGTCTCGGTCATCAAACTTTGCGTCGGGTGTAGCTTCGGATCTCGCCTCCTAGCGAAACGAGCGAACCCAAGCGCAAACTCAGAGCTCAGAAAGTCTGTAAGTTCAGTACGGAGGGGGAGGCAGAAAATCAGAGCCGTAGTGAGAAGCCGAGAATGCGAGAACGCGAGAAAGTTCGTTCCTGGGAGCTTCGAGCGCGTCATAGTTACACCTCTCGTGTGCGCGTCGAGCTTCTTCAAGCGAGCTTGTGGTGCCAAATTGGGCACTAGCAAATGCAATGCAATACATTCCTTTGTTGTTGTAGCAGAAGACAGATCAAGTAATCGACAGGAGAACACGCAGAGCAAGTTACTTAGTACTTGTCCTGGGGCACGCCGGCGAGCTCATCGTAGCCGAGGGCGAGGTTGAGGTTCTGGAGGCACTGGGTCGCGGCACCCTTGAGGAGGTTGTCGAGCGCACCGACCACGACGACACGCTTGCCGCTCGAGTGAACCTGGACGCCACCAACGCGCCAGCCGTGGCGGCCGGCAATGTCGCGGACGTCAGGAGCCTGCTGCGTGATCTGGACGAGGGGCTCGTTGGCGTACTTCTCCTCGTAGAGGCCGACAATGTCAGAGGCACGCATGCTCTTGGCGAGCGGGGCGTTGAGGACCGAGACAATGCCGGAGAACCACGGGGCAACGGTGGGGATAAAGGAGAGCTGGAAGTCCTCCTGGCCGTTCAGGCGCTGGAGCTGCTGGCTCGACTCGCGCTCGTGGATGTGGTCAGTCAGCGAGTAGGGGCGAACAGAACCCTCCAGGTCCTGCTGCGAGATCTTGGGGACGGTCTTGGGGTGGCCGTCAGCGTCCTTCTCGCCAGACTTGGTGCCGGCACCCGAGTAGCCAGAGACACCGAAGACGGTGGGCGGGCGCTGGGCGTCGAGATAGGGAAGCAGAGGCGCGAGGAGCATCTGCGTGTTCGTGGCGTAGCAGCCGGGGTTCGAGATGCGGTCAGACGCACGGGCAGCGTCGCGGCCGTAGAGTTCTATTCGATTCATTTAGCTTCATATCACTTTATCTAGACGGGGTAAACAGCACACAGAGATAAACAGCAAGATGTAGGTATTCAACAGAGACCTATGTCTTTCAGTCTAAATCTGGATGCGCCCCTTATGCGCGCTCACCAGGGAGAGAGTAGGTCCACGACGGCTCGAAACGGTAGTCGGCAGAGAGGTCGACGATGGCGCTCTTGCCGCCCTTAGCCTTGGCGGCGTCAATGGCGTCAACGAAGGGCTTGCAGACTCCGTTGGGGAGAGCCATGACCCAGGCATCAACCTCGTTGTTCTCAGCCATCTTGCCGACGTCCTCGGGGGAGAGGTTCGAGTACTTGACGTCCGACTTGGTGTAACCCTTGAGGGGAAGGCCGTTAAGCTCGCGCGACGAGACGTGGGTGAGGTCGAGGTGGGGGTGGTTGTTGATCAGGTCAACAAGGTTCTGGCCGGTGTAGCCACGGGCACCAATCAGGGCGACACGCTTGCGGGGGGCCTCAGTGGCGTAGCCGCGGCGCTGCTCGGCGGCACCGGCACGGAGGGAGGGGCGAGCGGAGGTCGAGAAGGCGCGAGCGTTGGCGGGGGCACCAGCGAGGCGGTGGGGAGGGGTCGAAGGACCGACGGGAAGGAAGACACGGTCGATGCGACCGTTCTGCTCAAACCCCTCAATGATCTTCTCAACCTGCTTGACGTCGGGAACGCCGTACCAGTAGAGCGAGCGGCCGGCGCGGGTGAACGAGCCGTCAGCGCGCTCGAAGTGCCAGGCACGGTTCTCGTCATCCGCGGGGGCAGTCCAGAAGAGACGCTTGTGGTCCTTCTTGATCGAGTCGAAAACGTTGTCAACAGTCTTATTGAGGATAGCGTTGCGCGAAGGAAGGAACTTGGTCATGACAGGAGTCTGGCCCTCGGGGTGCGAGACAACGGCGACAACGTCGAGGGGCTCGTCACCGTAGATGGTGTGGGGAGTGTTCTTCATCTCGGAGAAGATCTCGGCAACGGACTTGCGGCCGGACTGGACTTCGGGGTCACGCTCGGTGAAGATCTGGCGGAGCTGGGTCGAGCCAACACCCTCAGTGGCGGGCTGCTTGAAGAGCTTGTAGCCACGCGAGATAAGGGTACCGGCACCGGCGTCAGTGAAGAGCTCCTTCTGGAGCATGTCGGTCGAGATGATGGCGACAGACGAGGTGCGAGGGAGGGTGTCAAGGAGCTCCTTGATCTCACGGAGCTTGAGCTTGGTGCCGAACTTGACCCAAGACTCCTTCATGAGACCCTCGTACTCCTCGTCGAGGTTGATAGCAGAGAGCTTCTTGCCAGTGACACCGTGGAAGAGACCACCCTTCTCGTTGAGGTAGACAATCTTCATGGGCTCAAGGACCTTGGCGAGCTCACCGGCGGCGACGTCGGCGTTGACGTTGAGCATCTGACCGTCGGCGGTCTCGGCGAGCGAGGTGAGGATGGGGAGACAGCCGGCGCGGATGGCAGCCTCAATGGGAGCCTTGTCAACACGCTGGATCTTACCGACAAGGCCGTACTTGTTCTTGTCAAGGTAGTCGGCGTGGAAGACACCGGTGGGGATGGGGCGCGCACGAGTGCCGAGACGCTCGAGGGCAGAGGTGAGCTTGAGGTTCTCCTGGAGGAAGACCTGACGAGCGATCTGGAGGGTCTTGGCGTCGGTGATACGGATGCCGTCCTCGTAGTCAGGGGTGATGCCCTCAGACTCGAGGATCTCGTTCAGCTGAGGACCAGCACCGTGGAGAACGACAGGGTAGAGGCCGAGACGGTTCAGGAACGAAAGCGAAAGCGCGAGGTCATCAAGCTCGTTGGTGAGGATAGCACCACCGATCTTGAGAACAGCGAACTTGGCCTCGGGGAGGACACCACCGGCGGAAGCGCCCTTGGAAGCCTGGGTGAAGATACGGAGGTAGCGCTCAACCTCGTGGCGGGAACCGAGAGAGTAGAGAAGACGGATGATAGTGTCCTATCGAAAGATTAGCGATGTGACGCAATCGCAGAAGGAACGCCGGGGCACACCGGCGCCCTTGTCGACTTACACGGTCCATACCACCATCGCGGGGGTTCTGAACGGCAGACGTAAGGCCGCGCTTGCGGATCTCGTGACCGACCTTCTTGGAGTCGAGCTCGAGGACAATGTTGGAGGCGCCAACCGCGGCAGGCTTGACGTATCCGCGAGCCGCGGAGCGCGCCAGAGCCTGAACGGCGGGGCGTTGGAGGTTAGAAATGCGGCGGAGCATTGGGGGAAGAGTGGTGGCGAGCCCTCCTGTCGTACTGAAGGGATCTAGATGAGTGATTGAGAGGAGGGAGGAGGTCTTAGGATTGAGTCGATAGCAGCAGCCAATCGAGGACAGCGACCGGTTAGTGAGGCGGAAACCGGATCCCCGTGGGAAAGTTACTGACCTTGTTCGGTGACATCAGTCACGTGTTGATTGTGCCTGGAATGGAACTGGAACGCGGGTGCTTTTCCTCGCTGGGCCTTGTTGTGGCTCACCACAAACAAACAAGTCAACAACCCAAATAAACGCAAGGACGGGTTGCTCCGCCCAGCCAACCTTCAACCACACAATCATCACCGTCATGTCCGAAGGACAGGAGAACGTGGTAAGCTTCTCCATCTCTAGCATCCGTCCCCAGAACCAACGCTAACGATGCAGCCACCAGCAACACGGCTGCCCAGGGTTGGTGGATCACCGACCAAGGCGTCCGGCATTCCCAAGGGTATCCCGAAGCCCGTCACCCGATCAGCGTTAGGCGCCGCGTCAACAGTTGCAGGGGAGAAGCGTAAGGTGCCCGAATCCCCCAAGCTCCCGGCGAAGCGCAGCACGTCCGGCCCCAAACTTGGCAAGTCGACCACTGGAATCAAGATGTCGACACGAGGCGCAGCGTCCTTTGCGCCCAAGAGGAAGGCCTCGGCTCCGACTTTGGGCAAGTCGACCACTTCGAGCATCACCACTCGTCGGGGGCCCGTTAGTGAGGCTGCCGCTCGGCGACCTGCCAGCGCCGCCGCCACGCGGAGCACCGCGCGACCCACTACCACCACTGCCGCCGCAGCTACCCGACCAGTGCGACCAGCGACATCCTTAGGTGGCCCTAGTCGAACGCCGAGCGCTCGGACATCCGCCGCTAGCCGCAACGGCAACGTCACACCAGAGGATGGCCGATTGGACAACCTCGAGAAGATGCTCCAGATGATTCACGAGGAGCAGACGAAGATGGCGGCGTTAACGGCTACGAAGGAGGACCTGGCGAGTGTGGTTCTGAACGCCGAGGACAAGGAGCGCGAGAACCGGCGAGCGTTGTCCAACGGCTCGGAGGAGATGGAGGCTCTCCGGGCGAGGCATCTCCGCGATATGGAGGAGATTGAGAGGCAGCTGCGCACAAAGGAGCGCGAGAACCGAGGTCTCTTGAGCGAGCTCAGCGAGAGCTCTGAGGAACTTGGCCGGCAGCGCGACATCGTGCGCGAGCTACGACAACAACTGGCCGACCAGTCAACGCAGCACATGACGCTCTCGGCGCAGCTGACGGCCTCGCAAGCGCAGAATAACGCCCTGCAGATTGAGGTCGAGCGCGCCACCCTCGCCGTGTCGGCGATGAAGGCCGAGCTCGAAGCGGGCTATCAGAAGGCGGCCAATGCTGAAGAGCTCGCGGCCTTGCGCATCAAGGAGGCGCAGGCTGAGTGCGACCGTCGTGTGGCCGAGATCGAGGAGGAGCTGCGCACGGCAGAGACGATCCGTCGCAAGCTTCACAACCAGGTGCAGGAGCTGAAGGGTGGGTTTAATACTCAAACACTTGCTAACCATCCACAGGCAACATCCGTGTGTTCGCGCGTGTGCGTCCCGTTCTCGGGCGAGAGCAGTACAACCCCGAGGGTGTTGCTCAGATCACGTACGGCGACGAGCGCCTCGCCGCTGAAACGGGCCAGAGCCAGCTCGAGGTGCGGACCAAGTCTGAGTCCGCGACCGGCAAGGAGAGGGAGCAGGTGCTGTCGTTCCAGTTCGACAAGGTGTTCCAACCCAAGGACGGACAGCAGGCCGTGTTCGAGGAGATCTCGATGCTGGCCCAGAGCGTGCTGGACGGGTACAACGTGTGCATCTTTGCGTACGGCCAGACGGGCAGTGGCAAGTCGTGGACGATGGAGGGCGGCGACACCCCCGAGACTGCGGGTATGATCCCGCGCGCGATTGAGATGATCTTCGCGGTGAGCGCGCAACTGCGCGACCGCGGGTGGAAGTACACGATGGAGGGCACGTTCCTCGAGGTGTACAACGATGTCATCAATGATCTGCTCGGCAGCGGGCAGTTTGACACGAAGCGCCACGAGATCAAGATCGACAAGGACAACAACATGACTGTCACGGACACTGTCTCGCTCCCGCTCAGCAACCCGCAGCAGGTCTCGACGCTGCTCGAGAAGGCGCGCTCCCGTCGCGCCGTCGCCGCGACGCTCATGAACGAGCGCTCCTCTCGCTCCCACTCCGTCTTTGCACTCAAGGTGCGCGGCTACAACCCGCTGACCGACGAGAGTTCCCAGGGTATCCTGAACCTGGTCGATCTGGCCGGTTCCGAGCGCCTGGCGCAGTCCGGCGCAGGCGAAAACAAGGACCGTCTCAAGGAGACGATCAACATCAACAAGTCACTCTCGGCGCTCGCCGATGTGATCGGAGCTCTCGGACAGGGCCAGCAGGGCGGCCATGTTCCCTACCGCAATTCCACCCTCACGCGTCTGCTTCAGACTTCGCTCAGTGGAAGCAGCAAGACGCTCATGCTGTGCAACCTCTCCCCGCTTGCGGCGCACCTCGGCGAGACGGTGTGCTCGCTCCGCTTTGCGACCAAGGTCAACACGACGCCGGCTGGAACGGCGAAACGCACCCTTACCAAGGGCTAATGTTAGGACAATCAGTAATCAGTAGTGGATTCCCCATGTGTGTGTCATGTACGAGTATTCGAACCCCTTATCTGCAGTCTGCTGCACTTTTCCCTGCTGTCTGTGGAGTTCAGTCCTCTGCGCTGGGTGGCCCAGACCCTCGGCCTGGACCGAGGCACGTCTGAATGATGCCTGTTACATGCTATGCTCTACTAGACCAGCTGGTCTCTACTGACCTCCAAGGACGATGTCTCCGACGCGGAGACGCGTCCAGCCCTGCTTGTTCTCGATGGTCTTCTTGTATCCCTTCCTCCTCTTGCTGAGCGTGGTGCGGGTGAGGGGGCTCTTGGTGTTCTCAAGCACGGTGAGCGTGCAAGTAGCCACTTCGGGGGGGATCGTCTCAAAGTCGCCAACGACGCCGTGGGGAAGGGCCTTGCGCAGCTGCCTGCCGTCTGCGGCGGGGGAGCGGATCGCAAAGTCGCGCGACCCGACCTCGAGCATGCGCGTGATGTTCAGGATTGTCCCGGGCTCCAGGCGCGGCTTCAGCGTCGGCACCGTCAGAATGTCCTTCGGGTGGAGGAGGTAGGTCCGCGAATGCAAGCGCGCGGTGCAGTAGATACCGCTGTTGGGCGTGGTCTGCGCCTTGAGCAGCTTGACGGCCTCGGCTGTCGAGGTGGGGAGAGGGGGCTTGGAGCCCGAAGCAGGGAGGGGAGGGGGGAGCGAGCCGAACGGCGCCTTCGAGGACGAGGCGGCAGCCTCGGACGAGACAGACGTCGAGTGCAGCGAACGCAGAGGCGCGCGGAAGGCTGGGCAGTCAGTTCATGCACAAAAACGTAACTCACCCCGCGTCAGAGTCGTGCGCGCGGACATGGTCGATGGCGATGTTTAGGTCGAGCTCACTGCCAATCTCGACTTTTCGCCGTTGTGGTGAGCAAGCCAGAGTTGCTTTCCGACTTTGCTGAGTGTCACGTGCTTCCAATGGAAGGCGGGGGTATTCCCACGCGAGCTACAAACTGTCGATCATCTCTGTAACGGAGTTGCAACCTTACTCCATCTGTGACTTGATCGGTGATGGATGACGCCTGCCTGCCTGTCCTTTTTGGCGCCGGCTTCGTCAAAAAGTAGAGCATACGCGAGGGCGAACGCCAGGCACGGCCCGTTTGACTGCCTGGCTTGTCACTGCATCAGCCGAAGTGGGGTCCGGATGTGCCCCACCGTGGCTGCTGGGCATGCTGGGGATGAAGTATGCATGTGGCCAGAGATTCGCTGGGTGAAACTTGCCAGACCTCTGTGCTTTCTGACAGTGAATGCATGTGGTTTGCGATTGCGCACAGGCTGCAATATCGGAGAGCATTGTGGGCGCAGAGTTTTGTCAGTACTGTAGTGATCGACGAGCGAGGTGACTGAATGACACAAGCCACAAGGCCAGAAACGGATCACAACCAACCGAACGAAAGCGAAGAGCAGATCGAGTATGTAAGCCGACGAGGCGTAAGGCGTGGGAGCTAATGATATCTGATTAGGACGCAGACAATAAGCTTGCAGCAGCCAGACTTGTCAGACGGGTGCTCGAGTGGGGAACCATGTCCTCGCCAGGGGGGAGTAGTCACTCCAATCAACCAGCAACAACCGCGATGCATGCAGCACTGCAGCACTCACAGCACTGCAGCACTGTTAGCCGGCGCAATTGCAGACCGAAATACGGCCGCTGGTAGCAATCGGCCAGCCAACGAAAACGCTGGGCGAGGCAGCAGTCAACTGCCACAAGCAACGGAACCCCAATTCTCCGGAACCATCCGTGTTCCTCCGCCGACCCTTGCACCACCCACCCCCGACCCCCGCGACACTGGCTCAAACTCATCCAGGCCATCCCATCTCTTTCTACTTCGCCAAAACCCCTCTCCCCTCCCCCCTCATCCTCATACCCCCTACACCGCTCATCATGCAGTCCGCCATCCGGAACTCGCTCCGCGGCGTGAGTAGATCTTCAAAGCTCCAGCTCGACGACGATTGAACAACTCGACACGGCACAAAGAATCCGAGCGAAAAGGACCACTCGAATTCGGCTCGGCAGAAAAGGCAAAAGGGGCTTTCGGGGACATGGCTCATGGAAGGATACAACAACAACTACACTCGACGATCCTCTTTGCCATGCCTGCGCACCGCCTGCTGCGCCGCGATGCACCGGTCCGCGTCGAATGCGCCTCGCCAAACGACTGGGAAACAGCGGGATGAAATCAGAATCGAGCTGGAGCTTTTTCGGACCTTCCGGCCCTTAGGCCCCAGACAACACTTGCTGACCCCGTAACAGGTTCGCGCTCGCGTCCCCGCCGTCCGCACCTACGCGACTGCCAAGGCCGGTACGTTTTCTGCAACGCTGCCTGCCGATCGCTGTGCTGACCGTGTCTTTTTTCCGTGCACCTCTCGCGTTTTACTTTTGACCTATCGCCACGTCGGATTAATCCCTCCACCTGACCTGCACTCCGTCCAACCCTGGCCCTGACTTGCAACACACACCCGCAAAATATAACCGAATCCGTTGTCACCATCGCGTCCAACAACAGCCGCTTCCGAGGTCTCCAACATCCTCGAGAACCGCATCGCCGGCACCAACGCCGGTGGTGACGTCCAGGAGACCGGCCGTGTCCTCAGTAAGTAGACTTGTTTTGCTGCATATCGCCGCGGCAATTCATCTCGTTTTGTGACGCACGTTTCTCACACTTTTCCACAGCCATTGGTGACGGTATCGCCCGTGTCTACGGTCTCCGCAACGTCCAGGCCGAGGAGATGGTTGAGTTCTCGTCTGGTGTCCGTGGAATGTGCCTTAACCTCGAGGCCGACAACGTCGGTGTTACCATCTTCGGTAACGACCGTCTTATCAAGGAGGGTGACACCGTCAAGCGTACCGGTGAGATTGTCGACGTTCCCGTTGGTCCCGGCCTTCTCGGCCGTGTCGTCGACGCTCTCGGCAACCCCATCGACGGCAAGGGTCCCATTGACGCCATTGGCCGCACCAAGGCCCAGGTCAAGGCCCCCGGTATTCTTCCCCGTCGCTCGGTCAACGAGCCCATGCAGACTGGTATGAAGTCTGTCGACTCGCTCGTCCCCATTGGCCGTGGACAGCGTGAGCTTATCATTGGTGACCGTCAGACCGGAAAGTCTGCCGTCGCTATCGACACCATCCTCAACCAGAAGTCGTGGAACGACGGCAACGACGAGAAGAAGAAGCTCTACTGTGTCTACGTCGCCGTCGGCCAGAAGCGTTCGACCGTCGCTCAGCTCGTCAAGACCCTTGAGGAGAACGACGCCATGAAGTACTCGATTGTCGTCGCTGCCACCGCCTCGGAGGCCGCTCCCCTCCAGTACCTCGCCCCCTTCTCGGGATGCGCCATGGGCGAGTGGTTCCGTGACAACGGCAAGCACGCCCTTATCATCTACGACGACCTTTCCAAGCAGGCCGTTGCCTACCGTCAGATGTCGCTTCTTCTCCGTCGTCCCCCCGGACGTGAGGCTTACCCCGGTGACGTCTTCTACCTCCACTCTCGTCTCCTCGAGCGTGCCGCCAAGATGAACGAGAAGTACGGTGGTGGTTCGCTCACTGCCCTTCCCATCATTGAGACCCAGGGTGGTGACGTCTCTGCCTACATTCCCACCAACGTCATTTCCATTACCGACGGCCAGATCTTCCTGGAGGCTGAGCTCTTCTTCAAGGGTATCCGTCCCGCCATCAACGTCGGTCTCTCCGTCTCGCGTGTCGGTTCCGCTGCCCAGACCAAGCTCATGAAGTCGGTCGCCGGTTCGCTCAAGCTCTACCTCGCCCAGTACCGTGAGGTCGCCGCCTTCGCCCAGTTCGGTTCCGACCTTGACGCCTCGACCCGCTTCCTGCTCAACCGTGGTGCCCGTCTCACCGAGCTCCTCAAGCAGCCCCAGTACTCGCCCATGCCCGTCGAGATCCAGGCTCCTCTGATCTACGCCGGTGTGCAGGGTCTCCTCGACCAGGTCCCCACCGACCAGATCACCACCTGGGAGAAGCAGTTCACCGAGGCCCTCAAGTCCCAGCACCAGGACCTCCTCCAGAAGCTCTCCGGCGGTGTCCTCACCCCCGAGATTGAGAAGGAGATGCGCAAGGTCATCGAGGACAACGTCTCCGACTTCCTCGCCAAGTCGCAGTAAATCTAAAAATTTCGCAGGAGAGTGGGAAATCAAACATCTATATATATGTAGGCGTTTTTCCATCACAGACAGCACAAGAATGCAACAAATGATCTAAAACGGAGCCAGTGAGCGAAGCGCGAAGCGCGAAGCGGAGCGAGCGAGCTGCCACTAGCAATCGAGCGTAGCGAGATGCAATACCAGCAATTGCATCGAGATGAGCAGTCGCGCTCGGTGCAGAACTGGCGAAGTCGAGCCAAGCCGGTGCAAACCCGCGCCAAAGCTGAAGTCTCGATCGGGTCGCAGCTCTGATTCTGACTGGCTGGGAATCAACTGAGGGCCCGTAGGGTGCGAAAACTGACTTGAAGCGGAAACTGGGGCTGGCGTGACGTGGCCGTACCCAGGCGTGCCAGGCGAGCCGAATGCCACATCCAGCTGCTCAGGGACGGCTCGGTGCGAGCCGATCGCGTCATGAGCTCGCTGCCTTCCAGCCGATCCAGCCGATGTGTCCGATACGGCCCTCTTGCTGGTGGTGTGTGGATGGTGCATGATGGATAAATAAACAAAAGGTGGTATGGATACGGTAACAAGTCTTGTCGTCTGAGCTCTCCGCTTATCTGCCCTGCCCAAGCTCGCATGCTCTGAGGAAAGAGAGCCTTAGGGATCCTTATAGTTCACCTTGCGCCTGACTCTCCCTCTCGCACTGCGGCCCAGAGTTCCGTCCGCGACGCCCGCCTCGGCACGGTCCTCCTCCGTCTCCAGCTCTGAGGGGAGTTTCAATTTCGCTCGTCTCTCGCGACGGGCACGCAGGACTTCCGTTTGGCGCATGGCCCATTGTTTGTGCGAGGCGGCGGCGCGGAGGTCGGCGAGCTGCGCGCGGGCGGCGGTGTAGGCTGAATGCGGGTCGGGCTTGGCGTCGGGCTTGACGGTGTCCTCGGAAACCGGTTCGGCGGGATACTCGATAGGAGGCTCGGCGGTGGGATCGACGTCCATAGCGTCAGAGGCACCGTTGGCTGATGGCGCGATGGGCTCGGCGGGCTGCTCGGGTTGCGACTCGGGCTCAGCAGCTCCGGCGTTAGGCGCAGGTCTCTCGGCCTCTCGCTCGGGTATCCCGGTCGCTGGTTCCGCAGAGGGAGCCTCGGTGGCTGCAGGAGTTTCGGCATCTGCTGAGGACTCAGCAGGCTGTTCCGTCGTTGGAGCCGGCCCGGCAGAGGCAGCGTTAGGTTCATTGGCTTCAGGAGCGGAGTCATCGTTCGCAGCAGCGTCCTCGACAGGCGCTTCCTCCTTTGCCTCTCCAGTCTGCGTGTCGGTCGATGTCTCGACGGCATGCTCGGGTGCTTCGGTCGTGGGCTCGGGTTGAGCAGCCGTCTGAGGGGCGGGCGCCTCGGTCATCTCGGCGTCAGAAGCTGGTGCGTCGATCGCTTTCTGGTTCGCGTCATCAGTCGTCGTCTCAGGCTGAATAGGGGCGCTGTCTTTGGCCGCGTCGTTGCCGTTGACGATCGGCTCGTCAACCTTGACAGCTTCGCCGTTGCCGTTGGTGGTCGTTTCGAGCCACGGCTCCTCGCCCAGACTCGCGAGTACTAGACCGACAGCCGCCTCGGGAACGAGTACATCCTGGATGAAGTGACGTCGCTCCTTCTCGCCAAGTGCCTCGAAGCGCTCGGACCCCTTTTCCTCCTTGATCCACTCGGTGATGATCTCACCGATCTCAGCCGTCTCGTCCTCCGTGAGGTCTCCGTACTCGGCAACGTTGCTGAGCGTTGCAGGAGACGTCCAGAAAAGATCCGCGCGCCATCGAGCTGGCTCGTACTCATCCTTCATCACAAGGCGGAGGTACGGCAGGACATGCCGTACGCGCTCGACGAAGGCCGAGTCGCCGTCAGCCGACTTCTCCGGCACGGTGATCGCGTATTGTCCCAGCTGTCATTAGTTGAGGCGCTGCGCAAAGCAACTCACGCTGCAAGTGGCAATGGCATCCTCAGGCAGGAAGACGATGTCGCGTCTCCGTACAGTCCGCGCCTTACTGCTGCCACGCTCGAGGACAACATAGCGGTCGCGGTCGGACGCGTTCTGTGCGGCCTCAAACTCGTTGAGAATGGCCACAAAGAAGTTGTGGTTTTGTCGGACAACACAGGTGCTTCCAGGCTCGACGCTGACTGTCAGCTCATGCCAATAGATCAACTGTGTGTACTTACCCCGACGGTAGAACTGACGGCTCAAACCTCCTCGCGCTCTGCTCGCCTCGCCTCGACTTCGGCGTCGGACTGCCCGGTGGCGGGGTCAAGGAAGCAGATCGACGCTTCAGGACCTTGTCGAGGGTCATCTCGTCGTCTTCGTCGTCCACATACGTCTGCGACGATTTGGCCAAGCTGGTGAAGCTTCCGTTCATGAGAGCAGCCGTCTGGAGCTTATCGAAGATAGCGGCGGGGTCTTTCTTCCCTCTCCCGGGGACGTGCTTCGATGGTGTCTTCTTCGCCGATAACGTCACGCGCGAGCTGGATGCGACGGGTTCCTCCTCGTCCGTGGACATGTAGCCAGACTTGGCCTTCGCGACCGCGTTGGTACTGGCGCGCTTCCGCTTGGTCTTGGGCTTCGGTGCTGCTTCGCCGTCGAGGAACCGCTCGCCTTCCTCCTTCGGCTCATCCCTCGAGGGTAGCTTAGCGGGGAGAGATTTCCGCGCTCGTTTTGCTTTCGGCTTGGAACTCGAGGGCGCAGAGGGCGTTGATGACCGCGGCGCAGTCCGCTTCGTCGCCCGGCTTGGAGCGCTCTTCGACTCAGCGTCCTTCCGTGCGCCAGCCGTTGGCCGACGCGCTCGCTTGGGCATGGCCTCTGGAGTCGACGCGCGCGATGCATCGGATTCAGGCTCCGAGTCAGACGGAGCAGGTGACGATAATGGCGAATCGGCGTCGTCTTTCCCTCGAGGCGTCCCCCTGGGCGCACTCGCCGCAGCTGACTTCCGGGAACGCTTCGGGGTCGGCGCCGGACTCGATAACGGCGAGGATCGTTTCTTGCCGTTCTTGGCCGCGGTGGTCTCCTCCTTTGACGACTTGGCCTTGTTCATGGTACCGCGACGAGCTTTCGGGGCTGGTGCCTTCCTCGGCGTGGCTTCCGGCGTGCTAAGCGGTGAGTCCTCCCGCATCTGAACAGGCCGTGGTCGCCGGGAGTAAGTCACCAGCTTTCCCTTGGGTCGTGCGAAGTGAGAGATGGTCGGGGGAGCTGGAGAGGGAAGGGATGGGACTGGAGAAGGTGAGGCGGGAGGAGGCGTCGCCTCCGAGCGGTCCGGCGGTGGGGACGGTGATGATGATGACCTCGATGGAGAAGGTGCGTCCTCGTTGCCCATGCTGGACAGTGACGAGGTCGAGGGTGACCTGGACATCGACGACGCCATGGTGTGTCACGGAGAGGGCGTCGGTGTGTGGATGCGAGGAAGATTAGTTGCACTGTTGTGAGCAGATAGCGAGGGTGTGACTTCGGTCCACCTCCACCGCGCGCGTGCACCGTGGGCCACTGTTGTTTTCGCCCCCCATTCTGCATTCTGCACCCGGCGACGCGCTCCTCTCATCTCACCCCGCCCACTACTCTCTCTAGCTGCAAGCATATCAGCATTCCATTCCTGTGCCGTAATGCATCAACGAGCCGGATAGTGCACGGAATGCAAAGCATATCAAGGAATGGGCCAGCAATATAGGTAACTGTACATGCAGGAATCTCTAGGGACTACAATGGACTATAGCTACAGCTGTCGAGAGCGAGGTCACGGAAATCGGGCGGTCGAAGGGTTGTATTATCGCTACAGCGGTTGAAGAAGGCGAGGAATCGAGTTGGACTTTGGAAGCTGTCGAAGACTGGTTAAAATGGCTTCACAGAGAGCTGATAGTCGAAGTAACTTACACTCCCTAGATCACTGGGCTTGTCGCCCTCTCTGTCCACGGTCAATGGAAGTAAAGGGGCAGGTGATGCGGAGACGTTGACAACGGCGTTCGGGGTGGCGATGAGAGGCGAAGCGGGAGACGAGTCTCCCGAGTCGCCGCTGCTGCGTCGGGTCGTGTCCGGGTCGTCTTCCGTATTCTGCAGCTCGGGGGCGCTACGATCAACGTTACCGACTGCGACTGTCATCGAAGGCGACAGCTGTCCACGGTCCAGAAGCACGAGATCGTTCACGAGACGGTGTGGTTGCGGCTTATGCGGTTTAGCCGGCGCTTCGCGCACATAACTGAGCTCCGATGCAGAGATGGATGCCGTCGAGACATGAGATGACAAGTTCTCCTCCGGTTCATCGACGTGTAGGCTCTTGCTGTAGTTGACGAGAGCGCCCGTCATCTTGTACTCCATGCTCAACATCTGCGCAGTGAACTCGCGGTCGACGTCCTCGAGTTGTCGCGTGAGCTCGACGAGGCTCTGAATCACATGCCTTTCGCGCACCGACAGGCCGACCATATACGCTGCTGTTGATGTCAGCTGGGCTGCAACCCACATTGAGGAGTGGGGCACAGTGGGGAGCCTTTGAGGGAATACTCCGCTGCTGCGGAGACTCGCGAGACAGAGTCTGTGGTCGGGTGCTGCGGACCGGCCCAATTGAGACGTGGTGCAACTGCTACTTACGGAGATGTGATATGAAGAGCTCATCCTTGGCGGAGAGACCGGCCCTGGGCATGCTGGGAAGCAGACGGCGATGGTCGGTGGTGTCGCACAAAAGCAAAGCAGTAGTTGGGTAGTCGAGCAGATGGCAATAGGGAGCAAGTGCGAAGAGACAAGAGGGAAGAAAGGCGGTCGGAGGGTGCAAGCCGAGTTAAGTGGTGGCGAAGAAGCGACTAGTGGTAGTGAGGGCTGGTGGCCATGGGGAAGTAATGTGGTGTGGGGTGGTCGTCGGCTGTGGGCGTGTGCGCTTGCGGGGAGGAGGGAAAGACTACTGTCGCGCTACGAGCAGGCAGTTGAATAGCTCTGCACGATGTCGTGCCCCCCAACGACAGGCAGGCGAGCAACTGTGTAGCAAGTGCGCGAGTTGGGCAGGCGTTACTGATGGGGGGAAGATGTTGAGGAAGAAGAGATGCACGAGTGCAGGGAGGAGTGTGGACCGGGTCAAAACTGCGGAGATGCATTGACCTGAGAGCGGAGAGTGGGTGTGAGGTAGTGCGGAGTGCGGGGGTTGGATTACAATGACCTGGCCTGCAGGCCTGGCCTGGTCTCGTCGGGAGGTTTAGAGCTGAAAGAGTCGCAGCCCAGAGCTAGCTTGCACAGGCAAGCATTCCCAACAGCCGCGGCTACCGAGCAACCCCCCGAACTCTCTCGTCATCCTCCACACTCGTAGCAACCCTCTGCCCCTTTGGCCCCTCTGCTTTTCCGCATTCTGCTGTAGCGCGGTTTGTCACCGTCCAGGGTCTGGCAAAGGACACCATGTGCAGGGCCATCGTGATCGCATGAGCAACCCATCGTAACTGGCTGGCTCTTGCCCGAGTACTCCAAAGGCACCCCCTGCTCCAGCGATTCTCACCACCTCAACGATGATCGGTGTCAATCCCGGTCACCTGTGCACTCCACGCCGGTGCCATTCTGGGAACATGCATCCGCATTACCAGCGATCAACAACGATCGAGACCGAGACGCAGCTGGCTGCGCATTGGGGCATCGGCGGCTCGTTGCCCGGCCGGCTACACCGGCATACCGGCTCATCCCCGACCCTTCATCTCACCTGCACCGTGGCTGTTTCGCTGGCTTAGCATGCTTAGCAACATAGCAACAGCTCTAACCTCATTCCGCAAACCGCCATCTGCTAATCAGCCGTACGCCTCAAGAGTCCAGACTACGCCGCATCCGTCATGCATGACTTCACAGCTTGAAGTTGCATAGAGCTGCAAGCTGCAGACTAATTTTGCCACCCAGCTCCGGTCTCCGATTCCACCCCAGCGCTGCGCGCCATGACGTCTACACTACATTGGCCCCCAGGAGTCGACCGACCCTCGGGCAAGTGTTGGACTAGGAGCATCGCGTACTACTGCATTACCCTCGCCCGTGACGCCGGGTAACGCTTGTCAAGTTCCGCCACCCACTCTACGCGACACCCACTCTTGCGGCCCTCACCGAACAGATAAGCCTGCCACTTCTACAGTATATGACTGTATGAAATGACGTGCGGTCGGCCCTGGATCCAGGCTGGATCCGGTTTCTATGGGGATCCAGATCTGATTTGATTCCGTCCACTGTACTGCACCTCCACCTGCACCTCCACCCGATTTTGCTCCCGTCTCCTCCACCGCCCGCTATCTTATCTTGTCATCATGCATCATCCATCTCCTCCGTTCGCTCTCTCCACCGGCAGCATCTATAGCTCTCCTTCCAAGATCTTCTCTCTACAAGACCATCGTTCGCAGTGAACCTGTTCTCATTGTCCTTCAGGCATCTCTGCTCTCTTGCCGTCGACCCCTCGCCCTCGTTCCAGGCCCACACAAGTCCATTTGGCCACACAACATTCCTGAAGACGGAGGTCACAAGATGGAAGGGGGCAACGGTTCGTCGCATCTCGCCCTGCGCCCTCAAGGACATCAAGGACGTCACTGGTGTGAGAGCAGAGGACTAGCGGAATTTGACAGATTCCGCTGGTTTCCGCCAAGGTTGATTGAATGAGTACGCCGAGTGTTCATCCTGCGCCTTCATGTGTACGCCGAGTGTTCATCCTGCGCCTCTTGTGTGCTGCTTCGAACGTCATTGCACTTGGAGCAGAGAGAGCTGGGCTTTCTCAAGGAATGGGGCGAGACTGCAAGATCCCATCTGTGTACTCGCCAGTCTACATGCCCCGAGTGGTGGGGAATATGATGCGATCGCGACGTCACGAGCTGTCCGCACCAGCCTTGCACCATTGCGCCCTACGCTCCAGGCAAGAGACTCGACCGAGATCGTACTCGTTCTAGCACTTAATAAAGGACCCTCCTTGCCACCCACCTCGTCTCTTCCTCTCTATCTCTCACTTCACCATCAAGATCACCACCCCTTCCTCCCCACCCATCCTTCCTCGCCTCACCCTCTCACGACCTCTCTCGCCCCTACTCGCTAGCCAGGCCGGCCCTGGCTCGACCTCGAATCGACCACCTACTACCGTCAACCATGCCTCGCATCGTTCGCAACCGCCCTACCTGGGCTTCAGCCTCCGCTTCCTCGGACACCGAGTCCGACTCCGAAAGCGGTGTCAAGACACAGGCGTCCACGAAGAAGATTGCTAAGCCCCGTACTTATGCTAGGAAGAGCAACGTCCGTTCGCGCGCGGCCAAGGCGCCCATTTTCAAGGACGGCGAGCAGCTCGAACTCGACTCTGAGAACGAGGAGCTCGTGATCTCGAACCCCTCGCTGCCAGGCATTGGCACTACTATCATCCTCTCGGACTCTGAAGAGGAGCAGCCTCTGTCGCAGATCAAGGCCAAGACCAAGGAGAACACGGTCGGCAATACGCCTACGAAGGAGAAGACGCTCGAGATCGACCAGGACCAGGAGCAGCAGCCCATGGATGTGGACGTCGACGACGGCCACGTTCAGGAGAAGCAGGCCTCGCAGAAGCAGGTTTCGGAGGCGCATGGCCAGGAGGAGGAGGACGAGCTCCACTCTGACGACGAGCCCGAGGACGTCAAGGGCAGCACCAACAAGCACACCCTCATTAACGACCGTTTCTACTCGGCTTCGCCCCCCCTCACGTCCATTGACACCTGCGACGAGTTGCAGGATGCTCTGGCTCACACCACCATCTCCAAGCCAACTGTCAAGCCCAAGCGTGGCTGTTCCGCGAAGAAGACCGCCAAGAAGGTCGGCGGCAATACCTCGACCGCCTCGTCGCCGGCTCGCTTCGCCCCTTATGGCCGTGCCCGTCCTCGCCCTCGCGCAAGCTCCGTCGGCAGCATCGGCACGGGCGATGAGGACGTCGGCATCCCCCAGGCTCCGCGTCGCCTGCCTCAGCGCTACCTCACCAGCCAGGAGGTCGACCTCATGATTGCCCGCCTGGAGGCGATCCGCCCCGAGATCAGCAAGCCCAACGGCCCTTCGGGGAAGGCGATTTATGCCGATCTGCTCGCCTCCATCGATGTCAAGCCCGGTACTCGCGTCATTTTCCCCAGCATCCCCGCGCGTGTCGGCCCCCACTTGCTCCGCGGCTACGCCGCCACCGTTCCCGAGAACAAAACCCCTGCCGGCCTCATGAAGGCCTTCGGCGCCGGTCCCGGCGACCCCGCGTTGATGCCCATCGCCGATGTCACCACTTTCTCATTCAAGAAGAAGGACGAAGACGTTACGTTCAACACCGCCACACCGGTCGTCGCACCAACTACCAAGCTGTGGACCGTGAGTTCTCTTCTCGAGTGGCAGTCGGATTCTGTCGGATTTTGCCAGTTTCCGACAAGGTCCAACTCAGTCCAGCCTCCTCTACCACCCCTGCTGACATCTCTCCAGGCCATCGAGGATTCCGCCGAGCACTTCCTCCCACACTTCCCGCCCTGTGCGCATTGCGTTAAGATCGGCAACCTCGCTTGCTTCTACGACCATCGCACTCAAAGCACCAAGCAAACCTGCGTCCCCTGCACGCGCGTCAACTTGTCTTGCGAATGGGCGAAGGTCAGCCCCCGTCACGAGCAGGATCTCGCGATGAAGGAGCTCCAGGGCCTCGCGGCCGGTGCCGGCGCCGACCCCGACCGCGTCAAGTCCGCTACGGCGTCGTACAACAAGGCCAAACGGAGCGCGTGAAGCTGTGTGGCCTCGCCTTTTCTCGTTCTCGTAGTTTGCAAGTCGGCGTGTTCCAGTTCGCAAGTTGGTGAGTGTGAGTGAGTGGCGAAAAACTCCGAAAATCCATATCAAGTCTCATACATAGTGCAGTCCTCCGTTCGTAGTCAGTCTTAGTCTTAGTCTTCTTAGTGCTGCGATGAATGTAGATTCTCAGCCGAACATATGTTGCGGCGAGCTTCATTTTGTCAACTAACAAACTAACATACTTCTTTCTGAGATACTTATAACACGCGACACCAGATGAGAACGATGGCACTACACACAGGCGATTGCCGATTTGAGATTCTCTTTGTTCCGCAGAAAGCGGGCGAGTTGCTTGAGTGACATGCTGTTCTGCTTTTGCCTTATCCTCTCCAATACGGCAACACTGTCCTCAATGGACCGATGGTAGTCCTTGTGAATCATCTGCACAGCTTCAATTATGACCTTACGATCATTCCAGAAGCGCGCTTCATTCTGTGAGGGGAACTTGGGCTTGACTCCGTTGTCGTAGATCGTAGATATGGGGGGGCGTCCATGTAGACCAACAGTGTATTCTTGCCAAACTACGCGAACGTTCTTCAGGCCACGAGCAAGTATATCAGCTTTGGGTTGAGGGGCAGCGGCGGTAGGCGTAGTCGTAGTCGGCGTTGCAAGAACGGGTGCCCGGAGATCAATGGATGTCGTTGTTGGGAGTTGCTGTACGGGTATCGCGGAGAGAGGAAGCGGGGCAGGCGGAGGGGGCGTGGGCAGAGGTAAAGGTGGTGGTTCGGAGGCGGTATCAGAGGGGTTGTTGAAGATTTCATTGCACGACTTTGAGAAACCCAATGCAAGCTTCTGCAGGGCGACTTGGTAATTGACGATTTGATGCTGCAGATTGTGAAGGACTGTGCCATGGCCGTCTTGCTTGTAGTTGAGCTCTCCCGCTTGCTTGATAACGCTGTCTAAGCTGACAGACAAAACAGACTGCCCAGAGAGGAGACGATCCAGTTGAGCGCGCTGCTCAGACCGTTGGGATCTGATAGCATCAGCGATCGCCGGCTGTAGTTCCTCCAGCGTACTGTTGATGTGATAGGTCGAGCCAGACTGTGTAGCCTCCAGGGCATGCTTCTCCCATTGGAGGTATTCAGCACTGTGGAAGAAGGGCTCCTGCCAGATGAACAGCTCGGGATACGTCTTGCGAAGGTGAGGGGCGTCTTGCAGGAAGACGGAACGGAGCTCCTTCATCATGGCCAGGAAGTTTTTACCCTGGAGATCCTCACGCGCGTGCGAAACATCCTCGTACAGACGGAGACTGCTTGTTAGCGAGCAACTCGACTGGGTCTGGGTCTGTTCGGTCTCTCAAGAGCGTAACAGCCTCTTTCGGAAACTATCAGATTCCGACAGTTTCCGAGAAGGTTAACGGGCACTCACCGACTCTCAATCTGGGGGAACACCTTGCGTTGAAGGTTGTCGGGAACAGGAACAGCACGGGGAAGGTAGTAGTCGGTGTGCAGTTCAGGATTGAAACCTGCCATCGCGTGCAGCACGGGGCGGGACATATGTGTGAGATAGACGTTCTCCATGACCTGGGTGCCGTTCTTCCAGCGCCCATGCTTGCAGATCTGCGCCTCGGTGCACCCCGCAGCTTCGGCGCGACGGGCTCCAGTCTTGCGCATGAGGTGGGTCTTTTGCGCAGTTGCAACCTTCGCATATGCCAATGCTTTGCCAAAGGCGTCGAGGTGGGTCTGGTAAGGAAGCGGCTCCTGTGAGTTGCGGGGCGACGGAGCCATGTACTCCTTATACCAATGCTCCCTCTTTGCCATGCTCGGGAAGTTGTCGTCACTGTGCTCAAAGGTCTCGCCCATGTGATGGAATCGGACGTAGAGGTGCAGAGCCAAGAAGGCCACAGGGCACATGCTGACGTCACGGTGGCGGAGCATGCTTGCGTATTCTGTCTTTCCGAACTGATTGTTCTTGCCGTGGTTGAGGGTAGCGTAGAAGACACGGAAAGGCGTCGCCGACGTGTCATTCTCCATCTCGTACATGCCCCAATCCATCAGACGGGTCTTCGCATATTCGTCGCAGCGCATCATTCCTGCAATTGCAGTGGAACAGAGAAACGCGTCGCGGATGCCTTCAGGGGAGTTGCTCTCGTACATGAAGTAGTCGAAGAAGTCGCGCAACTGCTGGTGCGTGGTGAAGCCATCCATGATACCACCTGTTCATTAGCTCAACGGAATCCGGCGGAATCCGATACGCACCACGGCCAGGATCAACGCTGTAGTAAATATCACGCGCTCGCTGCAGACGAGTGATAGCAAATGTAAGCGCTTTGACAGGCCCCATACGGGGATGGGCATTCCTGTTGATTCCCTTGTTCGATTGGATCGACCACAAGTCCACGATGGCACAGATCCAAGTGTCGACGCCCTTGTAGCGGAGGACAGAGTTCCAGATACGAGCGCGGACCTCCTTCTCGCGGAGCACAATGGCATCTTTTGCTGAGGTCGCGGCTGCCTGATCCTTGGCAGCAGCAGCAGCCACAGTTGCCTCGGCAACCTGGTTCAGCTTCTTCTTGAAAGTCTCCTTCTTCTGCTTGGAGTCCTGGAAATCGAACATCATTTCATCAGTCACCTCTGTGATCGGAGGCAACTCGGCTCGACGCAGGGCATCGTTTTGCGCCGCTATGTCGTCAGAGGTGTCGGCGACCTCCGCGGCCATGCGCCTCATAAGCTCGTGATCGTCCATGTCGACTTCATCAAGTTGAATAAGGTTGCTACCAATCAGTGACATGTGCGAGGTTACCTGGCTGGACGGTCTCACGACGGCGGCGAGGCGGAGAATTCGACCGACGGTTCCGGACGGCCTCGCGCCGCTGTCGACGTTCTTGCCCGTGTCGGTGGTACTCACGGAGGACGTCGGCTGGGTGGTGCTCGCAGTGCTTCTGGCCTCGTGAACAACGACTGCAGGCGACACTTTGGCCGTTCATGTAACAGGTGTGACCACCACGGCGACAGTAGCTGCACGGGGGGGTGATCTCGTGACCGGTTCGCTCGATCCACTGCCATTGTCGTAGGCCGTGAGGGGTGTGCCGGAATCCATGTTGCCGGTTCTCTTCGTACGCGCGCGCATTCTCCAGTGGTGTTCGTTGCTGCGGGTCGGCGGACTCGATCGAGTCCCGACGCCGGCGAGGCATGATGGTCGGAGGTGAGTAGCGAGCGAAGGATGACGAACAGTACAACACCAACATTCGCCGGTGGAGTCACTCTCGCACGAGACTATCCGACTGGCACAACAGTCCGACGACCATAGTCGGTCGCTGGCGGACCGCCTCCGGAAAGACACCGCCGCCACAGGGGAGAAGGACTACAAGCTCGACCCCAAAGGACTTATCCGCTGGCGAGGCCGGCTGTATGTTCCCGATACCGGCGAATTGAGATTGCGCATTATGGAGGAGAACCATAACGCGCCGATGGCGCCGTCTCTATCCGTAACATAGTCTTGGACGCCTCCATTCGGTCGGCATCCTCACAGAAAAGTACATTCTTCCGGATAAAGAGACACCATACGTCGTCAACTTCGCCCTCGACCTCATCGGTCGACTCCCGAGATCGAAACCCACATGGCCGCCACATCGGGCAACGATCCCACGCCGTCGTCGGCAGGAAGCCAGACGACCCCGGGATCCTCGACGCCCGATCTACCTGAGGGGATCACTCCAGCTATGGCCGCCTTCTTCTCGGCCATGATGGCCCCGCTCCTGGCACAGCGGGCCCCTCCTCCCCCAGTTCCGACTCCCGACGCGGACGAACCCCGCGAACGGGAGCCCGAAATCGAGGGCCCAGCCAAATTCCGGGGTCGCGACGAGGATCGCGCCAAGGCCGAGAAATTCATCGCGGGCTGTCGGAACGTATTCGAAGGTCGTCCCCGCCATTTCAACACAGACCGGAAGAAGATCCGGTACGCGGGGGGGTTGATGAAGGAGCACGCCGAGACTTGGTATCAAGTCCCAATGCAACTGGAGGAGGAGGACCGTCCCGACTGGTTTAACGACATAAACCTATTCTGGAAGGAATTCCGAAAGCATTTCGGTGAAGCCGACCCAAAACAACGCCCTCGGCGAGAGATCGCCCGCGCGCGTCAAACGAGGGACGCCACCTCGTACGTCCGATACTTCCAGGGACTGGTTTTCGAGTTGAATTGGGACATCAACTGCGAGCCCCTGCATAACCAGTTCTATCAAGGATTGTCGGGTCGCATGAAGGACGAATTGTCTCGCGACGAACACCTTCCTGAGCGCACGACCGACCTCATCGCTCGAGTTCTCGAGATCGACGCCCGTCTAACTGCTCGCGCCGAGGATAAGGCGGGAGGCAGAGTCCCGTCCACGGATCGCCACGACGACAGCGAGGACGACAGCCGAGACAAGAAACAAGGCAAGAGGCCCAGCGAAGGGGGCGACGACAAAACCGCGGCGAAGTCGAACAAGAAGCGCCGTACCGACAAAGGTCCGAACGAAGCCGGTAAACCTTTCCGGAACTGGAACCGTACCGCGGACCAGAAGGTCCCCGACGACGAGATGAAACTGCGTCGGGACTATGGCGAATGCCTAGTCTGCGGACACCCGGACCACGAAGCGAAGACATGCCGAAAGGCCTCGGGAAACGGGGTAGGGGCGTGATCCCACGCCCGCCCGTAACCGTCGAGGAGGTGGTGGAGGCCACCCTCTTCGACCCCAACTTGGTCAAGCCTCCCGGTCAACCTCAGATCCTTAATCTGAAGACCGCGATGTCACCGGCCGTCCCCTCCCATATCACGAGGGTGACGACAATGCTACAATTTCCGAATCTCCCGAACGCCCCGGGACCCATTGAGGTGGAAGCCCTAGTGGACACCGGAGCGGACGTCAATTTCATCGACCGTGACTTTCTCATATTAAATGGAGTGCAACCTCTGAAATTGAAACACCCGATTCCCCTGGCAATGGTCGATAGTAGCCGGAATGTCTCCGTCACACATGTCGTGAGACTCCCGGTCTGCTTCGATCGTTTCAAGGAGGAACTCACCTTCTGCGTTTTCCCTCTCAAGGGCTACCAGACGATTTTGGGGATGCCGTTCCTCAAACAATTCGACCCCGACCTTGACTTCCGAAGAGGAGGTATCGCGTCGTTTCCTTATACCCCAGAGGAGGAACCGCCTCTCCCGGAGGTCCCTGCGATCGCGTTCGTATCCGCGCGACAATTCCGGAAGGACTTAGCAGAGGCGGGTCAGTATGGGCTTCTGGCAGCCACAGCTACCATTTCCCCAACTCCGACGATGACGACCACAGAACTACCCGCACAATATGCGGACTTTGCGGACGTCTTCGCGACGGCGGAAATGCGGGGACTACCCCCGAGACGCCCCTTCGATCATCGGATCGAACTGACCGACCCGAACGCGCCGCTTCCGAATTCGAAGCCGTACAAACATTCACCAGCCGAGCTCGAGGCCCTATGGGAATATCTGAATAGGGCCCAGGCGACGGGCGAGATCGTTCGATCCTCGTCACCGGCGAGGTCCTCCGTCCTATTCGTCAAAAAGAAAGACGGCTCCCTACGGGTCTGTATCGATTACCGGGCCCTCAACAAGATCACTAAGAAGAACCGGACCCCCTTACCGTTGATTCCCGAACTCCTAGACCGACTCCGGGAAGCGAAATACTTCGCACGCATCGACTTGGCGGATGCGTACAAACAACTTCGCATGGCAGAAGGGTCCGAATACCTCACGGCTTTCGGTACCCGTTTCGGCTCGTTCGAATACCAGGTCATGCCTTTTGGACTATGCAACGCGCCAGCTACTTTCCAGTCTCTGATCAATACCACCTTCCACGACATGGTAGATCAGTTCGTGGTCGCATACCTGGACGATATCCTCATTTTCTCGCGCACGCTCGAGGAACACGAGGACAACGTGAGGAAGGTCCTGGCCCGGTTGCGGAAGGAGCAACTCTACGCCAAACTGGAGAAATGCGATTTCCTGGCAACCTCGGTCGAGTTCCTCGGGTACATAGTGTCGGCCGACGGTATCGCGATGGACCCGAAGAAGATCGATGCCATACTCGCGTGGCCGACACCAAGAAACGTCAAGGACACACTGTCGTTCCTCGGATTCTGTAACTTCTACCGTCAATTCATACGAAATTACTCGGGCATCGCAGCGCCACTTACCCGACTCACGAGGAAGGACGTGCCGTTCGTGTGGGACGCGACAGCGGAGGAGTCGTTCCAAGCCTTGAAACACGCGTTCACGACCGCGGACATCCTCCGCCACTGCGACCCGAGACTCCCATACCTGTTGGAGACGGACGCGTCCGACTACGCGTACGGGGCGGTCCTATCCCAGGAGTTCGAGGATGGTCTACGGCCCGTCGCTTTCTACTCGAAGAAGTTTACGCCCGCGGAACTCAACTACTCGATCCACAACAAGGAACTCCTTTCCATCGTACGGGCTTTCGAGCACTGGCGGGACTATCTCGAAGGCGCCCAACACAAGGTCAGGGTGATTACCGACCACCAACCGTTGATGTACTTCAACACGAAGCGAGTCTTGGACCGGCAGCAGGCTCGTTGGAGCGTTAGTCTCAGCCGTTTCGACTTCTCCATCGAACATCGGCCCGGGGTGAAGTCCGGCAAGCCCGATGCGCTTTCACGACGGTCCGACCACGCGCTTACAGACGCGGACGCCACGGAGGAGCGAGTCCTCAATCTGTTCGCGGCACAACTGTGGCAACTAGAGTCACTCTCGCACGAGACTATCCGACTGGCACAACAGTCCGACGACCATAGTCGGTCGCTGGCGGACCGCCTCCGGAAAGACACCGCCGCCACAGGGGAGAAGGACTACAAGCTCGACCCCAAAGGACTTATCCGCTGGCGAGGCCGGCTGTATGTTCCCGATACCGGCGAATTGAGATTGCGCATTATGGAGGAGAACCATAACGCGCCGATGGCGGGACACCCTGGCCAGACCGGGACGTGGGAGCTGGTGCGCCGCCACTTCTACTGGCCGGGCCAGCGGGTCGATATCAATCGTTTCGTCGGCTCCTGTCCGACCTGCGCACGGGCGAAGAACGCGCGGGCGAAGCCCGCGGGCCTCCTGAAACCTATCCCCCCGCCGGAGCGCCCGTGGGAGACGGTGACGCTGGACTTCATCACGTCCCTCCCGGACTCGAACGGGCATACGGCGATCCTGGTGATGGTCGACCCTCTTTCCAAGATGGCTAAATTCGAACCATGTGGGAACGATATCGATGCCCCGACCCTGGCCGAGTGCTTTGTGCGACGTGTGGTTTCCCAATTCGGCATCCCGCGAGCACTGATATCGGACAGGGGCCCACAATTCACGTCCCACTTTTGGCGGTCGTTGACCGCCCGCCTGGGGACAAGTTTGAACCTCTCCACGGCTTTCCGTCCACAAGTGGATGGCCAGACAGAGATCGTTAACGGCTGGCTGGGACAGTACCTCCGGTCTTTCTCGTGTTACCAACAGGACGACTGGTGTGACCTCCTTCCGTTAGCCGAATTCGCCTACAACACGTCGGTGCACTCTACGACAGGGGTCTCCCCTTTCTTTGCCATGTATGGGTTCGACCCCCGCGGCGGGGACGAGGCGACGGTCCCCCTGCTAAAACCGGGGGACCGCCGGTTCACCCACCACGACGCACTGGCTAAGGCCGACAAGTTGCGGTCCCTGCACGAATTCCTACGCCGACAGATCGCAATCGCACAAGACATTCACAAGCGGTACTACGATCGACGTCGCACGTCCCCACCACAGTTCAAAGAAGGGGACCTGGTATACCTAGACGCCCGTAACATCAGGGCATCCCGCCCCTCCCGAAAGCTATCGCCCAAGCACCTCGGGCCATTCCCGGTGGACAAAGTCGTTCGCCCGGACGTGTACCGCCTCCGTCTACCTCCCACGATGCGCATCCACCCAGTGTTCGACGTACAATTACTGAAACCAGTGGCTGCGAATCCCTACCCGGGGCGCGTGTTACGGGAGCCGGAGCCGGAGATAGTCGACGGGGAGGAGATGTGGGAGGTTGAGGCCATTACGGACTCGAGGTGGTTTGGGAGAGGGCGACAGAGAGAAGTCCGCTACCACGTACGGTGGAGGGGATTTGGTCCCGAGTACGACACGTGGGAGCCGGCCGCTAATGTGGAGGGGTCAGGTGACTTGGTCTCCGACTTCCACACCCGGCATCCCTCGAAACCTCGACCCCGTCCGCTCCCATAGACGTGTCTGCATAGCCTATGAACAACATCTCTCTGCTCGACCACGACCTCACACATCTCATGGGCCACGCCAGACGGGGGGTTGCACCCCGTGCAAGGCGTGGTTCAGCGCAATACGGAGCCTGTGGACAACATTGTAAGCCCTGCGGTAGTTGGCCCACTCCTCTACGTCTCCTGGAGCGGTTCGGATGAGCGTCCACTGCAGGTCGAGGTGGCGACGTTCGGCCTCATCCAGGAGCCCCCGCAGGCGGAGGGTGTACGCGCGGAGCGTCTCCCCTTCCTGTGCCGGGTACTGATTGAACGGGTTGGCCTCGCGATCGACCGCCCGCTCGATGTTGATCCGCTCACGTTGAAGGCTGGTGTATAGGCCCGCTCGGCCCTGCCACGCCGGCATTCCTTCGCTAGCAGGTCGACGCCCGATGGCGTCCTGCTGTAACGGGCCCTCCACACCGGTGGGAGGGGGCGTCAGGGGACGCCGGCGATCCACCCGATTCGCACCGACGTTCTCGTTGGGCCGCGGGGGGGGCGTCGGGGTATCCCGCGTCATGTCGATGATCGTTGGGGGCCGGGGCGGCACCGATGGAGGGCGGGGCGGCCCGGGCCTTTCAGGTTGGGGCGTCGCCGTCCTAGCACGGTTACGGTTACGGGGCGTCGGGGTGGCCGGTGAACGGCGCCGCGCTCCGCCTCCGAAACCAGGACGGGGTGGGTCGGGCTCTCGCGGCGGCCTTGCTTCGTGACGGACGATGTTCAGCTCCCGGAGTCGAGCCGCTAGGTTGTCCGTCCGCTCGATGGTCGCGGGGTGAGGGTGTGCGTTGGCGGCGGGAGTCCAGAACGGATTGGCGGGGCGCGGGGGCTCCGTGCGGGGCGCTCGGGGCGTCATGTAATACTCGCCCCGATCGGTTTGCCTGACGACGTGGTCCAGATCCATGTCACCCTCGGGGTGACGGTCGCGTTCGCGGGTGACAGCCTCGTCCAGAGCCTGTGCTTGTTCCCACGCCGCCTCGCGTGCCCGCTCGAGTTCTTGCACTCGACCCCGGTGAGCTATACGCTCTCCTTCTCGCCTAGCATCCTCGCGCCTCCGTTCGTCGGCCGCACGGCGCGCTTCCTCGGCGACTAACGCTTCGAAGTCGGCGTCATGGCGGGGGGGATCGGCAGGCCGAGCCTCGACAGGCTGGGGCTCGAGCGCGGGCCCTGGCTGGACGGTCTCACGACGGCGGCGAGGCGGAGAATTCGACCGACGGTTCCGGACGGCCTCGCGCCGCTGTCGACGTTCTTGCCCGTGTCGGTGGTACTCACGGAGGACGTCGGCTGGGTGGTGCTCGCAGTGCTTCTGGCCTCGTGAACAACGACTGCAGGCGACACTTTGGCCGTTCATGTAACAGGTGTGACCACCACGGCGACAGTAGCTGCACGGGGGGGTGATCTCGTGACCGGTTCGCTCGATCCACTGCCATTGTCGTAGGCCGTGAGGGGTGTGCCGGAATCCATGTTGCCGGTTCTCTTCGTACGCGCGCGCATTCTCCAGTGGTGTTCGTTGCTGCGGGTCGGCGGACTCGATCGAGTCCCGACGCCGGCGAGGCATGATGGTCGGAGGTGAGTAGCGAGCGAAGGATGACGAACAGTACAACACCAACATTCGCCGGGATCCAGAGGGTCCTTTTCCCTGCGACAGGGGCGCTCGCCAGCGACGTCACTGTCCTCGCCACCTCACATTGCGCCCTCGCGCCCGTCGTCACTGTCCACCAGGGGACTGCGTTAGATCTCCCTCCTTGCCGCGGACTACCACCACGTGGCACGTCGACGCGGCTGATTTTTTTATTTTTTTCCCCTCTCAACCACGACCGTGCCTGGCCGCTGCCTTATTTCGCGCTCGACGGAGCTCGCGACTTAAACCGGGGGACA